TCAAGACCTGAGCGCTCTCAACCTCTCACCCAACCCATCCTCCTCAACCGCACTCGGCCCACTCGTAACCGGCGCAGCTTTCACCGCCGCCGCACCCTCCATCTCCTGATTAAGCTCTACACCCGCCTCATCCGCGACCTGGTTCATCAGACGATCGACGTCTTCCTGTGGTGTACCGACCGCCGTCGCCGAGGTCGTCGCATTCTCGTAATATCCAGTCGCGACGTCCAGGTCTTCGAATTGCGTTTCGAAGCGGTCCATTACTGCGGAGATCTAGAAATATAGATGAGCACTGATTATGGTGGGATGGTGAGGGGTGACGGGAATGGGATGTACTTTTTCTAAATCCATAGCCTTCATAGCCTGATCCATCCCCCTAACCACATTCGTCATACTCCCCGTAACCTGTCTCATCGTGACCGCCGTCTGCACTCTACTCGCCACGGCATCGATTCTACTCCCCAGTCTCAGCAGGTTCAACCGTTCATTCTGTTTCCGGATCGCGTTTTGCGCGTAGATCTTTGCGATGTCGCTGTGGCCTTGTTGGATCGCCTAGAGAAACCATGTCAGTCAGAAAGAGTTGGGGGTATAGGGAATGGGGAGGGGGGGGGGAGCGCACCTTTTTCAATTTATCCTTCTCCGTCTTCTCGTCTTTCGACGCTTTGGCTGCTTGTCGGTTTAGCTGTTTCGCTGTGAACTATGCGGCATGTCAGTACGACCCCGCGCGATAAGGCGGATGATAGATATACCTTGAGGTTGAAAAGGGCTTTCTCGAGACCCGACATGTTTGCGATGTCGACTGGTATGTGATATGTAGGGTTCGATTTTGTGAGGTTCTAGGAGGTTACGTGTGGGTTGACGGAAGATAGGTAGTGTAATGTAGTGTAGCCTTGTGAGTGTTCCAGAACCGGGGAAGTGACGTCGGCCGGAGGAATTGCCGATCGGGCCGATGGGTGGTGTACAGGGATAATGTACCCCTCCATTGAGATGTATAGATCACATTCACTTATTTCTGTATGTAGAAATTATTTGTATAAGTCTTCTTATTCCCTATAATCTCATTTATCGTTTATCACCCATCATCTACAACATCTATAATGCCTCCCAAAACCCCCCTAAACGTCCAGTCATTCCCCCGTCCTCCCCTCCTCGAACGTACCTCTCGACACCTCCTCATAAAATGGCACGGCCAGACAATAGCAGAGACAAAAGAAGCCTTTTGGGTCCTAGAAACCTATCATCCCCCAAGTAGATATAGAAATCTCCCATTTCCCCATTCATCACACCTAACAAAAAAACCACTAGCATACTACCTCCCCCCCTCCTCCCTCCTCACCCCCCTCAAGACCACGCAAAAATCCACATTCTGCGAATGGAAAGGCTGGGCAACATACTACACCATCCAATCACCCGACAAATCCGAAACAGTACCCAACCGAATTTGGTCCTACGAATCTCCAACCCCAGGATTCACGCCCTTGAAAGGCTACCTCTCATTCTACGCCGGACCCTGGGAATGCTACGTCGACGGCGAAGAAGTGAAAGCGCAACCGGGGGATTTCTACGGTGGATGGGTGACGAGCGAACTAACGGGGTTGATCAAGGGGAGTAAAGAGACGAGACATTTATGAATTAGTATAGTTTAAATTTGGATAGCTATTAGAGTTAAGAACCACCAGCCAACTTCTTCATCCTCTCCTCTGCAGCTCTGGCTCGCCGCTCTCGATCAAGTTTCATCCTCATCTCGGGAGTTAAACCACGTGCCTCTTCTTCTCGTTTCTGCTGAGCGGTCTTCGCTACTTCGCCGAGAACCTTCTGTCTTCCTCGTCCTGCTGCTTTACCTAACCCGTTACTGTCTGAAACTTGAGGACCTTCGGTCTTGAGTCTTTCCAATTCGGCTTTCCGTCGTTCTGATTCAATCTTTGATTCTTCTGCCTTCTGCTCCTTGTCTCGTGATTCCGCTTCTGCACGAGATATTGGTGCTGGGATTTTGGCTTCGTCCCATAACCAGGCGGATTCGCCCAAGTCGTGACGAGCAACCCGGAAAGCATCACGAGTTTGTCGGTCTCCTGCAATCTCAAAAGCTGTTTTACCTTCGTTGTTTTTGATTGTAGGATCAGCACCAGCCTTGGCCAGCAGCCCGGTGATTAACGGTGTCGAGTTCAGAGAAGAAGCTAAATGAAGTGGAGTAGGTGCGTGATAGTTCTGCTGTGTATCTGGTGGCGAAAATCGAAAATCCGGTGATAGTTCATTCGATTTCAGGTACGATAATAAGGCGGGAAGCTTAGACCGCCGTATAAGTGCTTGTATCTGTGTTGTGTGAAGTAATGCCGTTTCTTCCTCTTCCGATCGTTTAGGAGCAGCTGGAGCTACAGGTTTGGCAGCTTTCGCAACCTGCTTCGCTTCCGCTGCTTGTTTCGTGGCCAAGATAGCTGCTTCATCAACTTCCAGGACCTTCACACGAGTAAGCTCCACATAAGCCCGTAACAGTTCATTCTGTGTTGCTCGTCTCGTATTAAAAGGAATCGCCCGCACTCTCGGATCATTCTGATGCAGAACTTGATCCTCATACGGCCCAAAAAGCGTCCGTCTATTTGTAGTTCCAGTAGCTCTCACAAACAACAGTTCAGAAGTGTCGATCATCCCTTTCCAGTCCAGAAGTAGCTGCCGAACCTCATCGATAAGAGCCTGCTCGTTGTATCGTCGAATACCAGCACCCGCCGAATGAGCAGCACCTTTCGCAGAGTCATTCGCCGATTGCGAACCTCCCTGTTTCCGCCGTGTTGTATATCTATGGAAAGTCTTATGTGCAATGACCGTAGCCTCCTTCACCAATGGACCAGCCGAGGCGTGCTTCGTTTGCTTGGGAGTTAACGCGACTACCATCGCCGCGAAATGTCCACCCCCAATCATACACATAAATATATGAGGTTCCTTATATGCTTCCGGTAGGGGAACGCCTTTTGCATCTAAAGGTATCTTTACCTGCGCTTTCTGTGGTTTTGGCTTTAACTGCTTCTGTTGTATTATATCCAAAATAGCCCCTTCATTCTCCTGTTCCGTAGTCGAAAATATCGCTCGATATATTCCTAGATATGTGTTGGGAGGTAATATAGGATTCGTGAACCAGTAAACAGGCGCTTTTCCAGGCCCTCTCTTTCGTTTCCTCGAGAAAGTATCGTCCGCCTCCTCGGTTCCCGTAGTCGATATCGCAGCCTGCTTCTTCAACAGCGCGCTCAAGGTGGTTTCTTTCCGGCCCGCCTCCTCTTCCTCAGAATCCGTCGAATCCTCACCCGATAGACTCTCGTCAAGATCTACACCCTATCAGTCAAAATCCGCAAACCGTGATCGTAAAGCATACCCCCAACTAACTTCTCAAACTCATTCTCCGTGACAGGTTTCGCGCCTCGCAATCGTTGCTTCAAATTATAACCGTGCAAATCCGATCGCACATGCCGTCGCTGGTCATCTAAGTTATAGAACATAACACCGCACAGCGAACATGATTTCGACCCATCCGAACTTTCTGCCCTCGATTCTGGGCGCGAATCTGTAGTACTGTCCGTTTCCGAGGCGTCTTCTTGTGCAGCTGGCCCGTCGCCTTCTTTTCGAACCAAGTTTGTGAGGATATCTTTGGGGAGATCATAAACTGATCTCATGAGCCAGTGCAACAAAATCTCAGCAACGAAGACCTACCATAAAGAGGTCTGCGTGTTATTTCCTCCTTGCGCTTCTCCATCATCTCCATGGCGTTCAAATGCGAGTGTAGATATGAAAATGGTTGTTGCGCAAGATTAATTTTAGGCTTATATTTGAGAGGACAAGGAAGAACTGAGTTGAAATGCGATTCAATTGAAGATATGTATCAAGTGAGTGAAGGGCAATATTTCTCTCTAGTGGTGACTCTTTGCCGTCATAAGCAAGCTATGCCCCACTACTAGCCGCATGCTGAAGTTATCTTATCCGGTTCGGAATATATTTAGTCCTGCAAATCTTTCGTCATAAACAAGGATACAAATCTTATTTATTTACTGTTGTACAATAATATATGGGTCGACAAGTATCTCAAAATGGAATGTTTTTCACTTCTCAGAACTTTCGCTCTTTTTCAAGCTTTTTCAAGATATAGCATCCGCGAAGGCCCCAAAATTCAAGTATTGTATGAAAGTATTCTTGATTTATTTCATTTGAATTCATTCACTCATTCATCGCACCACTTCCTAATAGGCCTATGATACATACTGCGCTTTCAACAATTTAGCAATAGTAGTCAACTGGATATTGCTCGTTCCCTCATAAATCGCTCCAATCTTGCTATCCCTCCACATCTTCTCAGCAATACCTTCACGTACGAATCCCATCCCTATTCACATTAGCACCGCTTGATACGATTTCGAAGAACATCGACTTACCTCCCATCCACTCAATAGCAAGCCCACTCACTCTCCCAGCAACTTGTGACGAGTAAAGCTTCGCCATCGCAGCATCTCTCACAAAGTCCTCGCCAGCTTCCTTCTTACGAGCTGCGTTGTATACTAAAGCTCGCGCGGCGGCAATTTCAGTATACGACTGAGCGATCTGGTGTTGCATTCCCTGGAAGTCACCGACTAGCTGTCCGAATTGCTTTCGGTCATTCCACACATACCTGATTTCGGTTAGCAAGTACCTCACTTAGTTTGGGGAGGAACTTACTTTGCAGCATTCTCAAAAGCTCCCAATGCTAACCCAGTCATCTGAGCAGCAATACCAATACGTCCCTCATTCAATAACGAGATGGCGTATTTGTAACCCTGTCCCTCTTCACCCAAGAGATTGCTGTGAGGAATCTCAACATCATCGAAATTGAGCACACATGTGCTACTAGCCTTGATACCGAGCTTCTTCTCCTTTTTAGCTATAGAAAATCCCTTCATTCCCTTTTCAACAATAAAGGCACTGATACCCTTATAACCCTTGCTGTGATCTAGGTTTGCGAATACAATGAAGAAATCCGCCTCCATTGAATTCGTAATCCACATTTTACTACCAGTAATCTTGTAGCTTGAATCGGATTTGACAGCCTTTGTCGCAAGAGCAAAAGCGTCGGATCCAGAAATAGGCTCGGACAGACAGAATGAACCTAACAAATCAGCACCTTTCAAACCACTACTTTTCGACCTAGCTTACCAACTGTATTCGTCGCCAACTTAGGTAACCACTTCTTCTTCAACTCAGTACTAGCATACTTCAAAATCGCCGTATTAACCAATGTATTATGCACATCCACCATAACGCTAACACTGGGATCAACCCTCGCCAGCTCCTCAATGCCCACAATAGCAGCCGTGAAGTTCATGCCCGCGCCTCCGTACTGCTCGGGGATCTCAATGCCCATCAGCCCTTGCTCGAACAACTGCTCTACGATAGCGGGGTCCATTGACTCTTTCTCGTCCATCTCGCGGACTTTCGGTAGGATCACTTCGTTGGCGAATTTGGATACGGATTCGGCCATCATGGTTTCGATCTCGGACATGTGTGTTATGGGGGTGGGTATAATGTCGACGTCGTCGTCTCGCCGCCGGGCGGTGGCGGATAATGGTCTTGCACTGGATTTTGTTAATGATTATAATTGAGGATGTACTAGTATCATACTTACTGCTGGTATACTCTAGAAGCTCGAGCCGGTCGTAGAGCTGGCCTTGCTGTACATGTTGCTCTTTGTGCTATGGGGCGTAAGGCCTTCACAATCGACGCCATTCTGGGTGTGTGAGTGCAACTGAAAGGGTTCGAAGATGGAGGGCAATGAGGGCTCAGAAGATATTGTTGATTCACAAATTAAAGAAGCAGTTGAATTGCAAGATCGTGAAGAATTTGGGAAAGATGTACAATGCAAGTAGGGTCTTGACTCGTGAAGACATTCCCCAGATTTAGGGAGCGGCTGGCAGCGGGTTTGGCGGGTTTCCCGAGCGCCTCGGCTATTTCACGACCTGAATCTCCAGCGCTCCGGTCCGGGGGGTGAAATGTAACTGATCGTGAGCTGCATGGTTTGAGGGTTATTAATTATTTATATATATATTAACATGGCGAGTGTAGAATCCCTCTATGAACAGAACAAAGTGCTTATGTAGAGATGAGTTGTGCTATAACTTCTGTTTGCAGCTCGTAGGCACTTTCATAGTTGCTGAACCCAGAATCGAGCATCACATGCAAGCGCAGGTCACATATTTGGATCTAGTCCTATCTCTTTGAACAGACGTACATGATTTATGAATTCGACCTCCCATAAGTATAAGCCTATTAAACGCTCCAAATTTTCGATATAAATTTCCAAATTACAAACTGGTATAGAACGCCCATGTCCTAACGTCAAACAGCGACGCCATGGTATCATCCGCAATGCTCCCAAGCCATGTCCCAACGTGTAAACGCCATAGCACCTCCTCAAACCACATTCAAAAATCACCAAGATGGCGTGAAATTAAGTATTAAAGTTTCCTCCCCACATAGCTTCCACACACTACAGAGTTTCTACTCAGTACGCTTCCTTGGGTTTGGCAAGCAGAACCAGCAGATCAGCATGATCCCAAAAAGCCCGATAGCAATAGGATGCAAAACAAAAGTACCGGCAGCCTGTGCCAAAATACCAGTCGTGAAGGGAGCTACTGCACCACCCGAACTCCCAAAAGCACTAATGACGCTCAAACTGCTGACTTGATCTTTACGGTTGATCGCTCTGGAGAATATGACTGTCGCGCAAGGATAGACCGGTCCAAGCAGGAGTCCAACAATTGACACAGCTACAGCATTTCCGATCACGTTTGGAACGAGCCATACCAAAAGTTGAAAAGCGGCAGCCCCAACGACAACGCCATAGACGAAGACCTTTTCTCCAATTTTGTGGGCGGGGTGGGAGAGCAAAAAGCGTCCGAGAGTGATTCCAGCCCAGAAACCAGCAGTGACATATCCAACAGATGCAGGATCACCATTCCGGAAGGTGATGAGGAAAGAGATAACCCAACCGGAAATAGAGACTTCTGCTCCTTGATAAGCAAAAATGAATAGGGATCCTAGGATAACTGTCTTGGATTTCAGTGCATTTCCCATGCTAGTGAACATGCCGGTCTTTTGTGCTGGTTGTGCGTTTTGAGTACGAGAAGTGGTTTGTTCGAGAGTAGTCAAAAGGGTATGGCCAGATTCTTCCTCATAGTGCCAGAAAGACCATCCTGCAAAGGCGAGATTGAAGAGAGTGACGCCGAGTGTAATAAGATAAAACCGACTCCACATCAAGTGACCGGTTGCTACCATGCCAGTTGCCATGAGCGGACCGATGGTACCTCCTATACCATATGACCCATGCATGGAGCCCAGCATTTTCGTGCTGTTGTGAAGATTGGCGGCAAAGACGTTAGATATGGCTAGATTGATCGCCATACCCACCCCGAGAAAGAAGAACGAGGCAACGACAACAGGGAAAGGTGGCGTGCAAACGATAGGTATATAGCCAGTAGCCATTAAGGATTGTGCAATCATGAGTGTCTTCGCTCGGCCAAAGCGTGCTCGAATGGCATCGACAAAGAAGGCAGCTGAAATGAAACCAACAGCGTTTGTAACGAAGATCAAAGACACAATTGCATAACCGATGTTATAGTGTCTGTTCATAGTTAGTATCGTGAAAATGGTAAAAAGTGTTTAAACTCACGTTTCTAAGTACGGAATGAGGGCACCGGGAGCCGAGTCGTTCAAGCCATTGCCAAAATTCATCAAACACACTGCCAATAGTCGAAACCGATTCATGGGTGGATTTGAGAAGCTCTGCATAGCTTCCACTTCGTGAACAGGAGATACAGGTCTACTTTCAATGTCGAATGGTGTTCGAGGGGTCTGATATCCCGTAGGCGTCGAGGTGCCCGATTTTGATGGGCCATTAAGCCTTTCTCCCCACTGAATAGTATCCAACTCAATTTCACTCGGCGTATGAGGCATAGAGTGGTAAATCCTGGGAAGTGCTTTCTGAGGCGCGACAGGAATCACATGTTCTGATGTCTTGCCATTGCTGGTGGAAGAATCCACCTCAATGAAGGCACCAAAAGCATGAGAAGTCATCTTGCTAAGAAACGGGGGATGAGATGTAAATTAGCAAAGCGCAGAAATTGGAGTTTATGGTCAACTTGAAAAATCAAAAGCCCAAGACTCTTGCCACCGAGGTTGAGAATTCAAAAAAGATATAATAGATGTTGAATGGTGGGGGTTGATCATGCAGTAAGACTCGGAAGAAGTTTAAAAATGGTCTCCTCCGACTAGCAAATAACGATGCATTTTAAATAAAGAGGGAACCAGCCAGAAGCCGCAGAAACATCATAATAATGGATCGTTGAAGGGACCAGTGTGGAGACTCGCCCACATAAATTTTGGCGTCATAATTCGAGATGCTGGAAACGGGAGGGTAGAGAAGCGTGATTGGGGCGAAAAGGTACCTCGGAAACCGTTCTCACACTGGACTCGTAACTGTTCGAGCAGCTGCAAGAAGGCAGACCCATACAGTCACCGATTTGGAATTTTAGTTGAGAATTTGCTGAAAAATCTCACACCTTTTCCAGCACTTCAGGTTGAACTTTTTGGCTCGGGTAGGTTCCGAGCTCCACCTCGGAAAACCTTCCCTGGACCCCACGGCTAAACCCCAGAAACGAACCCCTCCAAATTTGAAAAATTTCCACAATTCGATTTGGAGTGGTACAGCAAACACTTCAGCCTTGTCGCATTCCAGACTCGAACCCAAGCACTCCGTTTTTGAAGTCACAAGTAGCTCTCATTGAGGAACTAAGTCTCGATAACATCAAATCCAAGACGTACGATTCATCGTCATGGGCCGACCGAAGCGCAATGTCACTGCAGCAGCGGAAGAGACATCTACACCTCCATCAGCCTTGACTGCTACCCAATCAATAGCTCGTGTTGTCAAAGCGGAAGGGAACAGCCTCTACACGTGCACCCTTCCCGAGGGCAAGACTCTACTACTTGAGCTTGAGTCGCGATTCCGCAACACAATATGGATCAAGCGTGGAGGATATGTGCTGGTGGACACCAAAGACGCCGCAACCAGACAGAATAAAATCGATGGCGAGATCATAAATGTTGTACGCGACGAGCACGTCTGGCGCAAAGAGTCTTACTGGTAAGAACAGGACCAATTGCATGCACAACAAACTGACCATGATCGGCTCCAGGCCCAAGGAATTCCCCAAGTCTTCTGCATATGCAGCCGATTCCGACGAGGAGGAATCTACGGTTGGCAAAATGCCCCCATCTGATTCTGAGGATGAGTAGGTATGGTCTGGAATAAGCTATACTTCAGGTCCTGGATTTCATCACGGCACCTTCGCCCTTGGGATTAACAAAGTCCTTGCGAGTACCGACCCATACGCTGACTACGGTCATGAACAATACACCCACCACAACCATCGAGCTGGCGTTAGTACTGGGATAGACATTCCAGGCCCACTCTTGGGCAGCCCATATAGAATATTGAAGGACTGGATGTAATCCGCTGCGCCAGAGAAGGAAAGGAGTTGCCAATACAACATATGCATAGAACTGGTAGTGTAAGGATCTGGCGAATAGCATGCCTATGGCATTGGCTGTCAAGATTGTCGTTAGGATATATTTCGGCGATAAACGAATTGATACAGCATGCTGCATGTTTCCGAGCGGCTCCTCCAATTTTATTGCCTTGGAGACCATATCCGTAATTGATCTTTCAGCAGGTTTCAACCATCTCGTGGTGATAAATAGCAGGAGCGCGCTCACATGGCCGATGAGTAATGCGGTAGAGAATTCTCTGCTCAAGAACGTCTCTTCGCCCACAAACCTCCAATTGACAGTCCATTTGAATAAGAATTGTCGCGAGAATTCGAACGCACGCTGGAGATAACCGCTCGCATTTGTTGTTAAGAAAGGAAAAGCGAGGATGATTTGTACCTGTCCCATAAGCCAAGCTTGCTTGAGACTTGCTTGAACACCTCGATTCAAGAACAAGGCGACCCCAATTGCTGGCAGAGCAAGAAGAACCGACATCTTTATCCCCAATGCCCAACTGTATGCCAAACTCCCTAGAGTCCATAACTTTCGTTGAAAAGCGTAAATAGCAACCCATAAAAAGAACACCGCGAAGCAATCGTTGAATAATCGGAGCACAAATATGCTATGCAGACGTTTCGACAGGACGAGCATGGGAAGTATATACGTAGGAGCCTGTATCAAAACCATCAGCAGCTTTCCCTCCATCCAAAATTCGCAGTTACCTTCGCCCTCCTATAACAAGCCATCACAACCGCAATTGTCGCCAGATACAACACCCCAAATATCCTCTGCGCAGTCATGATATCCCTTCCTTTATCCGTGACATGGTATAAGATCCAATAAATATACACATGCGCGGCTGGATACACTAATGGTCCTGTTCCGCCTTTGATCACTGTATAGTCTCGTTCGCCGTCGACGTACTGTTGGATCTGCTCCATGTAGGCTTTCCAGTCGATTTCTGTGTCTGCCAATCCATTAGCTCAAGATTGAAAATAGTGATTGGGAGTTTTGGACCTACAGGATACTTTGTAAATAATAGCACTTGTCAACAGCGCATCGAAGAGCAATAGCAGCGGACTCGCATATTTCGACAACGGATGATTCCCCAATGCAAAATCTTTCAATTGCCTATACGCCAAAACGAATCTCGACTTTTCTGCTTCTGCGGGCGCCATAACTGCGGTTTTGGGGCTGCAAAGGTGTGGAAGGGGAAAAGTTGGGTGTTGTAACTGTACACGAAGCTCTTAAGTTTTGGGAGACGCGAGGCCGGGATTGGACCGGGGTGCTTGAGCTTGAGCTTCTACAACACAAATACGGGTCCGCAATTGCATATTCGAATTGAACGGCAAATACACAAGATGTTTTCTCTACGCCCACTTCTTGCTAGAAACACAGCAGCAAAACTCTGTACTCGCTGCCTCTCTACCATTCGCCCAATCCCCAGACCTACCATCCTCCCCTCACATACCCTCACCCGCTCAACCCCCCCAAACCTCTTACCCTCTCTCTCCCGCAACCTCCCCTCCCACCGCACATACGCATCCAAATCCACAGCCGACACGCTCATCGACGAAATAACAGACCAATACGCCACCGCACGCGACGAATTCGAGATCGCCACGGAGGAAACAGAGAAGCAGACGACGTATGGGCAGGCGGATCGGGACGCGGCGCGCGCGGAGCTGGATAAGCTGAAGGGGATGTATGAGGACGCGCTGAGGACGGAGGATGGGGAGGAGATTAAAAGGAGGGTTGGGGGACGGATTCGCGAGTTGGAGGGCGCGGTTAGGGCGTTGGAGGAGAGTGTTGAACAGGGTGATCATTAGGTGGGAGCTGGGGAGAGGAGGGGAGGGGAGGGATTAGATGTGAGGGGACTATATGTGTGGAAGAGAATTGTATACTTCGCGGTTGTACGATGAAGGGGTGTATGCTGTATATATGGGTATGGGTTGGGTGTATGATATATTCGGAGCTCGACATGAAGATACAATACAAGCGAGCAATGCTCTAATTCAAACTAGTGCTTTTCATTCTATGAAACACAATCTATGTGTAAAGTCTATATGCTGACAGTCTATAGTAAAACCTCCTCCTCTAGCCTATGCCATCTCCATGACCGGGTTTCTTTTCTTGAAATCCGCGTGTCCTTCGGCAGCGACGGTCTTTACATCTGTCTTGCCATCATGGATTGCTTTGACAGTCTGTAGAATTGTGGAGAAGTCTGAGAACTCAGTGAAAGGGACGTTTCCTTTTACGCAGTATGTAACGAGATCTAGTAACAGTCAGTGTATATACTCTGTCTGGATTATTTCGTACTTACCCATATTCTTCTTTGCAAATAACAGGTCTGTTTCCTTTGCTGCAGAGAGATCTGACACTCCGTCTCCAGCATAGAACATCACTGGTTTCTCGCCTTCTGGCAGCTCTTTATAAGGTCTGATTTCGAGGGACTTGTCGTGTCCGAAGTGACTTTAGGAGAATGTCAGCTCAGTATGATCTGCCAATTCCCACTACAAATTCCAAAGACCAGCTCCTTCATAGCATTTCTAAGACGCACCTATCATCGTGGAACACTATTTGCCATCCGCCCTCCTCGTTGATGTTCTTTCCGTCCCGTGAAGCAACATTATTACTAACAATCTGAATATCCTCTGCTTCCGGGCCAACGAGTTTCAGCAGTAAAGCACGAATAATTGGCACCATTCCACTACTGAGAACGACTACTGGGACATTGTTCGCCCTACACCACGTATAAAACTCCTTGAAAGCGGGATCAAGCTGAATGTTCTCCAGTAACGTCTTGATACACTGATCGTAAGGAGTTTTAACACTGTCCATCATTTCCTGGAAGGAATCTCTGAAAGACATTCGATTGTAAAGAACATCGGCGTTGCCCTTCTTTCGAAGAGTTTGACCGTAGCCAAGGTTGTCGGTAAGGAAATCATTTGAATCACGGAGGGTGATGGTGCCGTCGAAGTCGGAGAAGAAGATGAATTTTGGGTTCGTTCTCATTGCGGGAAGAGTAGAGGTAGTCATATTGGAGGATATGTATATATATCTATGGAACGCTTTTAGAATAATAGCTTCAAGAGTTGAGTAATAGCCGGTTCTACACAAGAGGTAGAGCTTGGAGGAATTTGCTTTAAGGCTGTTTTCTAGTGGGGGTGTTACATACTTGAAGGAATAATAGGGAACGGCCAAATTAGGAGAAGCAACAAAATCTATAAAATCTACAATCTGCGCAAAAGAAGAAGTAACTGATAACTCTAGGGAATCTCTCACAAATGAACGACGGATGGCTTGCAGATGGTGGGGGTGGGGATGAAAATGCCAACCCCACTACTCAAAAGCGGTGAGAAGCGGGAACGGGCCATGTCCAAGCCATCATTGGGAGCTTCAATCTGGAACCCTCAAAAAGTTCAGTAAAGTCTCATCGATTCTAACCTTCGAGGTCCACGGCGATGCAACCACTTGCTCGTTCTGTCCCAAGGCTTTTGTTTAAATCAATTGGGAACACCTCAGCTTCCCGGTCCATTCATTTATCGAAACGTCCTTCTTTTAGTCCGTCAATCTGTCTACAATGTAGAATTAAGACGCAGAAACGGTACTTTGCCGAACCACCCAAATCTACAACAACATCAGATACCCCCGCAAATCCATCACAAGCTGTCCCTTCCGAGCCATCGAAAAACGCCGGAGATGTTCCTCCGTCAGAGCTCCCATCTGTGGATGAGGGACGCCGAAGCGCAGCCGCGAAGAGATTGTCACATTTAATGGACCATTTGCAAGGCAACATCTTCATAGCATCTCAGCGCATAAACGATTTAACGGGTTACTCTGGTATAGAGGCGCTTAAAGTTCAAATCACAGAACTAGAGAAACGGGTTCAGGATGCCCAAGAATTGGTACGCAACTCGCGAAATGCGTACAAAACCACAGTGGCAGACCGAGCCGCGACACAACGAGAAGTTACTGGTCTGCTAGCTCGCAAGGACACATGGAATCCGGCAGACTTGGAAAGATTTACGACATTGTACCGTATGGATCATAGTAATGAACAAGCAGTTCAGGATGCGGCAACAAAGTTGGCGGATGCGGAGAGGGAAGCAGAGCATGCTGCTAGTCGATTAAGTTCGAGTATTCTCAGTCGCTATCATGAAGAGCAGATTTGGAGCGACAAAATAAGGAGGATGAGTACGTGGGGAACTTGGGGATTGATGGGTGTCAATGTTTTGTTGTTCCTGGTATTTCAGTTCGGATTCGAGCCTTGGAGAAGGAAGAGGTTGGTCCGCGGGTTTGAAGAGAAGGTTCTTGAGGCATTGGAAAAAGAGAAGATTCTGGCACGCCATTTCAATACCGAAAATCCGGCGATTGCGAACGAAGAGGTAGTCAATGAGGCTGTGGCTTCTGCAATAGAGCCCGCTGTGGAAGAGGACCTTGCAAGTACAATCGGCAGCGAGCCAGCAGTGGAGACGTTGACATCCCCAATATCCGAAGAAACTTCCAACCTCGATGCAGAAGAAGCTGCTGCAATGGATGCTGCAGAAATACACAAACCGTTCGATTACCACCAGTTGAAAGATCCTGAAACGTGGAAAACCGCAGCGAATACCTGCAAAGAAGCAGCGGAAGACTTATTCAGCGAGCGTAAAATTTCGCTACCGAAGAAAGATGTAACAATAATTGCATTAGAAGGGGCGGCCACCGGAGCTGTCATAGTAGCTATCATCGCCACTCTCCTACGCCCTGCTATAGGACGGTAATCTGTATATATATAACGAGAATTGTACAACATTTAATGAACATTCAAACATAACTTCACTATTTACACTCTTTAAATATTTGCACTCTTTAAATATTTACACTCTTTAAATATTTACACTCTCTAATATTTACACTCTTCTCCATATCCTATTTCATTTAATCATCAATATGCCCCCTCCCTCTTCCTCCAATCCGGCTTCTCCACCATCCTCGGTTCCTTAAAACTACTCCAAACCGGCACGCCCGCCACCAACTCAAAACCACTCAACCTCGCACCCCCCTCCTGCTGCGCCCACACCTCAACACCCACCCAGTTCTCTCCCCGTGGATTTATAATCCCCTGCGGAACCGGGAATCTCGTCTGCGGACCGACGTTATTCACGTATTTCCCGTACTGATACCCGTTCACCCACAGCTGGGCGCGGTAATCGCTCACGCTGCCGTCGGCGTTAGTGGTGTTCCCGAAGGTGAAGGAGAGAGGGATGTCGTAGTTCCGGGGGAGGTCGAGGCGGAATGAGGATTGGTAGAATGCTACGCCGGGCTTTGTGGTGCCGGTTAGGGGGGAGAGGGAGGGCCAGGACCGAGATGGTGGGTAGGGTTGTGTGTAGCCTTGTCGTTCGGCGTAGAGACCGCCTTCGTTTAGGGGACCGCGGACTTTATCGATGTAGTTCTCGCCGCCGAGGTTTCCTGTTAACTTCCAGGTCACCGACGACGCGGCGTGACCAGAGAGACTGTATGCGAGGATTCCGCGTGGATGTTTCATTTCGTCGGGTCCGACGACCCAGTTCTCGTCGAGACCGTTGTTGTCGATGACCACCGTGAAGACGTAGTTCTTGCCGGCGATGAGATTCGGGAGTTTGTAGGTGGAATTGTAGTTTGTGGCTCTGTCGATGCCGGTCCAGGAACCGATGTAGGTGCTGTTTAGCCAGACGGAGGAGCCGAATGCGGAACCGCCTTGGGTTTGGATCGCGAGGGTGGACTCGTTGCCCGTGGCGGTGAAGTGGCCGCGGTAGAGGAGGACGCCGGTGTGGTAGCCGTAGTCGGAGGCGAAGAGGGAGGTTGGGGTGCGCAGGGCGTAGGTGTTGTTAGTGGAGGGGTGGTTTGCGACGGTCCAGAGGGAGTCATCGTAGGTTGGTTGGATCTCGGGGAGGTTGTCGAGATATTTCCATGACAAGGTGGAGAGGTCTGGGAGGTTGACTGTGGGTGCTGTGTATGGAAGTGTGCCGCTCCATTCTCCTGTTGTTGAGTCGACGGTGATGTCTACTTTCAGGGTGTTGAAGTGGAGGGATCGAACGTTCGATGGGGCACCGATGACCTTGATTGGGACGGTGGCGTTCAAATCACCGTCGATGTGGAGAGCAGGACCGTCGATGTAGACTTTTCGGACTAGATAGCCCGCCTGGACGATTACTGACGACATGTTTCCAATGTTAGAAGTGCTAAAGTAGTTAGTATTTTGAGATTCTACCGGTTCTGAGATAACTTACTATGTTCCCCATTCATCTGTTCTAGCAAAATCAGGCGTCCACATGTTGTACGCTGTATTGCGATCTAATGCATATACAAAGACGTTTCCAACTTGAATGACTTGTCGAGTGGCTGAGACTTTCCAGTTGAGAATAGTTGTACCATTGGTGCTCTTAGAAGTGACAGCACTTCCCTCGAGTTGTTTAGCGACGCTATTGCCCTTGATAGCCAACTCATGTTGCTCTCCTGGTCCGCCATACACTACCAAGACTGTCTTACTGTCGAACTTCTTCCAGGTGAAAATTTCAGCAGTGGAGTATAGAAGTGTGGTTCCGCCGAGGTCGTAGTCTGTGACGTGGAACTTGGAGTCTCTACCACTGAGAGTCAATGAGCCACCGAGTTGAGGTGCAACGATGACTCCTGAGCTGGTGTTGAGGCTCATCTTGTAAGTAGTAGAGGTGGTTTGCTGGTAGTCCGCATGCCTGACGACGCTGAAGAAATAAATTAGCATCAATCGTACACATCCCTTCGTAGGCCATAAACTTACTAGAAGTTGGTTGAGGTACCAATTCCAATCAATGGGGTGGTGTAGATGGCGGAGGAATCAGCATAAGTACCAGTGACTGCCTTTCCAACACTTGCTGTGAGGATAGCAGGGCTGACTTTGAGGAAGTTCGCCTCCAATTTGACTTCGCTGTATTTCTCTCGATAGATTTCACGATTTTCCGCAATGCTAGAGCCGTAATCGTAACTAGTATATCCTCCAGCGTGGCCGAGATTTCCCCAATTCCTGTGTACGTTAGCTTCCGGTTCTACTTAAGTAGCCAATAAGAAACCAAAGCCCTTAGAGGTCACTTACGTTCCACCAACTGCAACATGTTAGCTCAATGTCTAATCATAGTTAATGGAATACAACTTACAAATCATGTAGATGTTAAACAGCGTTGCCCCTGCAGCGAAGTTGTTTTTGTAAAATACACGTTCAAACTCCATGTTCAAGAGCACGGAACATTGGTCAAAACCCTAGTAGTATTTCGTTAGCGTCACGAAATCGGTAGACTCTCTTCGAGTTGACATACCAGTCCGCCCCACGGGTCAAAAGCTCCACCTTGGAACTCAACAAGCGAGAAGGGTGTGGAAGGACTCTGTGCTTCATGGGTAGCATGGTAATTTGTTGGGAGGCCCTTAGCTGGCCAAGTGTAAGGGTTGGCGCAATCGAATCCTAGCGGATATGCGTCGTGGCCATAGATGTCGACGTTGGCTTCCATAGTGCCGTTGGTTGTTGTCCCAGGCGCAAAGATACCCTTGGGTGCTACATAACATTAATACATTTTAATCAATCACATGAAGGGTACGAGTGTACATACAAGCATCGTTGCTAATGAAAGGCACCACAATACCAGCATCTCTAAGCTGCTTCTTGATGTAGGCAAAGTAATCAGGATCCGGAAAGCCTCCAGTCACTGGGCCGCTTGATCCAGTGTATTCATTCTCAGGCTGGACCAAAATTACAGGACCGCCATTGGTGATTTGAGCAGCAGCAATGGTTTTGCTAACATGTGCCATATAATTATCCGTAGCAGCTAAGAAGTCTGGGGCTCTCGTTCGGAGTTGTCCTTTAACACGTTGGACCCATCCTGGGAAACCACCACCACTGACTTCTGCGTTAATATATGGTCCTGGACGAGCTATGAGGTAAATGCCAGCTTCCTTTGCGGCATCGAAAAAGGGTTCCAACGCAAAGATACCCTCTGCGGTATAGACTCCAGGCTGGCCCTCCAAAAGAGCCCAATCAACGTAGAAGGATACGCAATTGAAACCAAGTGCCTTGATTTTTTGAAAAACATCGAGGTATAGATCGGGGACTGGTAGTCTGTAAGGGTGAAACTCGCCCGAGAATGTGAAGACACGTTCTCCGTGGATCATCAGCGAATGCTCATCGTAGGTGACCTAAATTGACATTAGATCTTCGTGATAGACGGATAGGAGGTAGTGAAAAATGGCAGGAATCCCAAATACTCACAATGTTTTGCAATCCATCACTATCTCGTTCAATGAACATTTGCTTGCCTCCGACGGCTAAAGAGAGAGTTCTAGCCACAAGGGCCAAACTTGTCAGAGCACTGAGGAGCTTCATTGTGTCGGCGTCCTTGATTCACTGATCCAGTTGAACTTGGAGAGAGAAATCGAAAACGACCGAAAGTGGAAGTGAAAGACTGGATATACTTATACGACATACTTACTGCTAGCTATAGCTACCTTACCTTGCTTGCATAGCACAAGAGGGGCAACTCAGAAATCTTTAAATCCGTCTGGCAATCGTTGCCCGGTTGAGCAGGTCCGTCAGGTACAGAATGCAGTCTGATATAATACGGTCTGCAAATGACAGCGGGGTAGAGCACGTCAAATATTGCAATTGACCAACCACAACAATGGCAGAGCAGACTCCACGATCGTAGCGCCACTCCCGTACCCCATACTTGGACAAATGCTTGTCAGGTTCGGCTCCATGCTTAGCCTGACATGAGCGTTGTTGGAGAGCGGAGGGGAAAATTGAAAGCGCTCCAATCAAAACGAAGGGTAACTTAATACCGGGCAAATTCTTCGGGCAATCAGGTGCCGGACTTCGGATAGAAGCTCTATAGAGTTTAAGCAATTGAGAATTTGTAAGAAATGAAGCAGAAATAGTGACGAAGTAGAGAGGGGTTCGCGGATGTCGGGGAAGAACCAAGCCATACAAAGCCAGAGAAGCTTTGGTGGCTAAATGTGCGATGCTCGTATAGATTTCGGATCAACCAGATTTTTCCGAGATGTAGCTATTGGCTTCATGGAGATTTCAAAACGTACATCGAGAGAGGGATCGCTTCAGACGAATGCAATCTTCGAATATTGTCGTCCGTCTGGAGCGTCTCCATCTCGCTTCGGCAACGCAGCATTGTGTAGAGCTTGTTGCTGAAAAGCAACTCATTCTGGTTTGTTTGATCATCTATGCCTACCATGTGTGAGTTTGAAATAAAACAATTGTAATTCTCTATCAGCACAATAGAAATTATCTATTTTGCTGTCGAGGCGCTGCTTGATCAAGAGCAGAAGCGTTGTCCGGCCCAACTTTGAGCGCGAATCAATCTTAAGCGTTGTTCGTAGTCGCAAAAGTTGCATACAAGAACTTTCTTTTGCTAGCTTAAACCAGAAAGGTTGACAACGAGAGAACCGAGGGGTTTTCGACATAATAATACCTTGAGAATAACCTTGAAACTCTTGAAAGGTTTGACGCGAAGTTTGAGTTGACCATCGCGGCCATCGTGTCGAGTCACGTGACGGTTCAACTTTTAGACTAAACCATTTCCAGATATCGAGATCAACCACCTCGAGAAGCAGCGCCATCGATATCTGTCATTGTCAATACAACACAATGGCGACCTCATTATTGCGCAGCTTGCTGACACCGGCGCTGCGTATGCCTGCTGTATCGACGGCAAAAGCTTCTACATCCTTATCCCAAACTCTGCGAAGAAATTTCTCTGCGACGCCTACGCCATTTGCTACATACAACCAAGTTGCAAAGGTACGAAACCCTCGCTCCTCGCTGCGACATATTCATTCTAACTGCAATTTAGGGATGTCGTTCTGCACAACGAGCACGTAAAGCTGTTTCGCCAGCGCTGCGAGATGTCAATGCCCCCGCGTTAAAAGGAGTCTGTCTAAAAGTCGGAATCACAACACCAAAGAAGCCCAATTCGGGACAGAGGAAAACTGCGAGAGTACGCTTGAGCACGGGTAGAGTGGTTACGTGTTATATACCAGGCGAAGGACACAATGTGCAGCAGCATTCGGTCGTGTTATGTAGAGGGTAGGTTCAGAGGCGTTCTGGGATCTGATGGAGCTAACGATATTGTTTAGTGGGAGATCACAGGATTGTCCCGGTGTGAGATATCATTTGGTCAGAGGTGCTATGGATTTGGGAGGTGTTGGAAACAGAGTTACGAGTCGATCAAAATACGGAACCAAGAAGCCTAAGAAGGCTGCTGCGTAAAACCGAACATCCATCGCGAACTCGGCAGAAAATCGAACGCAACAAGGAAAGCGGATCGCAGGCCAGGATACTACTCGTAGGTTACGGCGTTTGTGGTATATTGTAGAATATGGGGCTGGAAACAGAATGAGGGGAGAGGTTGACATGCGGGAATCCGAAGACTCCACAGAGCATTAGTGTACATTACCGGATGAAGGATGTTACGAACTAGAGATACCTATGATTATCTAGGTATTTCAAGATCTGACAGGAATCCTCGCAATATATCACATCTTATTTGTTAGGAACCTTATGTGATGCACTGGTGACCGGGTTACTGGACGAAATTTGATTTCACAGCGACCGTTCGAAGGCTTGTCAGATCATGGCCCAGGAAACTCAGGTACAGTACAATATTAAAACCAGGTAAGTGGCAAGATCTGATGGATGGACAAATCGCGAGTTTTTATTAAAAAATAACTAAAACTTGACATGCTGCTAAATAGACACTGGGAGTCATTCGAGGACTTACAGGAGTACTGCATGTTCTTCAACAGACAGGATGGAAATCACAAATGTCAAAGGTCATCTGAGAAGTGTTTGACAAGAATTCTATAACCGTGTGTTACATACCACATACTGGTTAACCAAACTCACATCTTATCAAGCTGAGGACATTTGCCCGCGTTCTCTACGGTGAACACTTTCAAAGTTAGATGTATTCTTGGTATGTAATCCGTATTCTAAAGTATAGGAGACCCTACACCGAACAACTATGCTGACGCCCAATTCTCAGATCAAGAACACCAAACACCCTATTATCCAACACACACTTATCGATACTCACGACCAATCACCCGGACCCAAGTCAGTCTCACGTCCATTATTCTTGTCCTCGATAATCTGCTCAATGCTCCAAGGCTCGAACTTATACCCAGGTGGGTAGTTCGGTGGAATACTGTCATCAGCATCATGAGGAATACCCTTCTTCATGGACTCCAATGACTTGGCGTAATTCTCCTGCGCGTAAATCTCTGGATCGTGCGACCAGATCCACTTTGGCATCTTAGGAACCGACTTCTTTGGGTCCAACTTCACCTGATCCCACTTCGTCTCCTGCAGCAACTCGGCGTTAGAAAATCCAATCTTCTGGGCACATGCTGTTCGCACGAAGCGGAATCGGATATGGGCGTTGACGGCCTGTGGAATGTTGTCCTTGCCGCCGAGCTGGAGACATGTTGCGAGGGAGATGGCGTCCTCGATAGCTTGGGTGGCGCCGTTTCCGGACGCTGGCAAGAAGGAGTGAGCCGCGTCGCCGATTTGGATGACGCGGGATTTTGGCGATGTCCATGTTGGTTGCGGGTTTCGCCAAAGGAGGTTGAAGTTGATGATGGTGTCTTTGGGAGTGCATGCTACGAGTTTCTTGAAGACAGGGGCCCATTGAGGACCGGACATCTTTTCCATGTGCTCGAGGACTTCCTCTTTGTCGATGGTGTTGTTCCAATTTTCTTCTTCGGAACCGGTTGTCTGTTGGCTGTTAGAGGAGGGACCGCGAACGGACTTACGAGACACTTACGTTGTGGTTCATGATCCAAATCATGAGATCTGGGCGTGTGAGACAGAGTGCGTATGCGTCAGGTCTGAGGAAGCATGTTAGTACCGCTTTCACTGTCTTTCGAAAATCCTACTCACGCAAGGAATGTTCTGACAATTGGCTTGCTACCGTCAATCATGCAGAAAGTCTTCTTAACCTCCTCATCTTGATCAAGGTTCTCGATTGGGAACGCTGCTCTCCACATGGCTCTTCCACTCTGGATGGCACGGACTTGGCCTCCAACAACGCGTTGAGATTTCGATCCAACACCATCAGCAGCAATGACAATGTCGGCCTCGAATTTCTCTCCATCCTTGGTGGTGATACCAGCTTTGCCGGTCTCCTCATCCTCATAGTAGTCTACAACATTCTTACCGAACTGGACCTTGATTCCAATTCTCTCCACCTGCTTCACAAACATCTTGTAGATGAGAGGTCGCATTTGGAATGTTCCTGGTGGTGTTGAAGGGTTCAAACCTTGAGCGGCCAATCTGTCTCGGACTCTCATCGGTGGCACCATAACCTCACCACTGTGCTTTCTTGTCTCAATATAAGCATCGTGGAGTCCAATCGAGTCAAACTCCTTCTTCATCTCTGGCCAGTGCTTGAAAATCACGGTAGAACTGAGGCCCATGAAGAACATATCACCTATCACGATCAATTTCTGGTTCATATTTCTGCACCGCTCAATAATACGCACCTGCAGTGTTGATTGTGTCATTCTTCTCAAAGACACGAACGTTCATTCCCTTGCGGTGACATTCGAGAGCAGCTGTTAGACCAGCCAATCCAGTTCCGACAATGATTACGTCAACGCCATTCTTAGGATACTCTCGAGTTTGCTGTGAGTTATTGTTAAGGTCTGCATCTGAGATTGGAGCCATGATTGCTATTGATTTCGGTGTATGAACAGACAGAATCTCAATTGAAACTGATTATCTGCAAAGCCAAGCGAAGGGACGCCTATATCGACGCTTTTGTATATTCCCCAACCCAATCCTGCCATGTCTCGAGTCCGACAGACAGCAGACGAGACACCAACCAACGGACTCCCGGTGCTTATCCATAACAATTGTTGGACGATTATCCTCACAATCGTTCCACCAATTCGTGCGCTAAACCTTCCAAAGGGAGTTAGTTTTCACGACGGAGGATCGGTCTGCAGTTTCTCCCGACACGACATTATCTTCCACAGTAACAGATGAAACGGCGTTGTATCGCCCGGATACCGATACATATTGAGAGGGATATCAACCTTTATCGATGAATCATTAATTGACGGCGTCCTGTACCTAAGCGCCTATCCCCTATTTTTGCCGGAAAGGCGGGAGCTAAGCCTGGACACCCCCACCAACTCATGCAGCTTTCGGCATTTCCCCAGCCTTTGTCCACTCGCTCCCCACAAACATCAGGTCCGTTAGATCTCATCCGCCTTGGACTCGATCTCGTAGCGAGGTTTCGTATCAATCGCAATAGTTATTGTTTCGTTTTTGGCTCTAAGTACGTTCAGGTCCAGGTCGGAGATACCATCAATGGTAAAGTAGTAATTATGAACGTTTCACTGTCTCATGTAATTTTAATGTGCTAAGACCGGACGTTATACAGGATTTATTTTGGCATAGAAAGTCTGTATATTTCGGACTCATTCAGGCGTCGCCAATTCTTGAGGTACATAATATCGACGGTCTGGACTTATGATTAATCGACTTGAAAACGCTTCCAACATTTCAGATACTACCCAAGGCTTTGGAGAAGTACTGAATTCTGACATCTGCAAGTCGTTGTCCAATCTGAAGTCCGGATCTGCTCGCTAGAGCGTGCTTTTTTCAAGCTACTGTCGACATCGGCGTTGGGACAAGACCCAAATTGATCTAAGCAACCCAATTTCTCCAATCTTGCACCATGATCATGTATCTTTCAGCTTTTATATTCACGTCACTGATCGCTGTGGTTTGATTAGCTGCTGCGTCCCTCCAAGGCTGAACGGTGGTAAAGGATCCATGTCGTGGCAAGTCTGGTTTCGTTCCAACAATCACTTCCTGCAGTACAGCGACTTGTATCACCGTATCTCACATAAGGTGTAGCAAAGCTTGATCAATTCTCAATTCGGAAAAGTCTTTCAGGGATGGGTCCCAGCAATTAATTCCTTGCATTGAGCCTCCGCAATGGTGTACCCAAGACCCGAATCTTCTTCATGGCAGATCGTGGCTGTTCTTCACACACCCACAATTCTCAATACCCGTATGAATGGATGATGGGTCCTGTACTAGTCTAGGTCATTATAGAGGCCGTGATTCCGCGATTTCTAGTCGCTCCATTCTTTGATATACTCTGATCACCCTGCTGCTCGTGTTGGAATTGTCTTTCCTAACCACCAACTACAATATGCATTGGTTAACGTTGCTACTAGGCGTCGCCTTTCTAGGGGCTGTCGTATACAGAGCCCAACAGAAGAAGACCAGTAAAGCCAAGATCTATGAGTTTCCAGGCCCATATCAGGTTCCTTACATTGGTCGTATCCATGACCTACCCATCCAGTACATGGTTAGTCTTGACTCAAGTATTTTGGACACGCGTCAAGCGTTATAGAACTCGTATGTTGTACGTTCACATTACTGACTATTTGAATAGTGGTTGAAGTTCTACGAGTGGGCGAAGACATATGGACCTATCTATCAGACATCCATGCTTGGTGCGAAGTTTATTATTATATCGGATGAAAAAATCGCAGAGGATCTACTTGTCAAACGTGCAAAGATCTATTCTGACAGACCCCAAATCCGATCGCTCTTCGACGCCAAGAGCACTTATGGATCAATGGAGTATTTGCCCTTGATGGGTCGAAACAGTGAGTCCTCAGTTGATTCTGTAGGTATTTTGTGTATCTGACTGTTCAATAGAATATTGGTCTCGTCAAAGACGTTTCACTCACTCTTATCTGACCGAAGCTACCAACAACCAGTACTATGGAGTGATGAACTTTGAAGCGAAAAGATTTCTCAACAACTTGCTCATCAACCCTGACAACTTTGGTTTCTGGCTTGAAGATATGGCTTCCAAGATCATGTGCCAGCTCACATGGGACGACACCAGCTTCAGCGCTATGTACACTCAAAACGCTTGGGGGCTTCTCACTCAGATGTCTCCCGCTGGACCCATTACAAATCTGATAACTCCACTCTGGGAACTGCCCATTCCAATCAACCCATGGAAGAAAGCTGAACGTATTCGACATGACGAACAACAAGCCTTATGGATGAAGCTCTTGTTGAACACACGCGCCAAGCTCGAAAAGGGTGAGGCTCGATCCTGCTTCACCAAAACATATCTCCAGAATGAGAAGACCACGAATCTTTCTGGTGACTACGAGGCTTCTTCTGTTATCGGTATGATGGCTCTAGTCGGTATCTTCACTGTCGCCGGTCCTCTCTGGTACTTCCTCGCAGCCATGGCGCTTCATCCAGAGTGGCAAAAGAGAGTCCAAGAGGAGATTGATGAGCAATGTGAAGGAAGAATGCCAACGCTGGACGATGCGCCAAAGCTTCCAATTCTGAGAGCTTGTATTGTGGAGACACTTCGCTGGAAGCCTAATGTGCCAACTGGTATGTTATGAAAAAAAGAAATAATGTTTAATCAGGCTAACGGTCATAATAGGTGTTGCACATGAGGTTGAAGCCGATGATTGGTACAATGGCTGTTTCATCGCTAAGGGAAGTCGTATCTTACCTCTTGACTGGTAAGTATCTTGATTCAATATTTCGGACCATGATTAACAATGTTTCCAGGGCATTTATGCACAATGAAGACAAATACCCAGACTCCTACAATTACCACCCAGAACGCTACCTTGAAGAAAAATGGCCCACATACAAAGAGCCACTCACCCAGTTCCCAACAGTAAAAGGCCTCACCTCCTTCGGATTCGGCCAACGCCAATGTCTCGGCCAGTCCCTAACCCATGATGAACTCATCGTCGCTTGCGGCGCTCTCTGCTGGGGATTCAACATGAAGAAGAAGATCAACCCCAAGACCGGCAAGGAGATTGAGATCGACATCAACAAATCTAACTCTCTTCTTATCGTTAAGCCAGATGCTTTCCAGATGGCGTTTGAGCCCAGGACTCAAGACAGAAGAAAGGAAATTGTTCATCAATGGGAGGTCGCTGAGAAGAAGGATATCGAGGAGCGTGCTGAGTTTTTGAGGAGCGCGAAGGCGAATTTCGTTACGGTTGCTGCTTGAGATTTGAGGGTTTTGTAAGATGGTTATGATGTAGATCAGCGCGTGTGGACTTTTCTTTTGCGTTTAGAGTATGATTGGATTTCTTTGGATAGATTCCCGGATTGATGAATGAATATTCTCACTTTTTTCGTAATATATCTTATTTGACTCTGATTGATCATGACTATACCATTTATTTTCCTCTTTTTCTGTCGTGGTAATGCGTCAATCACTTTCCAATTCCCAAACAAAGTTACTGAACAACCGCTATCTAACCACCTCACCATCTAAATCTTTACTCCATACTATCGTCAACTTCTTCGGAAACACCAAGTACATATTTCCCGAGATTAAGGTTCAGCAACCAAGCCAGGCCAGGGTTCACATTCAGCAGATCTGGGTGGGTCAGGGGGGATCGGTCGAAGCGAGGTCAAGACTTGGCACTAAGCCGACGCTACGGACGTCCATCTTAATCTAAGCAGGACGCATACAGCATACGAGCGTCCAAAAAGAACATTTCCACATGATATGCAACTTTGTGGGTTTAGATGAGGCCATTCGTTTATCGTGATGACTGATCGAAGCCATGTTTTTCGTGCAGAACGCCTGTCATCATTGACCTACCAATCACGGAGTCGTGTCACCCTCGCGCTATTTTGCCATTTTTGGTCGGTGTTCGTGAGTACCGAGTACTATGAGGCCCACAAGGTTATATGTTGCCAGTGTCCGACTTCGTAAGTACGAAGTGAAGCGAAACAGCTCGGTCGTCGGCAGTCCGATATGTCCAGTGGAGTGAAACTTGCGTGAGATACTACTGTCGGTGGTCTCGCTAAGGAGAGATATATGTAGGTATCTGGGCGTACGACGAGATGTGTAGACAATCACTCATACAACTTCAACCTCTTTAGTATCAACCAGAAACTTCTCTCATTACTTCACCCAAAATGACTGTCCTCACTTTACAGCGTATCGTGCTTGGCACGAGCATTGCCTTCTCATACACCCTCTTCGGTAACGTCAACACCAAAACCCCATCATCATCCCAATAAACTAACAATCTCAGGAAATGCCATAACCCAATCCTTCATGACCATCCCCGCCCTCCTAGCAGACTTCCCACCACCCTCCTCCCCCGACTACAGCAGCCGCGCCACCCTCCTCGGAAAACAATGGCCACACTGCTGGGCCGTAGGCAACGTCTTCTTCCGGCCCATCTCAACTCTCGGCTTCCTCTCCTACCTCTACTCGGCCATTGTATCCTACAACAACGCCGCCGCGCTCGGCGACTACCGACTCTTCGCTTTCTGCGCGGTTAGCAACCTGATTGGTATCGTGCACTCGGCGGTTAACATGCAGCCGCTTAATGATAAGTTGGCGAGTTTGAATGTGGAGAGTATGGAGGCGAAGAGGGCGGGGATTACGAGTTTGAAGGGTCAGTTGAAGGATGGGGAGGCGGTGTTGAGGAAGTGGGGGAATTGGAATTTGGTTCGCGTTGTGGTGCCGCTTCTTAGTGGGACTATTGCGCTTTCTCAATTTATTTGAGCTGGTGGATGGGTTGTTAGATGTTGTATTTGGTGAGAGTGGAAGATGTGGGGCTGGGGTGGAATTAAGCGAGAGGTTGAGGGGGGTGGTTTGGGGGTGAAGTGGATGTGTGAAAGTCTGATTCGTGACAGGGGTTGTAAATATGATAAGCAATTGGTGGTATCGCAAAGAATAGTAGTAGTCAAATTAAACTATTGAAATATTGAAAGTATGTATTATCCAAGCCACTGTGTATGCGATTGTGCTTTTTCAGCTTGAGATGTCTATCTCGCTTAAACGTAGTCGGCGATACATGTATGTCTCGGTGTGTCGAGCTTGTTGATACCACACCGAGAACATGTAGATATCGGTAATAACTCAAGAATGCGCCAATAAGGTCCTCAAGAGTTTCAAAATGACTAACAAAATCAAGAAAAGGTCTGATAACACTTGTTCCTTGAGCATACTAAATGAAAGCTCCATCCGAACACCATGAACAAATCAATTATTTATCCAAACAATTAAGAAGTAGAGTTTCTCAATACTAATTACTTAAAACTTCCCGTACAAGAACATCACCAAAATAAGCACATAGCCCAACATTAACCACTTATCCAACCCAAGATTCAAACTCTTCGCAAACCCTCCCTTTCCATCCCTCATAACATTACTCTTCCCCAACCCACTCAACTTCTCATGCAACAACTTTGCCTTCGCACTATCCACAAACTCCGTAATCTCCTCCACCTTCTCCCCATTCTCACTCATCTTCATCGTCATAAAACACTCATTCTCCCACGGTCCCAACTGCGTCAGCTCCCCAATCATCTTGGCGTAAATCACCACTGAATTCCTATCTGGATCCTCAAACATGCGTTGAGGAACCATTTTGAAACTGCTGAATATGGAGCCGATGCGGCCGGCGTGCACTTTGAAGGCTTCGAGATCCCGTGCTGGCATGTTGAGGGAGGCGGGGAGGACTTTGTGGGTGAAGGTTGGTGAGAGGGGGGCTAGCATGTCTTCGGGCTTGAGAGTGCTGTAGCCATGGAGAACTGCTTGTGCGGTTTTCATGCGTGCTGAGGGATTGGTTGAGGAAATTGCTGCTGTTTGAGGTTCATTTCTACGCGTGCTTGACATTTCTGATATTCTTGATGGTAAGGAGTTTCGCAAACTCAATTAATGTGTTGAAAACTGATAGTGACACGAGGAAATGGACAATATGCAACTGCTACACTTCGCAAGTCATAGTCGCACAGTAATAAACTCGCTCAAATCCCAAATATGCGATACTTAATTTAGAGACAGTTTTGTCCGATAATCTGGAGTCGTGGTGCATTGCGGAGCCACTTCCGTAGGAAGGCTAATCGCGCGGGGTGGATTGGGGGAGTCCGGACATCAATCAACACGCTGTGTGACACCGAGTACCGAAAACAACTGGCTGGTAATAGCGGTTATTGAACCGTACCTCCGTCTTCCTACTTCACTCTAGCAATCTACCAGGGAGTCTCAAAATGGGTTACCAAAGTGTGTCATTCGCTTTCTGAAGCATATGTAGGGCGGGGAGAAGCGAGAATCAGATTCCCACGAAAGCCAGAAAAGTGTAAAAATCTACGAGAATGTCGAACACAATTACCCGCCCAAAGACCATTTTAGTGACAGGCGCAACTGGAAAGCAGGGTGGCGCGGTTGTTGAGGCTCTTGCCAACAATGAGGAGTTCCAGATCCTTGCGGTCACGAGAAATGCCTCTGGAGCGGCCGCAAAGGGTTTGCTGGAGCGATTTCCAAACATCAAGATTGTCGAGGGGAATATGGATGATGCGCCCAAACTCTTTGAAGCTGCAAAAGACGCCGGCAACAAGAATATCTGGGGCGTGTTCTCGGTGCAAGTCAGTGAGGGGAAAGGCGTGACCTTTGACAGCGAAGTGCGCCAGGGAAAGGCTATGATTGATGAAGCTATCAAGAACAAAGTGGAAACTTTTGTGTATAGCAGCGTCGAGAGAGGAGGAGATGAGAAGAGCTGGACCAATCAGACGCCAGTCGACCATTTCAAGAGCAAGTACTTCATCGAGCAACATTTGCGAGATAACGCAGACAAATCTATGAAGTGGACAATCCTTCGACCAGTGGCACTCATGGAGAACATGAAGCCAGGTTTCGAAACTACTGTCTTCTTCACAGCTCTCAAAAACGCTCTTGGACAGACACCGATGCAATGGGTCGCCACTCGTGATGTTGGGAGGTATGCGGAGAAGGCATTCGTGAAGCCCGAACGCTGGGACCGTAAGGCTGTCGGACTTGCTGGTGAGGAGATGACGTTCTCGCAACTCAGTGATCAACTGAAGTCCTCAACTGGTTCTCCTGCCGGAACAACGTATGGCATTTTGGCCTCTGCTTTGAGATGGGCAATCCCTGAGATTGCTAGGATGTTGGATTGGTTCGCATCGGATGGGTACCGGGCTGATATTGGGAAGTTGAGGGAGTCGGACTCTGAGCTTTTGACGTTCAAGAAGTGGTTGGAGAAGGATAGTCAGTTTACGGCGAAAGCTTAGGTTTTGGAATGGTTTTATTCTTTTTGGAGTTATTTTGCTGGGTTGGAATGGGTATGGTTATGGATATGGACGCAGGATATGGGTTAGCAACATGTAAAGTGTCGGTTTTGGTTTTGTTGGTAATTTTGTATCTATTCATTTTGAAAACACCACTTTTGAGCTTCGATTGATGAGAGAAGTATCAGTAGACAGACTGGGCCAGAGAAAAGCTCGAAGACTACCAATGAATTTGTTTTTTGCAACTCCTTTAAAAACAGAAGATACTACAGTCGCCCAATCGACTCAACCCACTCATAAGTTTTGACTGAATCCTTTCACACCAACGAAGTGGGTATCCAAAATTCCAAACAAATGACCCCTTTTGAAGTTACGTTCCTAACAACCATTCTCTGGTCTTCCAGTATTCCTTCGCAACGACTTTTAGCTCCATCGAACTCTTTTGAATGATGACCATTTCATATCGTCCATTTTTGAGATTTTATAGCAGCAGCCTTGTTGTTGTCTATTTCAGGTGGTAAAGCAGACTTGGTGTGCTTTCTCAAAAGCAAACCAGCAACACTCCAACAAGACCTGTTGCGGCTTTTGGGAACCTTTTCGGGAATATCCATCTTCTCCCCGTCTGATACATGTGAGCGGTTCTGCATAAACTCTTCGACCCTAGGAGCATGTCCCATCGGCTCTTTCAGAATATGATGTCGTAAAGTCGGGCTTCGTGAAGTATTAGTTGTTTTCTCTGGCATTTGCCGAAATCCTAGGTTTTGACTTTCCTCTCGAAAATTTGACCTGAGGAAGTCTATAAGGTTATCTACGTCTGAAATTGTGCTCATCGCACCCAAACTGGCTCTCACAACACCAATTGGTTTTCCAGAAATCACTTCCAATGGTGATGCACCACCACAGCGATACCCCGCAGACCATGCTCTCTTGAACTGCCAAGGTTCAATTCTTAAGTAGTGTGCGATACCGCCTGGGTTGCAAAGACCACCTGATCTCAGATAGATACTGTTCTCATTGGCAAGACGTTCCACGCTCGGGTGGCCAAAGTATCTCCCATACGCATTAACGACATTAAAGGCGACAGTTGCACCCTGTAGAGCAGCATCATCGTATGCAGAATCATCTTTGTTGTCGTTGTGTACAATACACACTCTTCTTCCATTACCATGTTGAAGTGACAATATTCCTCTGTAGAGCCGTTGCGCAAGAAAATTCGTGTGCTTGGAGACTAGTGACATACTCCCATACAGCTCGTGATGTACGTCTATAGCACAGCCAAGAGCGATAATGTTATGGAAAGGTAATGTCCCATCCTCCAACGCATCATGGATCGTAGCATCCTTTCTTTCCACTCTAGACTCATCCAAAACGGTCAACATATTGACTGTTCCGCCACCAAAGTATTTCCTCCATGTCAGGACGTGACCTGTAGCTCGCCGGACTATCAGTCCTCCCAGATCAGGAAAACCGAAAATCTTGTAAAACGAAACAGCAGTGAAATCGGGAGCTGAATGTGGATCCCGAAAGTCGAGAGGACTTGTCGTTGCTAACGCCGCAGCGTCGAGAAGCGAGTAAATATTTTGGTTGGCAGAGGCAAATCTTAGTCTTCGTGGCCAGCTTAGAGGAAGTCTTCGACCAGTCATGTTTGATTGACCTGGATATGCGAAAAGCCCGGGGACATTGTCGTTGCAATTAGGATTGTGCTCTTGTCCGCTGAGCCACTCTTCAACTTCTTCATCACTCGTTAAACATTTGTGGTCTTCGTCTGCCAGATTCCGTAAACCGACAAGGCTTGTGTGAGAATCCTTGTGGTAGGTATAAGAGAAAGTTCCTGAGGATGACCCCGAGGCAAGGTCACGAAAGCTTTCGCCGACGAGCTTAATTGCAGCAGTAGCATTGGCAGTGAAGATGAGATCGAAGTGTTCGGGATTTGCGTTGAAGAACAAAAGTGCTTGTTCTCTGATCTTGTCTACTTCTTGGCCTGATAACGCGGCTGGATCGGACTCGGAATGAGGATTACCATATAAGTTCGACGTAAGTTTCTCTGAAAATCGATGTACCAGGGATTTGGAGTAAACTGTCGTTCCTCCATGGTCCAAATAGACTTTTCCTACACACATGGTCAGTGATCGTCTAATATGACGTGATTTCATCCTAGCCAATCTCTGGCAAGCGGAGATTTTGAGCTTGCAAAAGCATACTTTTGTGTTGCTTAATGATTGGAGTGCGTTTGGAATGGAGCAAATTATTTAGGAGCTTACCTTGTAGCATAGGATACTCTTTCTTTCGCATAGATTCCACTGCCTCGTTATATGCCAAAGCCATTGTAGTCCGGTACAGACTTGACTTCGCTGACAGCAATACAAAAGGATTGCGCCTGGTATCGCCGACAGTATCCGTACCTTTTCAGCACGAGAGTCTTAACATTCCAAGATTGATCTTACTGTTTGAAGTTCTGTTCTCGTCAAAGATAAGGAATAAGCTAAGCTCAACTACCTTGGGTTGGAACTTCTATGCAATAACAGTAAGTTTCGCTAAAGCAGTAGCGAGAAGAGGGATTTAAGAACAACCCAGAGGATGTCGCCCTTTTTGATAAAACTAGTTTCTTAATGTAAGACTTAACCCCGATTAAGACGTAAACTTCCAGTTCCACCAAAAGAAGAAGTTGGCCAGGAATTTGACAAATTGAAAAAGGAAAAAATCTCCATAAAGTCAGAATTTCCCAGATCTGCTTCCCTCCTTGAGATTCGAAAAGCAACTCAGACTAAACAACAATGGGCGCAGTGAAGTAAGCGCTTGCCCACGGCTGCGACCATTTTCTAAAACCACTTGACCTATTAGACGCAAAAGAGTGCAAAAGATTTATGATCACCAGTCGGCACAGGGCGCGTGGTGGCTTCTGAAATGGTTGCCTCTGCTTTTTGTTGGATAACCTGCCCTTAGACCGAGTAGCCTGGTAATTTCATTAGATGCTTACGTCTTTTCTCCGAGAAAGCCTTGAGTCACAACTGGTCAATCAATCATGGAGTTACCTATCATCCAAGCTACAAAGGAAAACTGTCTGGTTTTAAATCTTGATATCCTTCTGATCTGTTCCAATAGTTTTTGCTGTAGAAACAGTTCAGACGATCTCGAAAATCCATTTGCCTTTCTCTGATTAAGCAATCAGAAAAGTTGCCTCAGCCCCGTTGACGTACAGGAGGCGTCAAACATTTCAAGCTGGAGGCTTTTACGAAAGCATTTTCTAGATAAGCTCTAGAACTGATTACGAATGCGGGGAAATGTCGTTAACGTATAGGATAATGCATCAGCACTTTTGAACCATAGATGCTACGCTGAGCTTACTTCACGGGATGGCCCGGCTACTTCCGGTCCGCCAACTCCGTCTATGGGGGAAGTGGATTAGTGCTTTCATTCCGCTTGCTATTGATTGGCTTTCGATGTTCTTCATCGTTGAAACCAATCAATGTTCATTACCGTACATAATATTTCCGGGCGCTGTCCGATTGGAAGAGGTTGTAAAGGTGCTGACGAAAGACAAAGAGGGGCTTCGTAAAGTAGTTCAAGCCTCCAAGCAAATAACTATGTTCATTTAAAGCCCTCGCGATATCTTTGACCTGGAGCTCAGCAATGAAGAGGGCATTGCCTAACGTAGCAAGGCAAGGCGATGGTAAGCGAGCCAAACTCTGGCACCAATATATATCGATTCTAGCCTTATTGTGTAAAGACACCCGTGCAAGGAGCTGTAATGGACATCTTTTTATTTCGTACAATTGATGAAGATCTTTTCAAGGGATTCCAGACCAGTCAAGTCCTTGCTGCCACTGCAGAAATTCTGCAGACCCTTGACATCACGATCTCAGGACTGTTTGTTGGATCTGCAGAATATAACAGCACATGCATTGAGTCGCGCAGAGCTTTACTGCCTCAGCTTCTATTTAAAGACAGAAGGTTCAGACTCCTGAAACTTATATTCAAGATGAGCCATATATTGGCAGGAAAAGTCGTCGCTCGAACGAGAATGTCTGCTACTTAACTCATTATCATCGTCGTCAGAACGAAACTAATGCACCCATTCCTCAACTAGAGAAACTTTCAATTTCGAAAGGTCAGATTTTCTTCAGGCTTAAAGTAGAAAAGACGTGCAATCGCATCCCGCTGTAGACCTGCTTGTCATCTCGATAGGGAATTCCAAGACAAAATGCCCTGCGAGGTGCCAATGCATCCAACAAGTTAGTTCTCATCGTGAGAAACTTATCGAATCAAAGCGCCAAGTCTACTGGAACAAATAATGCTGCGTCGCGCTCAGCAAGCGCCACCAACAGTGTCGTGGTATCGTGCGATAAGCAAAGTCTGATGATCTTACGAGCGAACTCAATCAAGAGACACAGATTTTCATGACTAAGAAAAATTTATGCGACACGAATTAGATGTCCTATGCCCAGCATGCTGCACTTACCAAATGCCAAAAAAGTGGCAGGCAGTCGAGTGGTGGCAAGAACAAGGAATCTGAAAATGATCAAGAGCCTTAAATATCCGGGAATCCACAAAAAATGAAAATGAAGACAAAGGGATTGGGACAGAAGCGTGCGTTGAATTGAGGATGTCCGAACGATTGGCAGACCGACCAGCAAAATTCCACCGCAACAAAAAGTTAGAGTCTCCGAAAGTTGGTTCTGAATATGCTCACCGAGTCACCTAACGTTCCGATAACATGCTACCCGGTCCATCTGTGATGATTGTGCCTCATTATGCTTGGACACCGAACCTTATAGCACCCTCTCGATGGACTGCCATTCAGAGAATAGTCGTTTGTTGTTGCTTCGGTGAAGTGAATGTCAAGACATGTTGGACTTTCGGGGCATTTTAGGCTCTTCTGCCGCTGCTCCGAAGTCCGCCTCCCGAAGTCCGCCCCGCCATATAATAATAGGAACAACAGTCAAAAGTCGCAAATGAATCTTTTTGTTGACCGAATTGCTTTTTATATACTTTATCGAAATGTCCTCTGAAAAATCCCAGCCACAAGTGACTTTGTATCGGGGGTGGGACAGTCCAGGCCGTTATGTGTGGTCGCCATTTGTCGTCAAGGTCGAGGCTCGACTCCGATTCGCCGGATTGAAGTATAAATCAGAAGTTGGATCTGTCCAACAATCTCCAAAAGGGAAAATACCATACGTTGACATTGGATCATCTTCAAGAGAGACGAAAACTTTAAGCGACAGTGCTTTAATTGTGGATAAATTGGTTGATGAGGGGTTATTGAAAGATCTCAATGCAAGACTCAGTCCGGTGGAGAGAGCACATGATGTAGCGATCAGAGCACTTCTGGAAGATAAATGGTATTTTTACCAAGTGAGTGTGTATCTTTGAGTAGGTCCCAGTGCTCTACTAATGGGAGAAAGGCATGCGAAAAATGGCATGAGAATTATTACGCCATGCGAGGCCATGTTCTTTGGAGACTGCCATACCCTGTTCAAGTAGTTGTTGGTCTTCTCGTGTATCGCAGTGTATCTACAACACTTCATGGACAGGGTTCTGCTCGGTATACCGAAGAAGAAGTCAGCAAGTTTAGAGCTGAGATCTGGGGCAGTATTGAAGATCTGCTCATAGATTCAAAGAGGAAGCAGGAGGGAAGCCAAAAGCCATTTTGGGTTTTGGGTAATGACCATCCGTCGGAAGCTGATACCGCACTATTTGGAGCAATTTCTGCAACACTTGTTACGACAGCGTAAGTAAAATCCAGTGGAATGCGAAGATATGGCTAACCAGAGCGTCTAGCTCACCAAAAAGCACGAAAGCTATCAGGAGTTATCCGACGGTTATGGAGTATGCGAAAAGGATTCATGAAGAATATTTTCCAGATTTTGAAATCTGGACATGATCGCTCTATTTCGTATGAGGTTGTGTCATAAATCATCTTCTAGACTATAGGAAGATGGCAATGTAAGGGGATAATTATTACGGCATTGAAATGTACTACTGAAGTTAATTTAGATTGGGGTCAGGTATTCCGGCCGCTGTCAACTGCATCGCAAAGCTGTTGATTTCATGCAAGACATAAACTAGCACCCACTCATCTAAACATAAATCAATTTTCAGGTTTCCAGACATCGACAAGAACATTAGTTTCGCAAGAAATTCTGCTGTTTAGATATTCCAAGAAGCTCACTAGTTAGCAACCGCCTTGGAAGACGATGGATTCGAGATTAGCTATTTTTATTTACTTTGCAGCTACTATTCATTAATGAATTGGTCTAGTCTCAGCTCAAGCACACATTTTGTGTAGTTACCAGATTCTGGTAGACCTGAGTGTGCTCCAAATTTGCAACTGGATAGTTAAGCGAGAAAAGGGGGGACTTGCTTAAAACCTCCATCACAGCAAAACTACGGATTTACTGGATGATTAATGTTCACACTTGACAGGTTTAATACAAGGATACGAGAATTATATTTTAATATAAATAAAACACATCTGTATCCCTCCTGAATTTGCGTATTGAAACACAGCGTTCAGAGCTGATGTGACTTGAGGCTTCACCAGAAAAAAGCTTGGGTTCACAAGCAAAGAAGAAAAATAAATCCAACATATACTATACTTCTGGTTATATAGAACATAGTTGTAATAGAATTCTCATAATTTGTGTCTTCGTGGGCATCAGTGTATCATAATGTTGATATCAATTACATGACAGCCGGTAAGAATTTATTGAAGTTTTTGACCGAAGTGGAGAATGATATGCCATCTTTTGGTCCTCAAAAAACAGTTCCTAAATTCGTACTTTTCCACTCAAGGCATTCGCAATGAGGCACACAACGATGTAAGACCATACTACAATCTATGAGTTTGTCGTAAAATACGCGTAGTCCTTTAGCTTCCAACTAAAGTCATGTACAGGCTTCAGGTCTTGATTGACGGGTATCATGCACTCCTAGACTCAAGGTCTTGATCGCAAGTGAAGCTCATTTGCGTCGAACAAATTTTGGAATGTTGTTAATATTTGAGCAACCAACAGTTTGCACTCAAGTGCAGTTTCGCTTTTCAAGCTGATTCTAAACTTACTGGAACCCTTAGTAGAATAGTATGAACTATTTTCTACATTTGTGTTTAGAATTACGGATAAATTAAAGGATGACTTTGGAATTCGCGTTTGTTTCACTAATTTTAGGACTCTTTGCCCAAAACATAACCAAACCTAAATCTAAAAGGTGGCCCAGTATCTTTTGTTCCAGGAAAGGCGTCTTATTATTTATTTTTCTAACTAAGCACCTCACATAGAAGACGCAGCACACGGTTGGATCTTCGCAGCTTAAGTACACTGCGCTTTTCCTTGAGCAGCTTCTTTAGCATAATAGCTAGAGACATATGAAATAATACTTTGAAACCATTTTCAATCGGTAATAGATCAAGTGATGCTGAGTCCTATATCTGTATAAGTGGCGGAGCTCGTTAAAATGAGTATTGATTCTAACTCAACTCTCAGATCTTTCAATCTTCTAGAGATGAACTTCCGATACATCAGTCGTTTCTAGTTTCTATTTTTAGAGTCAAAAGTACAACCACATTTCTTTCATCTTATTGAAAAAATTTGGTGGAATATAAAAAGAAAATGAAGTCAAAAGGGAGCACGGTTCGGAAGTGACAGAATTGAACAGCATAAGAAACCCTTGGAGGGTCGATTTGAACACGAACAAGGGCAAACACCGATGAATCGGCGATCCAAATGACCTCTATCATTAAAACAGCTGAAAATATTTGTTCAAGAAAAGTTAATTAGGAAGTCAGGAGCGTGACTTTTCCATGATGGAAGGTCGATATTATATGGCATTTCATATTAGCAAACACTTGGATATTGGAACTCTGAACGTGTCAGCCCTTGAACTTGGTCAATCTACTCGGTTTCCGTCAGAACTAGAAGTTGAATTTATCAGAAATGTTATACTGCTATTAAACTAAGTTCAATATTTGGGAGGAAATCACCCCAGTGTGGTGGTTGCGACCTTATTATTGGGTGAATTGCACTAAACTACCTATCATTATAACTTTGGGCTATGATAGTTATATTTCAGAGAAATTTTGACACTCTTGAGTGTATTTTTGCTCCTACATAGACGGGTCCAAAACGTCGAGGATCGGAGAAGTCATTTCGGAGATTACTAAAAGAGGCTAGTGCGGAGCTGGATCGCGTTCGAAATGTGCGATTCTGAATATTGTGACCTGGAACATCAATTGCTTCACTTTCTCAAAGCATACATCATCATTTTGTTGATACATGTATTCTACGCAATGGTCGGGAGTTTCCAAGATGCTGAATCCGGAGAGCTCGATCGCTTTTGGCAAGTGACGCGCGATGTTCTGGAGCAATGCCTCTTGCCTTGCGTAAAGTCCCATTCCTCAATATCCATACAAAGTTGACTCGGAGCTGATCAGTATCAAAGCAGTGACGATATCCGATCTTCGATATACTGTGTGGTTACATGCTGAGTCGATGGCCTGTACTTCCTAGATGGTCATATCCGCAGATCGTTAACGATAATCGAAGCTATTTTGAAGCTATTTAGACCACGATAGTCTATCGGTTCCGAATACCCCGAGCGAAATCCCATCCTCGAGACATCGAATTTGCACGCAGATCCGATGGAGATCATGCCATGCAAACTTTCCCATGGTCGACGGATCGCCCCATGCGGATAAAGTCTGAAGGCCGATACACAGGGGCCATCAGCGAACGACTACCAAGGATACACCGCGTGGTGATGTAGGGTATATGGAGTACTTTTCCCAACAGCGTTGCCTTCTGATTTGCGAGATATACGCCACTGTTCCTCTTTGTTGTCCGATTTGAAGCCTACGTTTTTTCGGCTCTCGTTTAGATACAATCGCCCGAATTCCCTCCATGCAGTCAAACCCTCGATTTTGCCCTTGAAAGCGTCAATTCCCGGATCACTTCATTGTGTGGGCTGAAATATAATTGACTGGAACGGCGAAACGTGCACGAGTGTGCTGCGGCAAAATGATTCGTTCCTGGGTCGCCGCATCCGCGGCATATTGCCATATTTTGATCCCACAGTAAATTGTGTGACTGGAGCTCTAGTGTTGAAGGTTGTCATAATAATAATCCGCAAAGTTTCCCCACAGCCCCCACATGTTGACAATCTCTGTTAAAGTTCCGCGTTCTGACGGAGCATTCTGCAATCGCGTGGCGAACAAGGATTATCACGAGCTAAGCTTATGCTGCATGTGCATTGCAGCGACCCTGATTTCTTTCCGTTTGTCACGGAAGATTTTGGTCATCGAGTCTAAAATTCTCCTTGAGAGTGGCGCACCACTGCCGCGTTCAGTCGATTCGGGAAAGAGGCTCAGGATTTGACGGGGCTACGACATTTTGGCGCTGAGAAACACTTCAGAGCAAACATTTGTCAGGCCTTCGTCCGAGAGAGTAACTTGGCGTAGTTTTTCTGAGACGTATGCTTTTCACTACCAATTGGTCAAAGCTATTGGAGTCGTTGCTTTATGGATAATAGCATATTCTATGGGCTCTGGGATTTCAAAAAGACGAGCAAGTGCACGCGTTTGCTTCAAAAAGGATCGTTTCCTGAGTCCAATAAATGCAATTAAGTCTTCATGGAAGGCGAGTGTCCCATATATGGTAAAATGTGCATTTCATCTGTTTTAAGTTTTTCAATATTTGGGTTATCATTATGGTCATAATTCATAAAATCGTACATCAGTCTGATCTGAATGACCTCTCAGAAGACTGGTCGACACTAGTCTCTTTGATAATAAACCCCTCCTTACTAGTCCGCTCTACTGGGACCGCTCGAACCTCTGTCATTGTCGTTAACTTCCCATAAAAGGCATCGGTGTGTTCGTAATTTGCTGAACCGTACAAACTCGGTTTCGACGAGCGAGATCGATTGTTTTTGCTAAACTCAGAATTGTCGTCGGAGTCCGATACCTTCTCTGAGTTGGCCATGGAGCCCCGGGGAGAGACGATACTGTTGTATATGCTTGATTTGGTGACTATGTTAAGCCAGAAACATGAGATTGCTGGAGCGCATGAGACGATGACGGTTACAAATCCCTCCACGAATGTGGTGATGGTAATAATGGACCCGTTCCATGTCGGGTCATGACCTAGCCAAGTTCTGATTCGATAGTAAAGAGAGACGGTACTGGCAATGACAGCGCTATCACTGGTAAGTATATACCGTGAATGATGTGGAAGGTATACTGACAATGTACCAGCGAGGAATACGAGTGTTACACCAAGCTTCTTTCTTGGGGGCAGATTCAGACCCCAAAGAATTGGCGCTGGAAGAATCAAGATAAATAAGTCGGTTGCGAGTCCAACCGCTCCCTGAAGTGGTGCCACAATGGCGAGTTTTCCACAGCTTGCCATGAGACTCATGTCCCAGGCATGACCAATCTTGGGAACGCAGTACACACCAGCCAAGGGAACCATACTCCAATAAAAGCAGAAGGTGACTAAGATTGTAATATATGAGGTCCATCGAAGCCAGGCATTCGTCTTGCCAAAAAGTTGAATGTACAATGCAAGAATTGCTGCTTTCGATGCCCATAGTGATGGGCCAATGACAAAGTTCTCCGCTGCTATCCTTTTGAGATACGAGGGAGTGAGTATGCTCATTGGGACATCCCATGTATGTTTGGCAGACTCGCCAACTGCATCAAAATTAACAAATCATTCTGTTTGGAGCTCGAAACTCTGAGTCTTACCACTAGCGATGAGGGCATAGTACGAAATCAAGAAGATTAAGGCGAAGGTACAAAAATCTGTAAATGCTGTCAGTTAAATCCGATATATGGTACTTGCAAACGTACAATCAGCAAGAACCAGTCTCCTCGCATTGGTCCAGTTGGTGTATAGACGCAGTGACACGAACACTATACTAATCAGTGAGAGCGAGAGCCCAACAGCAAACACAGTTCCTGCCATAGAAGGTGGGTTGGTGAAGTTTGGAGGGGCTCCGGATGGGTTTGTTGCGAGAGGGATGATTGAGAGGTCCATCTGAGCCATTGCGGCACCCATATCTGCTGAAGTCATTCTCACAGCTGATGTACGGCGAGATCCACTTGAAGGTCAGCTGCACTGGAGAGGACGTTTTTGATGCCCCGAAGGAAACGTGTCGACAAAACAAAATGTTGCGACGGAAAACACAATATTCTTGACGAGGAGCCTGAGAACATTTCCGTGAAATCGTGGAATACATAAATGCCATGTGGGATCGAAGCGACAATGCTGACATGAGCGGTAGGAATGCTATCTGGTGGTTGGTCTATAGATCTGCATGCACCAGGTAAGTGCATGTTTTGTTTCCCGTGAGAATTCGGACCTGAAGACCCTGGAAGTGACACCAATACGCAGTGCGGGGTTCCAGAGGAATTATTCTAGAACGTGACAAAAATCGTGCCTCTGTGGTATTGCATACAACAAGAGCGAAATATGAACAATTGTGGTGCCTCGCAGCAATCGTAAGTTCCCCTTTTGGGACTTCCTAACGAGGAAGGACGTATCTCAACCAGCCCATCTTGCTAACAATTATAATTTATAATCTCAGCGCTACCATAAGCACCGTTTCAGCCACTCCACCCGTCATATTGCTGATCTATAGCGTGTCACATACTTCAACTGCTTACTTCAGTGTCACACTGTGATTTTGTAGGAGCCGCCGTACGACAGTGTCTTACCTATCAGCGGTGTGACTGACATAGTTGAACAAGACAGCAATCTAAAACTTGAAGATGCAGATGATTTAGCTGGTCACATTTACCCGCGGATCCTAGCTAAACACATATTCGGTACTGATCGTACACAAAAGACAAGCAGTACCCGAGCCGAACTATTAAATACCCACTATATTCCGCGCTCTCGCAGCTACAACTATACCCGGTCTACATTCGCCGGGGATACCTGAATTGGCTGCTGAACAGGCTACTGCGCAAAGTTAATCGAATCCCGGATACGTGATGGTGATGAAGAGGAATGGGAGTTGAGGTTGCACCAGACGAGGAAGGTTTAAACACGAGGCGTGAGGGGTTGATGGCTGGGAGCGCTGCCTGAACCTTGCAAGTGGGATAGACGGTCGCTGTTACCCCCACCATTACTCCCTTGCCCACAACCTTATCTTGAGGTTACTTCGAACCACCAAACACTTTTCAACAATTATGTGTGTGCATGTTCACGAATCACGATCGGTGGAAACGAGTTCGTATAATTCGGCTACTTTCCTCTTGGATTCAGTTTTTAAATAAGATCTCCAATATCTGAGCATTTCCATACACACTCCACTACGAAGCAGAACTACCTGTATGTGTTGGATGTGGGGAACCTCGCGTCCGTGGCTAAGGCTTCCCGCTCCATTTAGCGGCTTGGATGAATCCTTCAACTGTGAAATACAGTACTCGAGTAGGCTGGGTGACAAGATAAGATTCGCGAGCCGAGTCCACACGTGGATCAATTGTGGGATATAAGCGTCCTCCGGAGCTTCAGTCTTTCGATATGCCTGTACGCGAGATGGACTTGAGGTTGTTGGAAATCTGATGCCGGACCTTGGCGGCTGGTGCGGCTAGTCTAGCGGCGTGGGTATACTGGGGGCGTAAGGATACCGAACCGAATACGTTCTCAGTCTCATTGCATGTCGATCTCGCTTCCGAGTCCTTTGTCAAGCTTCCAACTTGCGGAAAAAGTACGAAGGTACGATAAGGTCTCAGATGGCGTCAGGCTTTCCAGTCGACAAGCGCACGTATCCTGGCCAGGCCATCGGAGCTCTAATCTTCCAGAGCGTACCTAGCAAGATACGCCGCTCCTTCCGTCATGAGTGAGCATGCTACTCGTATGCTTGGAGGGTTGGTGTCACGATAACGGCATCAAGGGAGCTGTTGCCAGCATCATTTACCCTTGTTATCATGAAGTACAACCAATCTTGCCGAACAACAACTGCCTGCCAGTGCCTGAACGCCTGTGCCTGCGCCTCGCAGTATGCCTCTGATTCAAGATGGTTCGGTACCTGGCAGTCCAGCTGGCAATCGGCTGGGTCATCTTGAGTCGACAGCTTACCCAGGAGAAAGATTGGGTGGATCGAACGCAGCTGCTATTGGCTTGCATCAGGGGCTATTAGCACTCCAATCTTTAGCGAAGCCCGCATGTACAAGCGCCTCCAAATAGGAGATTGATCTGACGGTAACGCGAGATTAATGCGAGAGCGTATAGAAGGCGGCGGGTGTGCCAATCTGGAAGTTTCAACCTTCAAGTCAACTATTTTTCAACCTAGGACTTGGTGATTCTCAATCTCAATCAACAGATACCGTCGCTGAGACTTCCAAGATGGCGCTCCTTAGTATCGATACGAATATTTACTCTAACATAATACTTTATGGCCTTGTCATTGCTTTCTTGACCTCGTTACCGAAATCTTGGATCCTGCGTCCAGGGACGAAGACCGATGTAAGAAAAACCACAGGGCTACCATAGCAGCATGGGGTCTAATGGGTTTTATAGAATCATCCCAGTAAAGGGTCATATCCACTTAACCTGGGTGCAACAATACGAAACCGGTGGCGAGCCTGGACATTCTTGATCAAAGGCCCTTCAATTATCCAAGATGGTTATAACAAAGTAAGGCAAAGTCAAGTGTCAAGTGTCAAATGGTAGAATCTCAGCTTATACTTTCAATTAGTCAAACGGCGACCCATATGAAGTCTTCTCACCCGACAATCGATATGTCTTCGTGTCCAAGGAAGAACACATCAAAGAGGTTGACTCGGCTCCCGACACGGTCCTGTCTCTCCAAGCAGCATCGAAACAGGTACGACAAGCTCTAGCATGCGATGCTTTATATGCTGACTTCAACAGATGTTACAACCCAAGTATACCATGGCTGGATTTAATTGGTTTGATCGGCGAGGTACAGAGGGTGTCGGATTTGTTCGTGCACTTCGAACTCTTCTCACCAATAACCTACCCGCAGTTCTTCCAGAACTACGAGTATCTGTCTCCAAACTCATCGACGAGATGCATGATTCACACTCAGCCGTAGACGGTAAACTCAAATCTCTACTCGACGTGAAAGTAATAAGCGCTGACGTAGAAATAGGTGTAAAGCATTCGCCACTTCTTCCTATGGTCTTGAGGCTGACCGCCTTGACGAATGCAAGAGCTTTTTTTGGCCAAGAACTTTGTGAGCACCTTGACTGAGAAAGTGTTTATTCCTGTTGCTGATGAAATCCAGGCCAGAACGAAAACTTCATGCGCTCCGCCATGGCATATATTGAGCAGACACTAGCCTTGGCAGAAATCATTCGACTACTGCCCTCCTCGATTGCACCGTATGTTCCCACATGTTTCGTTGGGTCGGCCGCTAACTTGAAAAACCAGAATTTTTGGAAAAGTACTCGCAAAAACTTTGACGTCCCAGAAGGAGATTTTTAAAGCCATGATGCCTATAGCTGAAGAACGAATTCGTGAGAAAGAGCTCAAAGCATTAGGCCAGAAAGTCCCAATTCATGTGCGTAAAGCCGAGCCCATCGCCTATTTCAGACATGAGCTAATAATTCGCAGCACGACTGTATTCAATGGATCATGGAAACTGCCCCAAGATCGAATCCATGGTCTGCAGAAAGAATCGTTCACGAGCTGATGGCGATTTGGTTTGGATCGGTACATGTGCTAACAACGGTATGCATTCCGTCTTATATGTCCAAAGAGGAAGTGTTCTAGAAGCTGACATTTTTAATCTCCGTAGACGATCGCATTCGCCATGCACGACTTGTGCCTGCATCCAGAACACACGGAGCCGCTGCGGACGGAACTCAGATCCGATGCTTACTCCGAATTTGAACGGACAGGTAAAGGCCTCCCTCTATTGGACAGCTTCATCAAAGAGTCCGCTCGCCTAACTCCCGTGGAATCAAGTATGTTTCTTCACTCATGCAGTCTGACATTGTGCTCATCATATGATAGTGTCGACACGTCGTCAAGCAATTGCACCGTTCACCTTCTCAGATGGCACTCACCTCGCTGTCGGTGATTGGGCTGTTACGCCCCTTCGAGCCATGCTACATGATGACGCGCATTTCCCTGAAGCAAACCAGTTCAATGGGTTCCGTCACGTTCAGCCCGCGGTCTTGGAAAAGCTCACAGGCTCAAACTTCGGGTCACTGGAGGCTCAAGAACCTTCCTTGTTGACGGATGTTAATAAGCATTGGCATGTTTGGGGTACTGGTCGTATGGCTTGGTATGTTTCCGTCTATCATCCTTCACATGAAGCAAGAAGCTAACACATCCCCACAGTCCTGGACGATTCTACGCCGCCGCCGCCATGAAGACGATTATCGGGCAATTCATCCTCAAATTCGATGCGTCGCTCGTTAATGAGGAGGAATCGAGATTCATCTCATGGCGAAGCTTTATTTATCCGAGGAATAGGACGAAGGTTATCTTCCGACCGGTTGAGGAATAATCGCTGCGTTGACTTGTTGCATATTTTTTTGTTTACTTTTCTTTTCTCTTCTGCCGTGCAGTCTGGCACTTGCATAGAACGGGGTTTGGGTTGGGTTTTTGGGGTTGAGAATATAGATTTGGCGTTTGGAGGTTGAGTGAGCATATTTGACATTTGTAACATTAATATATGGAATGAGAAGTTGGCTGACGCCAGATATCAAGCATCATAACTCGCCAAAATCTTTAGAAACGAATGTACTTCCGAAGTTTCCAGACTCTAGTTCCGTGGTGATTGCAAAGTTACGAGATCAACACCAGTGATGATGTGAGCCTTCATGTTGAATTGCTTTATTAACTTCAACTCTATGATACTTTGTGTCTTCCGTTTTTGTTTTCCCCAGGAGGTAAAGACCGCTGACTTGAGGTCTGCTGACTACCTTCTATGTCACAAGTTACATGAGCATGCTCGATGTATGGAAATTAACATCACGTGAGAATGGGACAAAGTTCTTAGATAACAGTGTCCAATGATACGCAGTGTGAACTTTTGATTCGATTTCGGTTGAACTAATCAAGGGCTAGGTAAATTGGACCTCAATGTTCTTAGTAATGGGAAGGCAGTATTCGTTGCACGTGATCAGCAGTTTTCAGCTCAGCCTCACTGAATGACGATGAAACCGGCTTATCTCTTTACACACCCCAAAAGTGTGTCAGTAAAGCCTCTAAAGAGAACCGTTTCGCTTGGAGTAAGAGTTTTGTCTGTCGCAGCATATGATAAGCAGAATAGTCTAGAGGCCTTCATACAGGCTGCAATTTCGCAACCTGCCGGCCCAATTATGGAGTTGGAAAACATCACCCAAAAGGATTCAAACGATCCATCGTACCCATCCTCAACCTCCCAAGATGCGGGTAATGCGCCATATAGTGGAGATGAAGACCCGGTTGTATTGCTTTCGCAGCCCTTACCGTCCGGGGGTGAAGATTCATATCGCTGGGACGCAGTTCCCTTTTATCGATTACGACAATCGACTGTTGAGCTTTTTCTCATTGAATTATTCGGAGAATCTGACTATCATATCAAGGTTAGTCTCCCATATGTTGTATTCCCAGAAAAGACTAATAGCAATACCATATATAGTTGAATTTAGACGTTTGGCAGTTCTGGGTCCCACGAGACCTGACAGATGTATGGTATTTTTATTTTTATCAGAGCACTCTTCTCAACAATTACTATTCTAACTCATTTGATAAGGTTGAAAAGGATAAACTGCTGGAGCATCGCCAGTTCCACGAAACCCTAACCGGCTTGCGACGCAGAAGAAGCCCGCCACCTTTGAATGCTTCTCAAGTAGCATTTACTCCTCAATTAGCCCCCCAATGGCCCCCAGTCAGTACGACCGTCGAATTGCAGCTTCCGAGAACTCAACTCTCTCAGACTTGTCGAATGTGTTGGATCATTATGCTTTGCTGGATTTTGGTTTTTACTGGGAGTCTTGCGGTGGGTCTCTGGCGCTCATTTGCAACCCAGGATGAGGGAAAAGGCTTCACAGATGCTGCTTATGTTGTAGCTGCCGGAAGCATACTTGTTTTTTCGATTCAGAGGATGCACAATCAACGATGCAGGGCGATTAGAGAGGAACCAGGTTGAATATAAATGGCTCGAATGTATCCAAGTGATTAAAATCGTCCTTAAGACTGCCTGCGCTCTAGAAGAATGAATGACCCTCTAATGTTGTAGGTTTTTTTTTTTTCCTAACCTCTGGGAAATACCCTCTAATGGCCTTGTTGCGCCAAAACGGAACAGAAACATTGTTGTGCATATATACCGTACCACCGGCCAAATCTCTTAAAATTATCTGTGCCGTCGCCTAAGACCGTTATAGATTGTTTAGATATTGAAGAACTTTCTAGCGGAGCCCATAATATTGGTGCAACGGTGGAAACTCGTCAGTCTCAGGGGGGTTATTTATGTTCAAGTGCTCGACATAGCGGCTCAACTGTCAGCATCCAAAACCATAGTACCAGAAACAGCAAACATGGGATTTCATGGGAATCAACTGAAGACGAGACATCATCAAGGGTTAAAAAGTGCCACTCTCATATGGCGCTTGTTGTGACAAACAGTAGCTTACCAGAACATTTCTCATGGGTCATAATTACCTCAAATAAAGAAGGATGGGATTATAAAAGTGAATCCGATCTTAAGCCGTCCGTACTATCTTAAGCATTACAGGGCTTTCCGCGCTAGTAGTAACACCCATTCATCTAGAAATGCGTTCAGTCAGATCCTGGGACATACCATGTTCCCGCTTGATGTGATCAGACAACTTATCCTCGCTGTAGAATCCTTTGGAACCTATCCTGGGATACTCCTCAATGGTGCAAGAATATTGAGGAGGCTGCAGAGGATGCCCTCTCTCGTGGACATCATGATCAGCGAGGCATTTGAAGCTCTCGTTACAATGAATTTGTGTACAGCGATACAACCTTTGATCAGTGTTTGCACTGCTCACTGATGAGAGTACCGGGGGGCTGACTTGTTGCGATGCTACCTCATTGTCCTCCCCGCTACCCGTGATTCTCATGACTGGTGTGGCTGACGTTCCCGGCTTGTGGGGTGCCGAGTTTATGACCAGTACGTGTATTGGGCTATATTTTTCTTTCTCATCGCTCATGTATTCGTAGTGCTGAGTGTCGTTCGGAGTGCTCAGATCCAGGTTGCGTAATCTTTCAACGGCTTCCTTGAGGGTATTGACTATGTAGCTGTGTGCCTTCCACACTGCTAATAATTTCCCGCCTCTTAATGGAGTAATAATTTTGAGCTGACCTTTTTCGCCAAAGTTCAACTTCTGTCCATACCGACACTGTGATGTGTGCCAACGGTACTGAAATCGCGTTTTTGCGCCATTTCGAGCGCGACAAGCTATTTCTACAATTTCATCGGGTTTTGATTTTAAATTGACCACAAATGATGTCTCAAGAACTGACTTTGTATCGCTGTCTGTGTGGGATTGAAATTCAAAACTTTCTGTATGCTCAGCGGGCAGAGGTCGACGTTGGCAGCCCCTTACTCCGATCAATTCTGGTAAAACAAGACATCGATTCTCAAAGATCGCCATTGTGCAGCTAACTTCGGTGTCTTTGAGTAATCCAATCCACGTATTGTCTCACGGCTTATTGTTCACTTTTTGCGCGAGGGCCTTTTTGGGAACCCACAAGAGTTCGAGCCCGTTCTCGTTCAGCCCAGTTTCGAGAAGGCCATCCAAGCAATACTGTATAGCTTTACCAAGATCCGGCCGCCATTCTTTGTGTGAGTTGTATAACTTACGGAATGCTTTTGGATTGGGATCCGTTAGAGCTGCATAGAAATTCGCTTCACATTCGTCACTCTCCCATATCAATGAGCTGTTTCGAATATAGCTGAGCATTGTACCAGTCCCAAAAAGATTAATCAACCGCTGTCTGCGAGCGTTTTTTGTGCACGAAGAAACCTCGACTCCAAAGTTGTACTCCAGAAGTCGCACATTACGCCCTTCTGGATTGTGTTTCCATTCCTCGACCAAAGCTTTCTTCCAAAGAATCCCTCGTCTCTTATAAGTACGCTGCGCACCAAGTTGAAGGTAAGATGGTCCCACCTGCATTGTGAGTACTTCCGTGTCTAACTCTCTTCTCCTTTTTAGAGTTCCAAACTCAGAAAGCGATCCAGAGTCTCTGAGACTCTGTGTTAAATCTTGTACTGACGACTGGCAGGATCGATTGTATTGTATTCGTAGATTTGCGCCAATGAGAAGAACGTCATCCGGGTGCAAATACAGCCTAGCAGACTCTGATTTCACTAAATTCTCACCTAAATAATTATTCGGACACCAATGACACAACACTTCTCCTTCCAAAATCTGAGGGCAATCTTCGTTTCGTGCCAGAAGACGACTCAGCGGAATTATCACGCCGTTACCAACGTTGTATCGCACAATCGTAGAGGGGCGAGCCTTATCCTCTACTACAGCACACGATTTCCATGCAGGTCCCCAGATATCGCTGAATGTGATGATGTTTGTTGCAAGATATATTGGTGATAAATCTTCTGATGGCGCTTTTTTATCGTAGGGCTCAAGAACCCATGCTTCTTCCCTATTCAGAAACGTGCCAATACAGGAGAACGCTCGGCGACGAAACGTGACACAGTGCTTATCTATAAACTGACCTGGTAGATGTATGTGCCTGGTTTGTGATGCTCCGAGAGGCTGAGTATGCGCTCCAGCGTAAGAGAGAACTACCATGTCGAGTATGTGCACTGCACAACGCCATTCTTCTGCGACACTCATTGGTGACAGATTTAGGTCCAGATCAGAGAGTATACTTTTGGATAACTCCGAGAGCATCATAGGCGTGAAGTATTCATCTGATTCCGACACAAATCCTCGCCGCCCGCGGAAGTCCTGGAATACCAAGTCGAATGCGGATGCTAGATCTTCAATCTTGTTGCAATCAATGGGAATTAGCCTTGCTACATCTTGACGCGCTTTATCAATCACTAGAATGCTGATAAAGCTTCCACAAAAAGAGGCAGCTTTCAAAGCTTTAATGTTCTTCGCAACCCTTGCAATTGCGCTCCAGCATTCAATATAGTGCAACATGTCGTTTGCGCCACTCACAAGGCTTGACTGATCCACGTCCGTTATTCCATGACCAAGTTGTGTTTGCATAAAACCAACTATCTCGGGCTCAGGGGCTCTTGGATTGTTGTCTTCTCTTGCTTTTAGCTTAAAATCATGGTACGTGATCTCAAGTTCAAATCGATACTTTTCTCGCAAAAATATACTGACTTTGTCTTCCAGATCCAAAGAAAATGTGCCGGATGTTCTCGGTTCGTTGTCTGCATTCTCATGTGAAAATGAGTTAACCTAGAGTTTTGTTGGTTTGCGTTAGCGTGCTTGAGACGAGGGCAGATTGCTTACTGTGTAATGTGCAAACATAGAGTTTTCGAAAATTCTAGCATTCAAATCATCTAAGTCTCTGAAGTACTTAGTGGGTATTGTCAGTCTCTCACTACTCCGATTAGTGACATGCACATGATCTTCTACATCACTAGCTAGAGAGGAGCAATCCTCCCAGTCTAAGTCGCGATCATCTGGTTCATCAACGGGCGGTTGGATCTGATCTCTCTGAGGCATGTGCTCTCTGTGGCGAAGATAAGGTGGGTCGATGAGCTCTTCTTGACAAAGGTAAAATTCGATAGGTGGATCGAAAAGCGGCTGCGAGTCGATGGGTTTCCATTGAAGTAAGTCAGAATTGATTTGGACGTTATCTTGGCTACTGACGACATCCGTAGGAACCTTGGAAATACCGCAAGAACCGTATTCACCAACCGTTCCGTTGAGATAGCCTGGTGAGAAATCAAGCTCCTCAGATCCCTGGTGAGCGACTTCAAATTCCAATGATTCAGATGAAACATTCGCCATCGTTGATCCACGAATTGTGACATAAGATATACCGTTCGCATGAAAATTAGTAAATTTGCAACAGATACACGAAGAACTCAGAAACGCTGGCACGATGGGACGAGCTGAGGTCTATCGCGCCAGATATGGATGCCGCTTCGCCACCACCGAAGTGGACACAAAGTATTATATTAGGAGTCCGAATTTCCAGTCACTCATAGACGGACCTTCCCTCGAGAGTTCTGCCACCTTATTCTCCGCGTTTTGTAAGCCGCTACCCGCAGCAAGCTGTCGTGCAACCACGGTTCCTCAAGCCAATGAATTGCAATAAAGCTTCCTTCATGATGTTTTTTTCAGAACCGTTCTATCCATACAGCACACCCTATGTGCTGCGATATTTTCAAGACACTGCGCTGCCTTGTTTCATCAAAATCCATATCGTGTAGTGAAAGTACCGAAACTACCCGCTCATACACTTGAAAAGTGTAAAACATCCGACGAGCCTTCGCAGTACAAATTTTGACAACGAAGCTGAAACATTACGAAGCACAGCGTCATTCTCAGTCTCGTAATTGTGTTTGAAAATGCTTGTGCTCATATGGTCAGCCCATTAAACAGCCTAACATATTTAAGTGTTTGCTCGCAAGGCTAGCGAAGGATTCTTAGATTCCGAAGATGTCATCGTGTATGGATCGTAAGAATTTGTAAATCTCTCCCTTATTATGCAATATTAATGGATAAAGAAGTTTGATTGTGTCTATATTCCAAACTAAACTCAAATCCACCGAAGACCCCTCAAACCCAACAAACTTCCGTTCAACATTGGTCCCGGATTGAATATATTTGAAACTTCCGCGAAAATTGCAAACTGGCTTTCGGGGCTTATCGAGTGGTAGTTTCTTGTTGGACATCTTATTCTCAACCTCACCACTCCAGTTACTCTAGATCTACTACTTCTCAAAGCGGTCAAATCGAATTTGATCTTAGTGTCGTTATATCCTTCGTCTTGGCCTCGCTTATTTAGTATCGATGTGCGACAAACAATTGGACAAATGACAAGATGAGTAACATCGAAGTGACACGGAGCGAAGCTTTCCGCTTAGCGACTATCATCTAAGTAGCACAAAATCATCAATCAGACACCCACCCCTCTCAAAAACCCCACAATATCATCAATCTCATCAGGAACCTTATACCAATGCCCCTCCTCATACTCCACCCACCTAACATCCATCCCCAGTCCCCTCCCCAACCCCACAACATCCCTCCCCAACCCAATCTTCACTTTCTCATCTCCCTTCCCATGACCCAGAAAAACTGGCGTCTTTAGGAACGCTGGCTCGATTTCGTGTGGAAGCGAGGGAAGTTCCATGTTCTGACGGACGAAGTCGGTTACTTGAGATGCGATTGATGAAGGACCAGTATCTTGTTCAAAATCAAAGTCGTCGTCGTTGTCGGATGTTGCAAATGGATCATCATCCCCATCTTCCTCAGAAGCATCGAGATTTCTTTCAGGGTTTACCAACTCCTGAATCTCATCATAAAACGGTAACCACCCACTCATCCCCACAAACCCACCCAAAAGACCATCCTCTCCACCCTCCCCTACAACCCCAGAACTCAAAAGCAAATGCAATCCCATAGCACACCCCTGACTCAAACCCCCTAAAAACACATTCTTAGCCCCAACACAACTAACCTCCCCATCAACCACCCCCCTCAAAAACCTCCCACTCTCAACCAACCCCTCAACCTGCCACTCCTTTTCCTCCCTGCTCATCCCCTCTTGCTCATCGATAGGCACACCATCAAACCACTGCCTCACCAACGCGCGATTATAAGCTCTCGCCCGTCTCTTCTTCGCCGTCGGAAAAACGAATTTCATGCCCGGAAACAGTTCTGGGATAGTTTTCCCATCCGATATCTTAGACGCTAGGAACTCAACGCCGAATTTCTCGCCGTTGCTGCCGCGGCCGTGGAGGAGGATGAAAGTTTGGGCGTGAGTTGCGAGAGGAGGGCCGATGAAGGGCTCGGGGTAGATATGAGGTTCCTTTTTGCGTTTTGGGACTGGTTGCCCAAATGGTGCGGCCATTTTTAGATGAATGTTGGTTTCGTGACGCTTGTGGTTGACCCAAATCTTGTGGCTCACGAAGTGATTAATTACAAATTGAAAGTTGAGAAGTTAGTCAAAAAAGGAAGAACACCAAATCTGACTCATGAATATATATATTCTCGCGACCGGGTCTCGCTTAAATCTGGTCGAACGGCCTCGACCACCAACCACTCCGCGCTTAACTCGTCACGCTCGTTGGTTTCGTACATCTACCGGGCCTACTAATGGCCTGCTCTAGCGGCTAAAACTAATTCGTCGATATCTGAAAACAAGGAGAGCGCGATTTTTCAGCGGATTTTTACTATCTTCCCTAAGGTATTCTACTATACCTTTAAATCATTCTTACCTACCTCGCGGAGGACAAAATAAGTGTCAGTCACCTACCGACTAATCTTGGACAAAGTAATAAGTCGAATATATATAGAGCTGTAGATTTCTTGTTTACTGAAAATAACTAACAGAATATCTTGTTATTCTAAATTAATCTACTAACTATACGATATTACGTCAACTTATTGAAAGAAATATTATGTTTCGACCGGCACTTTTTTTGTCTTTAGCGAGGCTACTTAATACATCACATACATCGTAGTTCTTGAATTGAATAAATTTAATTACAGTAATTTATCCATATACGAAGCAACTTCAAAACACACAAGCCCAAGAACCCTCAGCTATATAACACCCGCTCCCTCTAACTTCCCTCTCCCAACACAATACCCTTCGCATTAAACTAACTACCCACAAAATCCCATTTTAGCTTCCAGAAAACTCCAACACCTTCAATCCCCCCCACCATTCAAACAAAAACTATAAAAACTACCGCACTCCTAAATAAGAACAAACTATCCACATTCCCCCACAACTTCCCGCCTATCAAAAGACTAACACACCAGAACGCTCTCCCTCGTGCGCGTATACGATGAAAAACACATGTAAACGAATAGAGGAGATATTTTGCGTGTGTGACTATTCGTAAGCTGGGTAATAGTATCCGTCCGATTTAACACATCTTCCAAAGTTGCATATATAAGGTGTGGAAGATCGAAATTCGTATGACTAATAGACTAAGGGTTGGTGAAGTTTGATTATTGCGGAGAATTTGAAAATATTTTTAGTGGCCTGAGATGGGAGGGATGGAGTTGTGTGGGGTGGTATTAATGAGGAATTTGTGACATGCTTGGTTTGTTGATGTGTATGTTTTGTTGGGTTGGTAGAGGTAATGTGGAGGATTTGGTTAGATAGTTTTACTAAATGTAGCTTATTAAGGAGTATACCCCTTTTGCTATTATAAGGTGGTATAATTCCAGTGTTGCAACACACTAGTGTTGATTACGAAGGTCATCAAATATACATATCTCCCCCGCTAAAACATAATTAACTATACTAGAACTAGTAAACGACTCATTTTAAACAAATACTCCTCTCCCACAAAACCTCCCGCCCTTCAACAACCTGCTTAACCCTAACATCAAACGTATCACCACTGACTTCAAAACCAGTAACCCAACACCTCCTCCCCTCATCTACATACCCCTCCCCATCTTCCTCTCCATCTCCATCCCCATCCCCATCTCCCAGCCCACAATCCACTCCATCCCCCTCCCCCTCAAGCCTCGCCATCCACGCACTAACCACCCCCACCGCACTCCCCAACACAAACCCACCCCCCCGTCTCGGCAACCTCGGAATCAACTCCAAAACCCTCCTCCTAGCCCCCCTCTCCTTAAACTTCAACGCCACAACCACAAGCGGCACCACCACCCTCACAGCAATAGCATATACCTCCCCTTTCCCTTCCTCACAGATAATCTCGATCATCCTAACAATCTCCCATAACTCCCCTGTGAACTTTCTGTACCAGGTATGCAAGGTGGGGGACGCGGTGCAGATCCAGAGGTAGTACGCGAGATAGTGGGCGCGGATCATGGCTGCGGCTTTGAGGTTGAATGAGCCGCGGGGCAGGGCGAGGGAGGTGGTGAGGAGGGGCGCGAAGGCAGCGGACCAGGTTTGCAGACGCGTGAGATGGGTGGTGAGTTCGCTTTCTATGGGTTCTGGGGAGGGATTGTGGTGGCGATCGTACATCCAGCGGAGGGCTTTGGCTACTATGACGATAACGGCTAGGCGTGCTTCTTTTAGATCGGTGTAATATTTTGGTATGGAGTGGGATATGGATTGTTCCAGGTATTTTGGGTTCAAGGAGAGTTTGGCGCCGCCGTCGATGAAAGCACCGGCTTCGATCTCGACGACGGTGAAGACCTCGAGGATGATGGGGTCGATGGGTTTCGGGTTGGGGGAGGTCATGTAGTTCTCAATCATCCCGATGCCAGATTGGACGAATGATTCCATGCTTTTGGCGTTGCCGTGGATGCCTTCGAAGGTCGCGTAGAGAATACATGCTAGGAGTCTTCTTTCAATCGAAGTTCCGCCGCGGAGAGTCGCGTTCTTGACGATGTCGATGGATTTGCTGTATTGGCGGTAGGCGATGGCTTTGTGTTGGCATTTTTCGTTGGGGTTGGGAGGGCGGACGAGGGAGAGGGAGAGGGCGCCGATGGCGGTTACTGCATAGCGGATTCCTGGGTCGGCTTCACTTACTTGAGGGACGAGTTGGGTCCAGATGTCTAGTTTGTGACAGCCGGCTAGGTGGATGGCGGTTTGGTCGATGTAGATTTTGAAGTGTCGATACTCTAGATCATTGTCGAAGAGTTTGGTGACAGGTGGAGGTTTGATAGATACCGGGGGATTTTGCAATACTATGGCATTCGTAGGGCTGGGCTTGGTGTTGTTGCTTAAAGGTGTTCGAGTTCGCCTTGATGGCGGGGCTTCGTAGCCATCACATTTGAGGTTTGAAGCGATGCAACGTTTACACTCTGGTTTCTGTTCATCGCATTTGAATTTCCGCTTTCTGTGTTCTTGTCAGAACCTTATACTTGGACTGAGTCTAGAGTGATCTTACTTGCAAGTAAGACAGCCTAGAACGAGCGAATTAGCAGTTACTTCTTATTGATCCTTTAAGGATGAATGAATAGATATGGTTAAACAGGGGTTGCAAGTAGAGCTTGATATCAAATCAAGGACACAATCAAGCCAACATTGTAGCAACTAATATATTTACCATTCTTGCTTCGCGGTGTGCTCCACCGCTGGCCCTTTGGTTTACCGCTCGCATCTTTGACCAGAAATGAGCTGCAGCCTGGATAACTCGACTGCATGATGCCTTTGCCCTCGTTACTCGAAGCTTAGCTATAAAGAAGTAACGTAGACATGCACGGAATGGGAGGCCTTGAAGATGGCCAAAATGTAAAATTCATGTAAAAGCGATGTCCAAAATATCTTGGGCGTTTACGGACGCAGCTGAAAATCATGTCAGATTCGGGATCACCGCTCCCCTGGAATTTACGACTGGGCCAATCAAATGCACATAATTGAGGCTGAGATCGGTGAGCTGCAGCAGTGTCACATCGTAGGGCTAGCACATGACCCGGCCGCTGGATACATAAACTTTACTTGAACCCAATGTTGAGTCGGTTGCACGAGAAGTCGTTGTTGTGTATCCAGCCTTGTACAACGACACCAAAAAGGCTCATCGCAAGGTTGACAAATAAATCGCTCATAGCACACTCGACTCAATCTAATGTTTCCACATCATTAATTGCACGAGTATCTTTTGCGCTAAACTGGGCTGGAAAGCACCCTTGTATCGACAGCCGAAAGCAAATCATGGAGGGGTTTCAACACGTGCAGTTTGACGCTCTTGCGAAATTACAAGCATGCATGTATCAGGTCAATGGTCTGCCGGTGTATACATATTGTAGTATTTGTGGATTGCTGCTAGTGCGGATATATGTACTGACTTAATCGCAAGAAACCATGTACATAACTTGCGGTAGACAGCATCATGACAACGATCGTCTGGCACTAACCGATGGCGAGGCTTTAGAGTCCAGATTGCACGTCGAACGTATATAAAAGAAAAGAAAGGTAACTAAAGCGAATGCTCCAAACCAAATCGCAAGCAAGAGAGCTTGGAATCATCATGAGACAGCGCTTTCAGGGTATCATCATAATTCATTACTTTCCAATCATAGCTCATCATCAGACTCCGTATCTGAACCATTATCAACGGGCGCTTCATTCGCCGCAGCTTTCTTGTGTTGAAATGGGAGCTCTCTTCGCGGAGGTGGAACAAAATCCTCCTTTTTGACTTCTGCAGCAGAGCTGGGCGGCTCATTCATTTCCTGACTATGAGCAGTCTTCCTGATCGGAGGTGGTACCGGCTCATCGTCCGAGTCTTCAGATGCTGTTAGATCTGGCTCTGGTGTCCGTCTTCCTTCGCCATCAGAATCATTGAGCACATCTGCCTCTTCCTCGACTTCCATCTTCTCGAAACCATCGTCTGATTCATCATCTTTGACTGCAAGTTTCCTTTTCCCTGATCGTGAAGGGCCAGCTGATCGAGAACGGGAGTCTCTACTCCTTGCTACTTCTTCTAGCTTTTCTGGGTCAATGTTGGATGCCGAGAGTAGTCGCTGCTGGTCTCTGATTTTGAGTTTCTTCTCGTTTAAAAGAATTGAGAACTTCTCGAGTAGTGCACTCTCATGGCTGGTTTTGAGCTTGACCAACTCGTCCATCCCTTCTTCCAATTTCTTGATTTGCGCATCTTTCTCTTCCATGCGCTTTTGTATGATATGTAATTCGTTGCTCGCTGTTTCTTTCGACTTGATAACGTTACCGCACCACTCGAATAAAGAAACCGGTTCATCGTCTGTCGCAGGAAGGGAAATCGTTCCTAGTTTTTGCTAAGACATGTAAGTTTGTTGATGAACAACCTGAAGTACAGGCATAACTACCGTGATACCCTCAATTCGCTTTTGTATTATGACCGTGAGCGAAACAGCCTTCCTCTCAACCTTTGCGATTGTCTCTATGCCTTGTAGAATATCCCCATTCCCCGGCGCAATCCCACGAAAAATAGACAACAATATATCCTCCCAATCATCCTGATTACACGGCGAATTCGTCGACTTGAGATCCGATATCTTCGAATGCCTTACTAAGTCCGTGATTAGCCTCGACTACAACGCATAAACATAATCTCCCCCACACCCGCACCGGTCGATCATAGGGCGGACTTACATGCAACCGAAAAGACAGTCTCCTCCTCTGTGCCAATCAACTTCAGATCCAGCTGCCGACGACCGGTAGATTCGACATGCAGCAGAACAAAATTGGCTTCGTTAGCGGGATGATCGGGTCGAGGAAGGCTGAGGACTGTGCTGAAGGGTTCCGACGACATGGTTTCTGAGAGGAGCGCCCGGGATGACGAGGGCTGAAACGTGGCGAGATTAGAGGTAGAAGTTGGTTGTGCGAAAGCAAGAATCGTTCTTCATCGTGATACTTGGGATGGTAGGAGGGGTTGTATTATTTACATGGATTTTGACGGTTGCCGAGTTGCTGCCTGTGAATTTCGTTTGTTGGGCTTGACGACGTGAGGAAACACGAAATGTACGCGAAAAGCATGAAGCTGGTGCCTTGACGCGACAATCGCACGTGACCTTTATCCAATATCAACTTGACACTTATGGCAATAGTAGCATACAATATACATGTTGGGTGAATGATGAAACAGAAGAAGAAAACAGTTACCAAGGTACCTGGGTCGCACAGAATTTCCAAGTTTTCATACTCATGATGGTAAGCGGATAAGAGTGAAGCCTCCTGTGTCTAGCTTCGAGGTCGCATTGTCAAAGGGATCAAATAAGCAATAGCAGCAATGATTACTCTGCTGCTAGTTTTCTCCTAAGCGTAAGAACAATATCCCATGGAATGTTCCTTCGCTTCACGACTCGCATCTGGAGAACAAAATCTTTTCGCAAGTATTGAAAGGGCACAGTTGAAGCCAGGAGTTTGTTTACTGTCTATTACTCTATCTGAAACCTTGCTTCCATGCTATAACGTGGCGGTATTGCAGGTTTTGCTTACCACACCTCGCATGCTGCGTACATATATAGGCATATGTGTACGAAGGAGGGCCGAACAGGTTTTAAAGGATGCTTGAAAAGGGTGTAGTAAGGAACTGTGCCGCGACTATGAGCCAGCCTCGAGCCAGCGGCAAGACAATAAACAGAAAAATGAATTGGTGTGGGAGAGAAGCGGCTTGAAGCAAGATTCTTAGCAGTACGTGATCAACAACAACATTTCGCAACTGAAAAGGATGAGAAGTTGTAAAATACGTCAACTAAGATGATCTATCTCACTAGTCAATGCTTTAAGCGCGTGTAAACTTATCAACCAACCAAATAAAAGATCGTACGTAGCACAAGCACAACGATTGCTAGCCGGAAAACGATCAACAACGAATGCCGTGATGAGATGTTGGGATTCGCACTAGGATTCAGATGTAACACCAACAATAACCAAACCTTGTAACTATCAGCGTGCATCGAATATCGCGATGACAGATCTGGCAACATCTTATACCTAGTAATGTATAACATGTATTGTGTTCCTACCAGTTGATCGTGGTGCAAGGAAAGACGTCGTACAATTGTTGCGGTACAATAACATAACACGAAATACACACGTAAAATTTTCGTATTCGACGCGACGAACCCACGTGATCCACTCTCGACGGCCGTGCGTCTTTCCAGTCCTCAAACTTTGGTTTGGGCGTTGGTGCGGGGACGTTTCCAGGGCAGCAGTGGTCTCCAGCTCGGGCCCTCGCCGAAAAAATCGAAACTTGGCCCTCAACCCAACCCAACCTCCCGTCGTCGAACTCCACGTCTCCCGACCCCGACCATCCATCCATTCCAGCCACCGACAATCGATACGAACAGCCCGCCACACCACAATCTCTGCACTCTGCATCTCCGACGACACCGGCTCTTTTCTTCAACAACATCGGTATACATTTCAACATCCCAACAAACCATCGGGTCGCGCAAGCACCATCCCAATAACAAACCGGCCCATCGGCCACAGGGAGAGAAGGGAAGGAACGCGACGATCAGCGGTGGAGGGATAGTGAAGACTGGCCAGCAAACCGAGAAAGTCTAATCCACCTCATCGCAAACAACTCATCACAATCGCACAAACACCAATCCTCGACCTTGTAACTCTCCACATTCACTATTTGCGACCTGTCACCTTCCTGCCACTATGAGTTTGCGACGTTGAACAGCGCGGCGATTGATGTGACTCGACAAATCAGCATCCTGCGGCAGCTTCCTTACTAACCTTTAGCAAAGCATCAAACTCGAATATACGCTCGTTTTACGTTCTTAAAAGCTTCGAAGGGATGGATCAATTAACTTTAAAGCCGCGCAAGGCGGTGGTGGAGGTACCAATAGAGAATTGGGATGATGACGATTTGGATTTCGGAGCGGACGACCTCAGCTTTGGAAGCAGCGCACCTTTGACCGCCGCAACGACCCAACATAGGGAGTCGGTATCTTCATCGCGCATGTCGATAAGATCAGATTGGGGGTCGAATCAAGGTGACGATGAAAGGCAGGTGCATCTGCCTGGGGACGACGAACGGTCGACGACGGATGCAATTGCGATGGCCAAGCGTGCGGGGATTCCTATACCAGAAAACGTACCTTCTTCGGCGCTGCTGGGAGGGACGATCAAAAAGCTCGGTGGAAAGAAGATTAAAAAGGTTGCTTCAAATGACTGGGATTGGGATGATCTGGAGCTGCCGGCGGATGGAGGATTGAAGATCAAGCAACCGGACGCCTCAAACTTTCCTGATGAACTACGCAAGATAAGCGGAGGTTCTATCCACACCAGTCCTTCGAAGCCACGTCTACAACCGGCTCCAAAATTCGACCTTAGTCCGAGACCAGAGCTCAAACCAAAAATCGCTTCAAGAAACCTTCTCGATGAATTCCGAGACCAGAATGAAGGCGACATGGACGACGACGATTTTGGAGGCAACACTCTGAAGGTTTCCAAGATTCGCGGTGGACGTACGCCACTTCCTCTCATCACTCCACCAACACCTCTCAAAACTCAAAGTGAGGCCATAGAGGCTTATGATGATTTCGAGGAAGACCTCCAATTCCCAAAAAATGGCGAACCATTCAAGCTGTCTACTCGTAGAGAAATTCCCAGAACACCAGCTGCTCACGGTACTTTGGACATCGATGACTGGGCTGGGGGTAGTCTTGGAACAAGATTTGGTGGAACTCGACGCGATGGCCGGTCAAACAGAAGTTCTTCAGCTTCTGCCCTTAGTCCAAGCGTGGCGAGCTCCCTGACTGTCGAGAGCGAGGACGAAGGACTTGACGGTCTCGTCTTACCCACCGGACCAATAGCTTTTGACGACATTCTCAAGAGACGCCAACAAAATCGTTCGCCAGATCACCAAACCCCCGAGAAGCAGGCAGCCAAGCGCGCCGAGGTCAAGGAAGATTTTATGACCGGCTTGGAGATTGGAGATGGCGATGTATTCGACTCTGGCAAACTTACTCTTAACCGCAACGTCAAGATGAAGACGACACGGCAGACTAGCCCAACCCGACCAAAGGCGGCTGTCTCGTTGACCTTCACCAACAAGCCAACACCCGCTCCTATCTCGCGCCTTCCTCGACCACTAGGTGGCCACGACCGTGCTCCTTCCTCTCTGGAGCCCGTCTCTGAAAGTGGAGGACCTATCGCGAGCCGCAACCGTCGGTCGCAGTCTAGAATTGGACATTCGGCACATTCATCAATTACAAGTATTGGTACGCCGACAACCCCATCTGCATCGTCTAATGCATTTCCACCTTCAACGCCACGGCGGCGGGATATTGGTTCAAAGCAGTCAAATCCTACACTTCGCAATGAGCCCACTACGACCAACGCTCAATTGCTAAAACTTAAACGGTCAATGCCAACCATGCGATCATATCCCCAATCGCCTGCGAAACCAATGGCAAGATATGAAAGACCGCCATCTCGATCGGATACCAGCAGTAGAGCACATAACGTGTCTCGGCCCAAGACTCCAGTTGAAAGAGATAGATCTGGAGCTGAATCAAGCTTGTCTCATGCCAGGCGAAACCCTATGCCATTCTTACCTGCTGGTGCCGGTGCTGCGACGAACAAATCTCACCATGTCACAATCACCACCAAGACGTCGCGTCATTTTCGTCGGAATGATTCTGAATCGTCAAACAACAGTCTAGAGTTACGGCCCTCCTCGCGTGCTGTATCACGGTCCACTATGAGATCTCCCAGCCCGAAGCGAAACTATCGTGGGGCCGAATTTATCGCAAACAGTGCTGCAGCGAAGCGTACTTTGACCAAACCGGTCAAAAACTCATATTTAGGTACTGGCCGCGAGCTCGACGAGTTTGACGACTTGCCTACGTCTCATGTCGTGGAAAAGAGATTCGTAAAAGAGCCGGTTGGTCGTGGTCCACCAAAGCTGTCCAATCTTAGGCCTAAGATCGCAACAGCTGCTCCTCCTTCTCGGACAAGTACACCTGCACCTTTGACTCCATACTCGCCCGCTAGGATGAATGATGGATTACCTCGATTTGCACGTGATACCACGGCCAGTCGCATGGCAAGAGAATACTCCTTGGCCCAACGAGCACCATCGGCATCTGGAGCACCTCTGGCAACTCTCACCAATCAATGGAAAGCCAAGGTGGCTGCGACGACGGGTTTGACAACCGCAACAGCCCACTCAGTAAGGCCGAAGAAGGCAAAGGGTCCACCCCAAAAACCTCACTTAATCAAGCCGCTTGGGAATCTCAACAACCCCAAATCCCTGAAAGGGATGTACTACAACCCTCAGACTTTCAGGTGGGAGGGTAATGAGAACGAGCTTTCCATGTTTGATGCGCCCGCTTCTTCTCCCTCGACAGCATCGATACCATCCCATATTTTCAAAGACGCCCATGTTTATCGCGAGAAGGAGAACACTACACCTCGTCCGGCTCTGATTCAGAACGTCAACTCAGCACAGAACGTTCAAGTTGTCGGAGGCATGGTCTTTGATCCAACCCGTATGTGCTGGTTGAAGATGCCCACCAAGAATGAGAATAAGAGTGACGCGGGTGACACCATGGACGGATTCGATGCTCTTGATGACGAAGAGGAAGACGTTTTCAAGGACGTGCCGGATCTCGAAGACACCAATACCAAAGACGTTGACGCCATGGGTCGTCCAAGTGAAGGTGCAATCTCCCTCGACGATTGGCTCGTCGGCGAAGAGTTCGATGTCGGTCCCGAGTTTGTCAGGAGACAACGGGAAGAAGAAGATAGATGGAGAAGGAAGTGCGAGAAGTGGATTACCACTGATCTCGTCCGTGGTGGAGATTCCTGGAGATGGAGTATCCGCGATGTTGTCAACGAGCAGTGAACAAAATTCAATCGCGTTCTGCGAAGCTTTTCATTGGTATATACAAAAACAGAAAAAGACTCGACGTACATTTTTCCCCCGTCTTGGCAACGACTGGCTAGGGGATATTCATAATTTGTACAGCACCATTCATTCATTCATTCTTTTATATATCCGGTTCTTTGCTGGAGTTGCGTTGGAGCTTGGTTGGACTTGGACTTGCATAGCGAGGGTGGTTTGTGGAGGGGTTGGACGGGTGTGGGGAGTTTTTTGGTACTTCTTTTTTTGAAGGGGTGGTAGATTGGTGGATTGGATTGGATTGTTTTATGTTTTAGGGGTTATAGGGGAAGAGGGGGGTTGGTGATTGTTTTTAGGATGGAGGAGAGGGGTAGGGATAGATGAAGGGGAAGGGTATAGAGGAAGCCGAAAGGCAGGGGAAAAGAAATGAAAGGGATTGCTTTGAAAAAAGATGAAAAGAAAAGTAGAAAGATGATATATTATACCATAGCGATAGCGATAGGTATTTTAGGTTTTGAATCAAAGGTGGTCATATTTACTTGGCTTTTTTTCTGGTTAGGGGGTGGTGTGAAGGGGGGATATTGAGATTCGAAAGTTTTGTGAGCTTTCGATTGGGATGTGAGGTTGGATGAATATCGGGTTGGATGTGTAGCGCGAAATTGAGATTAGGGGTATGGATTTGGGGGTAAAATCCGTGTCCGTTGTGATGTGTGGGGAGTGAGACGCGATGTAGGATGGGAAGGTGGATGGTAGGTGGGTAAGTAAGGTATGAGGATTCGGTGAGGTGGATGTGGAGGTTTGTGCGGAGGGAGTGGAGTTGAGAGTTGAGAGTTGGGTTCTGGGGGGTTGTTGAGGGGTTCTGGGGGAGAGGGGGGGAGAGGGTGAGGGGTGGTATGCTAGGGATGTAAAGCTTGGTACCTAGGTGGTGTGTGAGTTTGATGGGGATCGGGGTGGAAAGAAGCGGGGGATGGGTGTGGGTTTTGGTTGGTATTCTTGATTAATGGAGGCTGAGATTGGTTTATGGTGCTAGAATGTAGACGCTTTGGAATGTAGGGTTAGGGGAACGGGGAAGGGGAATTGGTTGTTAGATGGTTGTCTTTTATTGGGTGCGAAGTCAAACATTTATATAGGATATTTCGTAGAATTAGAATAGTTGTGGCTGAGGGGGAGGGGGGGGTTAAAATACCGCGTTTTTGTTCGTGGTGGAAGGAGGTGGGGAGATATTGGTGTGGGAGATGTGTTGAGATGTTACTTAAGCAAGGTTGGGATATGATTGTTTGATACTTCTGATATGTCTGTGGTGTACTGATAGCTTTAGGTGTTGTTGGATTTGGTGGTTGGTCCTGGGTAATTACGTGCATGGAGCTGTTGGTGATGTGTGGTTGGTGATGTGTATGTAGTTGGTGAAATGTAGTTGGTTTTTTGTCATCCAATTGTCGTTATATGTTCTCCTCTATGTGCCACTTAATTACCCTATTCGTAAACAAGAGCCGTTCTAGGCTACCTAGATAGTCTTAAAACGCTAGACTTACGGAATCGTTAGAATATTTTTATTATTGTGTCTTTATACTACGTCTACTAAAAACGATATTGCTATAGTAAGAGGCTTGGAATTCAAGCGTGTATAAAATTAAGTAGGGACGAGGTACTCTAGGCTGTTTAGGGGTGTTTGTGAGTAGGGCTGGAATAAGATCAGTTTAAACGGAGTAATTAAGTAGATTTGTGGACGAATAGGGTATTCTATTGGTAAACACCACCCAATTCACGAATGCGGTTGTTCACGAACGTATGCAGTTGGCGAGAAGTATCACGCTGACCGCATACCACAACAACCAACCTCCAATAACTCTCCCAAGCAATTGACGTAAAACAACAGAAGACCCTCCCTAATTCCCCACCTGGGTATCCTATAAGCCAATTGACGTAAAACAACAAAACATCCCACTTCCTCAGTCACTAACCGGTCCGCCTATTTAACCCCACCCACCCACCAGCTACCGAATTCCCAAATCACTTACTCATTCTCAGCTTTCCACCGCGAAAAATGTCTTCCCCACCCCAGGGCCCACGTCTCAAGTACTCCATAACCCACTACCGCAAGCCCGGGCGCAGCCACGACGACTTCATAAACTGGATCGTCAAAACCCATCTCCCCAAAGCGCTGCCCGTGTTTAAGAAACACGGGATCCTAGGCTACTCGCTCGTTTGCTCCCCCTCCCCTCCTTCCCTTCCCTTTCCTCACCCATCTAACGTCATCTAGTTCGTCACCCCCGCAGCCCTCAACATCGATTTGAAACCGCAATTCGCAACCCTGCGTCCCACGTGGGAGTTTGCGGAGTTCGACTGCTTTATCGAGTACATCATCCCGAGTTTTGAGTGTGTGAAGGCCGTGATGATGGACGCCGAATGGGCGGAGGCGGTGGCGGATCAGGAGGAGTGGGTTGATGTGCCGAGGGCGTTGGTTAGTATGGGGTTTGTGACGGCGTATTTGGAGGAGGGGAGGGAGGTGGGGGAGTTGAAGTCGTAAGCAGATTGTATCGAGGAAGGTTGTTATACTCAGGGTATGGTGGTAGGAAGGGTAGAAAATGGGGTGTTATGGATTAGATGCCATTCCGTATTAAGCCCCGCGACACGTGCCTTATATACTTGTGTACAAAATCATTCGAGATACGCGGAATTGAAAACCTAAAATTCGCACGTAAACGCTACTATATCTATTCTGACATTCGTCTGACCAGCCAACTCATCACCCCCGCCCCGCCCGTAAATTACCCTGTTCCTGTAATGATACGGACATATATCGAAACCACCTAACCGAACCGAGGATGCAACCTCGAATCGCATGGCCTTAGATATTATCCGTATCATCTAACGATAAATAGAGCGATAGCTATTAACATCTCTACTTTTCAAATAATAAAATCTATAGTGTTCGCTATTCGAAATTCTCGATAATTTAAAATATATAACTTACTCGGTCTACTCTACTATAGTACGGGATTAAGCTATAAAAAAACTACTTTTATAGATAAGTAAGTTTTATAATTGCATTCTTCTACCTATTATAATATAGTGAACAAAGTCTCGAATTTACCACTAAGTATATTAGAAATTCTCTTTCTTTAGATATATAAGTCTAAATTCTTTCTTACTATCTACACGATCTTTGCATATACTGTAGCGACTACAGCTAAGTTTTGATAGGTTACTAAGCGATGCTTAACGCTCCCGAGTCTTCGACACCCATAACTCGGTTTCTTCGTCTACAGTAGCACCCGATGATTATAACGAAATATATACCACTTGATCCGTTAATTTGAGCTCAATGTCTACTTCTGATCCTCTCACCATCGCGCCATCCGAGAGTTCATCGGACGGCACTATTCCAGTAATTGAACAAATCGAAGCCTTGCTCTCCCCAGCCTCACCCGCTTCCAACCCATCCTCGACGCGGTCTCAAAAGATCCAGGTTGTTCAAACCCTACTTGAAACAGTTGATTTAGGCCCACGGAAACCTCAAATCCTGGAACTGCTTGCCGCACGATGCTATGAGCAGTATGTAGCTGTAAATGAATGGGCCGCACTGGAGAGCGCAATCGACTATTACGGCGAACTCATACGCGACACCGCAGAAGACGATTTGGCGACGTCCTCTCGCTTGGGCGAGGCGTATGCTCGTTGCATGCAGAATCGCTTTATGAGGGGCCGAAAGGAGAAAGATCTGGGACAGGCTATCAGCTTTGCAGCCGAGTCGGTCGAGAGAACGAGGGCAGCTGGTGTGGATTCTACGGTCTTAGCGGACCGACTAGGAACGCTGTGGTTATGTCTTTTTACAAAGGTTCATCAACTAGATGACAGTACCACGGAAGACTTTGATCGGATGATACAAAGCGCAGAAGAGGCTGACACTGTAGCACGAGCACACCCGAGTGACATCTCGAAAGTGGTTGAAGCAAAGAGTAATCTGGGATTAGCTTATCAGATCAAATGGGATCAGAGACGAGACTTGGAAAGCCTGGCTACAAGCGTAGCTCTCGGCCGTGAAGTTTTGGACCAGCTGCCCAAGGATGCGGATACCGATGCGCGAATAGCGGCTCTCTCTAACCTCTCCTTCCGTCTACAGAGAGTATATCTCTGCTATGTTGTCGATGAAGAGCTTCCCACGGGGATGGAATCTTTGGATGGCGAGACGCTCCTGGATGACGCTCTCGAACATCTCTCCGAATCGGCGTTGCTTCACGGTGAACGCACGCTCTCGGTCCCAGAGAATATACTGACCTTCGTCATGTATATACGCAACTTCCCAGTCTCCTATAGGGGTGCTATGCTCGGACGGTGCGCAAATGTCCTTCGCATCGGCGTCAAAATCATCAAAGACTACTGCAGTGTCGCCTCTCAAGAGGACCAGAGGGACTGCCTCAGTACATTCTATGGCATTTCACGCTACGCGACTTCTGCGGCTTTACAGAGCGGGGAAACTCCCTACCAAGCTCTTCAGCTACTAGAAGAAGGAAGAACGGTTGCGTTAACGCTGCAAGAAGAAATCGCAGACGCTGATACTATAACATTGCACGATGAGAGCCTTGCAGATGAATATTCTGAAGCTTTGCACACTTTCCGAGCTTCTTTCACCAACCAGGTATCCTTCCACGAAAGGAAGTCTGGCATGGAACGACTAGCGAAGCTACAAGACCGTATTAGACAGATCCCAGGAATCCTTGGGGGGCCAGAGCGACTGAGTGAGAGGCTATTGCTCGAGATGGCTCAAGATAGAGATATCGTGGTAGTCAGCTTGACAGACCTTCGCAGTGATGCCATTCTCATCACCAAAGCTGGCCTTCGCGTTGTTCCCCTACCTAGTCTGGATGAGTGGCAGCTTTCGGAAGATAGCTGGGAGATACAGACGGGTCTTGCCACAGAGGAGGATCAAGAAGAAGTGTTTCACGACCTCCACGCGAATCTCTCCAAGCTATTGCGAGACTTGTGGAGGAATCTCGTCAATCCAGTCCTCCGAGATCTCGGGCACCTTCAGACTTTGTCGAAGAGTGACTCGTGGCCGCGCATCGTGTGGATTCCGACGGGCATTCTTTGCTTATATCCGATCCATGCTGCTGGGTTGGGCTTGCACAAAGAGGCCAACGCGATGAACAGAGTCATCTCATCCTACGCATCGAGCTTGTCGAGCTTGCTTCGACTTCACGAAAACGAGGGGAGAGGAGCCAGCTTGGACGGCCCAACCAAGGTTGCCATCATGGCCATGCCAGAAACCGTAGATCGCCAGCCACTAGACCTGAGCCTCCAAGAGGCCGCGGCCATCACTCGAGCTTTTCCAGACTCAGAACTCCTCGTCAATCGAACTACAGAAGATGTGCTCGAGGTAATTGCGCGGCAGCCTCAGATTGTGCACTTTACGTGCCATGGCGAAGTAGACTACGATCAACCGCTCTTGAGCAAATTGCTGACGAGGGACTGGCAGACCAGCCCGCTCACAGTTGCGCAGCTTCAGGTTCTCAACATCGAGAGATCCCGATTGGCATTTCTGTCTGCGTGCTTCACGGCCAATGCAGGGGTGGAAAATATGCAGGACGAAAATAATCACCTTGCTGGAGCCTTGCATCGGGCGGGATTCCCCAGCATTGTAGGGTCTCTTTGGTACGTGGGTGAGGAGGCGGCGTTGGAAGTGACTAGACGCTTTTATGAAGAGCTGGCGAAGGAAGAGCAGGAGTGGCCAGAGCATGTGGCTAAAGCATTGCATTTTGCGATATTAGACTTCCGAGAAACAACCCGTACTGCTGGCAATAAGATGAGAGGAGATCCCGTGAGCTGGGCGCCATTCTCGTACTTTGGAGGATAGCTTGAGGTTGGAACTGCGGCTTTGTTCTGCACAGAGAGAATGTGTTTTGATTTAAGGACCTATTTGCTTATTAGTTTGATCTTTTTGTAGTTAATATTGCTAATTATCAATATCCATAAGTCAAGTCATTCGTTGTCATCATCATCATCATCCTCGTCGTCCCGTCTAAGCAGTTCTACAAGCTCATCAAGTCCAACGTCCTCCAACTTGATATTCAGCACTTTGTCCTCTTCCAGCTGGCTACCTTTAACTCTCTGATGAGACCAACGCCAGCTTGCATCTCCCTCCAGAGTAGGATTTCCCGCCAGATCAATCTTACCACGCAACCTCTGCACCTGAACTCCAAAAACCCCACTCACCATCCCCGTCGACTTCGCAAACCGATCCACCGACACCTCCCCCTTCAAATGCAGCGGAATCTGCGCCGTCGTCTCCAGAGGCAACGTCAGATAGGCGCCCGCCCCGCCCTCCTTCAGCACCGCTCTCTTGAAATCCGCAGCGCACAGCACCTGCAGACCGATAACAAAATAACAGGGCGTTTTGTGCACGACCATATTCTTGATCCACGCGCGGGCGTCCTCGTCCGCCGTCACGCGCTTGAAAACGTCCGTCGCGTTCTTCAGCGCGTGGTATTCGAGCTTTGCGGCTTCGATGGAGAGGAGCGTCGTGGTGCGGCCGTGGAATCGGGAGCCAAGGTACTTGGTGAGCCCGACGTCGAAGCGGCCGCGCGTGTCTAGTGAGACGATGGTGCTGTATGGCGCTTCGGCGGCGACGTGGGCTTTGTCGTCGTCGGTGACGAGTGTGCAGCCTTTCGTGTAGGTGTCGGCGTTGGGACTGAGCGGGTTCCGCAGGAGTTGTCCTAGGGAGAGGAGTTCTGAGGGGAAGACTTTGGGAAGGAGGACGGTGTCGAGCGAGGGCATTTCAATAAGTATGAAGTTGGTAGAATAATCTCTAATTTTATATCTATATGTTGGGAAGAAATCCTCGTTTGACGTTCTGCCGATTTAACTAAATTTGAAGCTGAAAATCAGAGCGAAGATGTACTGTTTACTATTTGTCAAAGTCAAGGTATTAGAGGTAGTTGGGACCGCGGTCCTTAAAACTTACCGTAAGCCTGAGGACGTAGCATTCTATCTACCTAAGTACCTAGGTAATCTCTTAGTTACATTTTTGAAACTCATATTAATCCTAGTTAGCTTAAACTAGTTCTAGACTCAGTACATTTTTATCATCCTCTATAAAACTATTCATTCTAGTAAATTAATGTAGACTCTACATACGAGCGAGTTTACGAGAGCTGCTTCTTAAACTAAACTATCACTAACAACCACATCTCCATATCCTCTACCGTTTTTAGGATAACTTCCTATAAGGACTAACAGATCACCAGTATCCATAGTCACATTACAACTAGACGCCACAACAGCACCTACACAAGCAATTGATTGCAATATATGCATCAAACTTCTCTCTCAAAAAAAGAACATGGAATTCTCCTATCTACACACAATTACAATCTCGCTATGTAACACCTCTCACCAAAAAGTGGAAATATTTATCTAATGAAGAATCCGGCAAACGCTATAAGTAAATCCATCACAGCGCTCGCTATGCCATCAATTTAACAAAGGAAAGAAATACCGCAAAATTGGGGTTATAATGAGAATCTTGCTACCGCTTCTTCACGTCCTATATATCCATCTCACGCTCAGATAAACAATATCATTCGCCCGCTCGCTCGCTCATAAAGTGGTATGCACACCCCGCTCAAAAGTTCGAACTTGCATTCACATTCCCCCTCGCCGCCGGATTATGATACGTCTCCAGCGTACTCTGGAACGGATTCGCGGCAGCCGGCGACCCAGACGAGCTTGGTTTCTCGCCCGGCGCGCTCCCGAAGCCCGTACCCATCAGGTCGTCCGACTCATCAGGCGTGTTCTTCTTGCGTCCCCAAATCCTCCAGGCGACGATGAACAGACCGGCTAGGATAGCGGCACCACCGATCCCGACAACGACGCCGATAATGGTGTTGCGCGTGCCGGTCGACATCCCTTTGTCTTTGTTGCTCGTGTTGTTGGTCGTGGCTGCGGCCGAGTTGGCGGCTGCTGCTGCGCTGGTGGCGGATGCAAAGGCGGCGGTGTCGGTTGAAGAGGAGGTTTGTGTTATGGTGCTGCCGCTGACGGTTTGGAGGGAGGTGACGACGACGACGGTGGGGGTGATGGTGGAGGTATTGATTAGAGATACGGAGGAGGAGGTCGAGGTGGAGGTTTTAGTTGAGGTTTTCGATGAGGTTGTGGGAGAGGTTGCTGGGGTTGTCGGCGTGGTTGTTGGTGTGGTATTCGTCGTGGGAGTAGCAACTGGAGTTGGTGTGTTTGGGGTGGGTGTGGGTGTATTTGGTGTCGTCGTAGGAGTAGGCGTCGGCGATGTCGTGGGAGGTGTCGTTGAGGGTGACGGCGCTTGAGTCGGCGTGGATGATGGAGATGTCGTTGGACTACTCTCAGGAGTCTCTACCACACTCGTAGGTACCGTGTTGCCCGTTCCCACCGATGAACTTTGCTGTCGAACAAATACGGCTCCTCTCGCGTCCACGACTGACGCCTGGGCGATGCCGATGATGGCCATGACTGCCACCAGTCGGAGTTGGGATTTTGATAGCATGGCGATGTCTTCGCGATGTCTTCGCGATAAAGTTTTGGTTGACGAAGTATGACGTTCCGAAGATGAGATGTGTTTCCCCTTCCTTTCTATCCGCGTATGACTGTCGCGGATTGGGATCGATCGATGAATGTCCTTATTATTGTTGATTCGTCCCTATTATTGACGTCGTGACGAAGAAACCGATCTGAATTGTCGGGTATAGTATACGTGAATAGTCGAAAAAAGAAACAAGAACAATGGCTGATGAATGGTTGCAACAAAGAAAGAAGTTAGAGCGAATGTGTGGTTTGTCGAGAGAAGGGGTGAGCGAGAGGAGTTCGTATTTGACGGAGAGGCGACCAGGCGGGAGAGGATTCGGTCGCAGGTTTTTCGCAGCCCAGAACTTTCTCTGCAAATCAATTTGCGGGCCGCTGCTCGATACGAAGTTCGAACGGTCAGCAAAGACCCTGAAAATAGCACCTTTGGCAGGTCAGCTACGCCTGATTAGGCTCAGCTGAGGCAGGAATTGCATTTTTCAGGCACGAAATGGTCAGCCACAGGTAAAGCCACACTTTAATTCCCGTGCAGCTCCCGGCAATGGATGGGAAGTGCCAGCGCAGTGCAGTCTCCCGTCACTTGGTAAATAGCCAACCGCGCGTGAAATGCAGCGTTGGCCCAACCAACATTCTTTCATCCTCACCACATTCTAGAAACACGAAACAAACACATCCAGTTTCCATTCCGACGCCAGCAGATTCTCTTTGTTTACCACCCATTCAAACTTTTCCGTGGCTCGTCTTTCTCCGCTGCATCCGGTGAGCTCGCTTGTCCTCCTCTAACAGGACGACTGTGGAAACAAAGGCATAAACGCGGCCGAGTCCGATGGTCTGGATACCAATCATTTATATTGTTCGACGCTCCACCGGCGCACCGAGTTCGTATCACTGTGAAGGCGTCACCACACAAGAAAGAGTTGAGGTCACAAAAGATGTCTCCAAGAAGTCTTTTTGGAAAGTTACTGCAGATCTGATCGTCGTCGATATTATGGTTGATACTGTTCGTGGATTCGTTACCCCTCGATGGCCTCAAACCCTTCGAGTTTGGTCCTGGGCGAGGGGTTCGAATTTTGAGGGGTTGATGACGTCGAGTCCTGAAGTCCTTGAGCTTGAAACTCGATGGGGGATGAACATGCTTTGTGAAGTCCTGTTCTCTTAAGTCTTCTTCAATTCCTATGAACGTCTCTAGACTCAAGTCATCCTCGTTGACGCCTCAAGCTCAAGCTCGCTTACGAAGACTCAAGATCTTGTCACCAGTATCTTTCGTTTTTCTGGCGTTCAATTACAGAGCGCTGTAGTTAAATCGTCTCGACTATCAACGTTTCCTGACTGTTCTGTGTTACTACTGTTTCCGATGGTTCTGGCAGGTCGAGTGACGCTGCCAGTTTTGCTACCACCCTTTCTTACTCTTGAAATTTGGATTTTCTTTTTAGAATAAACATTTACATTTCCTCACAATTGTATCACAGATTCATGTTCGGCAGAATCATAAATCATCTCTCATCCTATCAATATCAGCCAGTAGAGGATAAGAGTAGATGAGGAGGTCGGTCACGTGAGTGGTACTTCACATGAGCAAGTTATTTCATCGCCCGAGAGATTCTCTCCTGGGAAACTGATTGGCAAAATTGGAAAATACAATATTGAGTGAATGCTCTTCTTGTAAAATTCGCTTTTACTTCTTCTAGTATCACGTTTCTGGTTAGACCCACCGTCTGCGGGAATCCTAAGAAGTTCATGTACCTCTCGAGCGATATGCAGAAGTGCTGCAAGTCACATCTCAACTGCTCAACCGCATCGGCTCGATATCCGACGGAGCGGAATATGTTTTAGCCTTTATATTTGAGGCAAAATTAATCTATTCAGACGCTTTTGAAGATCTTGCTCACCCCGCATTGCTACCCCGAATATTTCGGCAATCTACGTTCCATGTTCCTTCTTCAGCCACTGGTATTAGACATCATGCTTGCAACTGCGAAAATGCTGTTAAAACACCACTCTTTAAGTTTTGATTCGCGCGAAATCTTGAAAGATCAAAAAATCGGATTCCTACACCATGTCAATTGAGATCTGTGGGTACGTACCACCACAGGTGCTTCAGATGCACGGAACCCAAATGTACAAAAATGAGCTTGGCACTTCTTCCGGTAACTAGTGTGCTAACTCTTATATTGGTATCCAATCTCTCCTCTTTTCGAAAACTTTTCTTTGTCATTCCTTTGGCGCAAAATGCATGTATCTCACGTTTTGAGTATTCTGGCCACCGTTGCCTATGTAACAAACAGCCAGTCCATTCAGAATTGTACTAGAACATTCAAGAGTACCACAGCTGCAGCTGCTTTTGCGGCTCTTGATCCGGGATGGAATCTTGGGAACACTCTAGATGCAGTTCCTAATGAGGGATCTTGGAACAACCCACCTGCACAAGCTTCGACGTTGGCTCAAGTCAAAGCAAGAGGTTTTAAGAGTATTCGAATTCCAGGTACGAATCAAATTGATTGATTTCACTCACAGCTGCTAACGTGGTATAGTTACATGGGCATATCATTTTACATCCGACTCACCAACATGGCAAGTCGACAAAACTTTCATGGACCGCGTCGAAACGGTCGTCGACCAAGCCTTAGCCCTAGACTTCTCCGTCGTTCTTAATGTCCATCATGACTCCTGGGTCTGGGCAGACCCATCAGTAGCAAATGCAAACACCACCATGATCGAAGAAAAGTTCACCCGTCTCTGGTCCCAAATAGCCTCCCGCTTCTCCTGCAAATCTTCCAAACTCATCTTCGAAGCTCTCAACGAACCAGCCGGCAGCACCAAAGAACATGCTGACCTCCTCAACCGCCTCAACACATATTTCCTCGATGCTGTAAACCGCGCAGGTGGCCACAACCCCAACCGCGTCCTCTCTCTCAGCGGCCTAAACATGAATACCGAGCTCACATCACTCTATTTCACCCGGCCTACCACGTACCCGCTCCAACCATGGGGTCTCCAATTCCACTACTACAGTCCCTACGACTTCGTCTTCGGCGCCTGGGGCAAGACCATCTGGGGATCTGACGCCGACAAAGCGTCGCTCGTCAATGATTTCGAACTTTTCCACGGCAATTTCTCCCATGTCCCAACCTTTATCGGTGAATGGTCTGTTTCCACGGGTCAGACTGAAACGGCTGCGCGGTGGAAGTACACGGACTTTTTTGTTAGCACGGCGAAGAAGTACGGGTATAGTAGCATGCAATGGGATAACGGGAATGATCAACTCGATCGCACGACCGGGAAGTGGAGGGATGAAGTCGGCATTGATATTCTTCTCGCCGCCGCTGCTGGAAAAGTCAATTCTCTAGCAGACAGCACGGAAGACGGAAGCGCGACATCGCAATTCAGTTCAGCGTATTACTTCCATAAACTCAACACCCCTATCGCCGACGCGCAAATCCAATACATCCTTAACGGAAACACCCTCCTCTCAATCACCGACAACAGCACCCCCCTCACCCCCGCCGATTTCTCAATCACCCCCTCAGGCCTCCTCACACTCTCCGCATCCTACCTCTCCCCCCTCGCAACAGCCCAACCAGGCCTCCACAAAACCCTCACCCTAACCTTCTCCGCCGGCGCCCCTCTCACCCTCTCCCTCTACGTCTACACCACGCCCACCCTCCCAGTAACAACATACAACCTCACCTCCCTCCCACCGGGTGACCTGCATATCCCCATCTCCTACGCGGGATTGCCGCAGGTCGCGGCTGTGAAGGCGGTTCTGGCTGATGGGAGTTACTTGACGGATGCATGGACGATGTATTTGGGGGTGTTGCAGAGGGGGTATTGGACGTTTGGGGAGTGGGAGGGGGAAGGGGCGGGGTTGAAGATTAGTGCGAGTGGTGTGGAGAGGTTGAGGGGTGCTGGGCAGGATGTGAAGTTGGGGGTGGAGTTTTTTCCACGGGTTGAGGGGGAGGCTGTGGTTGTGAGGTTTGTGCGATGAATGAAGTTGTGTTTGAAGCTGTTTAACTCAAGATGAGCTTGGGAATTTACTCTCGTCTACATCCGCGAGATAATCTCAAAGAGCACTACTTAACCATATTTTCACGCTTGTTTAACCCGAAAGCAAACTGCTATCATCTTCTCAGTAAACCGAGCAACGTCCTTAATGTTTTCGCAAACCTAGAGCTCTCCTCCCTAAACATAAAGCATGAGGCTGTGACTTTCTTGTTAGACTGTCCAGTTGTATTCGAGTTTACAAAGTAATCTTGTAGGTGTTAGTACGAAAGAATACCGAGAGGATACCGGTGTGTTTTTTAGATGGTAATAGTAAACCAGACCCCTAAATTGTGGAAGGGCAGGATCTGTCGTAGCGTGAAATGATATATAAAATAGATAGAATGTACAAAGGTAAGAAATGAGCTTCTTTATAGTACTAGTTCATCTCTAGTTTATCCTCTGTAATTTCGACGTAGCTTAGACGTTAAGACTCATTTTTGACGCAAATGGTTGAAACTGAAGTCAAGTCCCATAAAAGGACTCCTTTTCTCCTCAATCACTCTCTGCATACAAGCCAAATAATCTACTTCTTTCTAAACAATATCAACACTTTCTCCTCAAAACTCTCTTATCAACCCCGGCGAAAGCTCCAACACCATCTCCCCCAGTGCAAAATTATATTTCTGCGGCGCACCCTTCACCCACCCCCTCTCCCGCAACTCCTCCAAGCTAACCTCAGATCCCAGACGGTAAAGCTCCGCAATCCTATACGCATACCGAGATCCAGAGCCCCCGGGCTTCAAAGTTTCCCCATCGTTGAAGATCCGGTTGTTGAGGCCCTCGAGGTCATCGGCGGGTAGTTCGCCAGGCTGGATCCCCGGTTCGATGACAGCGCAATATCGGATTGCGGAGACGGGAGCGGTCTCGTAGATCCAGATCCTGGAGACGGTTGGCGGGATGAGGTATTTCCTGAACTCGTGCGTCTTTTGGCGAGTGAGCATGTTGGCTACGTGGTTGGGGTAGATGGAAATGAGGATGTCGGTGCGAAGGGTCTCGCGTGTCATGATGAGGCTGGCCAACGCTTACTTTCGCACATTCACTGGTTTTTACAACTCGATTTCATAATCTTCTCGGTTGGGAGTGTATACCTAGTGATTGAATAGAAAGGTTGCCGCCGCGATGTGGTGTCCAACAGGCTGACAGCGAGAAATTACCAAAATTGATAAATCCAGGTCACTACAGGGGTGTCACGAGACATCCAACGTGCCTAGCTCGCGGTGGTCAAAATAAGTGGCAGTCGAAACACGGTATTGCTTCGATTAAGTTGACGAAATATCGTTATTTAGTGGATTGATCTAGAACAATGTGAGATATTACGTCCATTATTTTAAGTAAATAAGACTTCTTACGCTCTATTCAAAGTTGACTTATTTAGTCCAAGATTACTCGGCAGGTGACTGACACTAATTTTGTCCTCCGGGAGCCTAGATCGTTTGTTATTTTGTTTTCTTTTCCGGCACAACAACGTCCCTACTAAGATTTTGTTCTTCAGCGGCTATAGTTATACGGGTGATGCTGTTATCACGCGAGACCGATTTCCCGACCGACGAATAGCTTTCTGGATGGGTTATTGCTCCTGAGGCTTATGGTGCCCAAGTTACTATTGATTTGTGTTTCATAAAGTGAAAATAGTGAGAATTGTTTGGCAATCGAGGGTTTAAAGTCATCCCTCTACAACAACACCGTAGAAATGCCTACAACTATTTTGATCATCAGGTATATTCCACAAACTCTGCTAGGCTAATTGGAAACTCAAGTAGAAGAGATGGTGGTACTTTGATTATATAACCTCTCCCTCAGAATGGTAGTAGTAGTCAGTTCCACTCATTACAACACTTCTCACTTAATTCACCCTCTACGCCAAACAATTCCAATGTCACACTCAACTATTTCCCACGATGGAGTGTCTCATCACCCTCTGGGAGCTGGGTCATACTATTGTGAAGATAATCCCATTGAATACCTTGAAACCCTGACTCAACCCGATCGACCAGCTATCAAGATTTTCGTTGGTGCTCAGCCAAACTCATCAACCCATATCGGAAATATCATGAACATGTGTACAGCTTTTGCCCTTGCCGAAGCACTAACGAAACGAGGAAACAAAGTTACTGTCTCAATGGATTTGGTTGACACTGCGCCTACGCCAGAGAAGAGCGTCGTTTATGATGGGGTGTCTTATCAGCGTAGCCTTCGATTGACGAAGCATTCTGCTAAGTTTGAGGGAGACTTCTTACGCATCTTGAATCGTTTGCATGAAGTCTCTGGGGTTGACTTTGAGCTCCGGAAGCAGTCAGAGATCATGGGAGGCCCAGGAGTTTCCAACATTTTGCGTGAAATCATCGCCAATCATGACAAGCTTGGTGCGATACTGGAACCCCGTTACAAAAAGCTAGGACTTCGATCCGCCTGTCCCAAGCTAGGCTGCGGTCTGGCCGATAAACACGGCATCACGAATCAATATCGAGAAGATTCAATCATATTCTGCTGGCCTGTTCATGGATCTTACACCGTTTCTCTTCTTGAGGAGACTGGTGTAACAGCTCTCGAGTTAAACACGCCACTCCGCAGTCTCGTTCGAAGTCTGATATTCAGTAGAGATACGAGTGTTTCATGGATTCAAGTAGAAGGGAGAGACTACGCGGGTTTCTACACGGAGCAGTTATTGTGGCGTCCCTTGACTGGAACATGCATGCCAGTGGTTTTCTACAGCCCGTTGATTCTTGACTGGTCGGGGCCAAAATTTCCAAGAGTCTTTATGTTGTCGAGGAGGCGTATAAATCTCTCGACCAGCAAGGTCTCACATACCTCCTCAGCTATGCCGAATATCAAAAGTCGGGTAGAGATATCAAGGAAATATACCAAGTTGTCCAGGGATGGGTCGCGGAACCGAAGAAGCTATTTCGAGACTATTCCATCTTCCAGATACACTCGGAACTTCAATCACTATCCGACTCTGTTGTGTGAATAGGTGGATTGTTTCGGTAGCATTTCTTGTGTTCGTTTTTTGTTATCTTACTCTAACTTTCCCTCATCTATTGCAGCTTTCATAAAGCGTGTCTAGTACGCTTGCTCGGTGTATAATAGCAACTAACTATTATATTTTTACTAGACCTATACCTTGAAACTTGAATTAAATACCTAACACAATCGAAACTCTTTGTTTTTGAGCTCTTTGGGCGGCATGCTTCCTAAATAAAATCAGATTCGTCGACCCTCATCCCATACTAAATTTTGTTAAGCGAGACCCCTATGTTTGCTCCTGCTGAAAGGGGTCACATAGACTAATTACGACGATTTATATGGTGATCCCCTTCATGAAACTCCACATTGATATTAAATGAGTATTGAACTATGAAATTTTTCCTCAATCCAGGTCATAGTTGCTTCAACAACAAAGCTTCTTTCTCTCATATCCAAACAACCCTGAAGATGACTGCCTCCATATTTCCGACATTTACTTATACAGAACACCCCACTCACAATTAAATCGACAAACAAGAGCAAGAAATTTCTTTTCACTCTAAAGATTCTTTCTTATGACCATTTGAAAATGAGCAATTCCACGACAACGAAATGTATCCAGTTCAAACATTCATATCACAATATGACAACTGAAAATCGTTTGATTCTTATTGTATAAAGATGACCTTTTCTCCATCTTTTCCATCAACAAATTCTCCCAGCAGCTTTGGCTAAAGGTGTCATCGTACCTTTTTACTCTCAGTTTAATTTGACAGACCTAAACATGGACCGCAATAATCACAACTCTAGCAAAAAAGGCAGTCGAGAACCGCTTCAAAATCATCCAGCGACTGGAGGACAAGAACTAAATGCGAGAACTCTACAGGATTCTGGTCTCTCTTCTAGACAAGCTTTACTGGATCCGAGTTTCCAACCACCTCCCAACTATCTTATGGTCGCCGGCCGCAATGGATCTTCCTCTCAAACTTCGCCCTGGGAACGATCACGGAATTCTCAAGGAAGTTCCAATTATCCTAACGAGCTAACAGGAAAGCGAAGTGGGGTGGACAATTTCAGTCTTCGTGATGATTATGAGACATCACAAAACCTTCGAGATAATCATCAGTCAAGAATATCTTCTAGTAGTTACGTAGCTCGAGCTTCTGTTGAGCCGCAAAATAATGGTCAAAGTCAATCTTCAAGCGGTCCACCTCCTCCTAACGCAACGACCTATCAACCCTCTCAGAGAAAGCGAAGCGTGTTTAGCCCTGAGCCTGACGATTTTGCGGGTGTGTCTGGTCATCAGCGGTTCTGGGACAGCCACAAACGGGTTCGACAAAATAATCTAACAGGTACTGAATCAGGCGATAGTAGTCTCAGTTGGCTGGATCCTCTATTGCGGAACGATTCTACTCCCCCTGGGCATGGAGATAGACATCAAACCAGGAACGAGACAGGAGGAGGGTCTTTAAGTCAACCGACACAGAGTGTACCACCATTTCCGGAGGGAGAACCATGTGATCGGTTTAGCCAACGACCTAAACCAAAGGCCCCCCACAGAGAACACCCTTACCATCATGGACCTCCCAGGAACCCTAAGTCAGAGGTGATCGCACCCCGACGTCCTAGCAATCATCTCCCCCAACCTTTACCCACCGAGGCCCACTACGACGATCTCGAAGCCGCTGAACAGCGGTTGCGCAGCAGACAGCCATTCACTATCGAATATCACAGGTTAGGTGAACACGGCAAGCAGAAACGAGATGGGTGGTTTGAAAAGGATTACGATGACGACGAGCATGGGGCCACGGGACAATATTTGATAGATGAATACAATAAAGACTCTGGGACAGAAAGGGACGCGAAATGGCGGCGGGAACATGCCGATAGAGAACTCAATAGAAGGCTGGGTCAAACACAGGATGCGTTTGGTCACAGAAAAGAGAAGAGTCTAAGTTACGGGCGACTACGAACCCCGACTGAACGGTCTCAGGATTCACGTGGCGCTAAACAGTACGCCCAACATAATCTCAATAAAGAGCTGCGGGATAGGTGCCGACAAGCTGGACTGTGGGATTATGAAAGTGAAATAAAAGATCCATGGCATAAAAAGGGTTCTGATGAAGGGAAGCATGAGTAGATGGGAGGAGAAACGGGAGAAATGCGTGGTGGGGGTTTGGAGTGGGGTCGCTTTGGCGGAAGATTTCAAAAAGATTTCGTAAACAAAAGGAGTGGGTCCAGTTTATGTGTTCTATGCTGAAAAATGATTGTAGTTTTTGTTAAAGCTTGTCCTCAGATTTCGATTGAGAGATAGGACGCGGCACGGTATAGAGACCTGTCACTATAAATAGGCACGTTCTATTGGCATTTTTTTGAGCCTACATTGAGGACTGAGATATCAAAATGTAGCATTTAAACTTAGGACAAATGCGGACTTCATGTATTCCTAATATATGCCCTTCCCCCAAACAGATATCCCGAGTCTGCGATTACTATCGCACTATCATTTAGAAAAGTTATACTCTGGATTATAGGTTCACCTGGTTCACCCCGCTTTGGTTGTGCTTGAATCTTAAGCTAAACTCTAAGATTTGGCCCGCACAACATGTTATTCGTGCGTTTGGCCATATCTGAGTTAAGAGACGTGCGAGGTTTGAGCTCAAGACATGCGTAGCTTCTCTCCATTTGAAGTAAACAACATTTTTGGTTTGGAAGCTGAGACTCTCTTGACTGCAGTTATTTTCTCTCTCATGTCGAAAAAATGCTGGAAATTGGGGAGGTGGACTCATCGTAGATACTTAAGTCATGGCATGGCTTGTATGAATAAACGATCTTCTGAGAATTTGTCAAGTCAAAATTGGAGGCTCATTACTAAAGATCGCACATTTTGCAAGATCGTTTTGGTGTAGAGTAGATGAATTTCCCGCTACGATGTGTGCGGGGTTCTCCCATCCAACTCATGGCATGGAATGGTGAGCGTGAGCAGCCAGATTTTCGCGATCGAAAGTCCTTTGGTAACTCTGTGACTTCAGTCTGACAATTCATATGAACACGAAAACCTGTCTTTTTTCATGTCCGATGGGATTTGTGAATCAAGCCTTCCACATGTGTGATGTGTACTCGTCATCGACACCCAACTCATGAAATAACAGATACAGATGAATGTGTCTGTGATAAGCAAAATCAATGATGGGTCTGAAGCCAGAAGTCAACTTGACTCGTCTTTCTAAAACAAAGAAATCCTCTTTGACATCGAGTCAGTATTGAGAAGAAGCGCTTCCGATTCGGTAAGGTCTATTCGTTTCTGAGCCCCAATTCATCTGATATTTCGTATGAGTAAGTATACCGAGGGTACTCATAAACTCTCCTGAGTCTGATATTAACGGGAATTTAGTTCAACAACAAAGAAACCATCGTACATGTCATTCTGGAGTTGAGAAGCCCCAGTTCATATTTTACGAGATGTACATATTTCGGCATCCACATCATAGCATAATAGCCATGAGTAACCTGTTTCGCACTATATAAATCTTCACTTCATCGCTCTTCCCTTTTTCTTCTCCATCATTATAACTTGCCAATCTCTATCTTCGATTCCTCCTCTAGTGCACGTATTTCAGTAGCTTTGTTTATATAAACATAAATAAAAAGTTTCCATCATGACCGGGCGTAAGAAACAAGAACGACCAGACAAGAGCTGTGGAAGAGGAAGACCACCAAACGCCCCAGCTCAACAACCTTACTCTGACAACAGAGATGAACAAGCTGAAGGCGGGATAGCAGGCTCTCAAACGAATAAAAATAAGGCCAATTCATTTCCACAAGACAGCGCTCGCCAGTACATGTACGAACAATTCCAACCCGACCCGTCTCTAGTGTCAGGTCGAAGTGATCCTCATCTTGTTATGGGATCTTCCTCTGGATCTGTACTTGAACAAAGATATGGGTCGTCTTCTCGCTCCGAGATTCTTCACCGAAAGGAGTCGTCGATTCGTCCTCGGGCACGACGACCCCGTGAAAGCGATTCAAATTCTCCTCAAGATCAACCGGCACAACGAGTTAGATATTCCGGTTCTGGACGTCTAGATAGCCGTGAGGCCACTCAAAATCAAACTAGAGAGCGTATAGAAACACAGGAAGTTGGCTATGCGGAGGAAAGTGGTACTAGAAGTCAATCTGACAGACCTTCATCTTTTCCAAGCTCACTAAATCATTCTTCTTCGCGAAAAGTGCCAAGCGCCTTTTCACCTCCACCTGAACCGGCAACTTTGAAGGATCACGCAGATCATTTGAAAAATCCTCAGGGGACTCAAAATGCCGATCAGCGAGACCGCTCTACAGGTGGTTCTATGGCCATGGCAAGTGGAAGTCAGCGTGTTGGGCATGATAATATGGCGACTTACGGTGGAGATTCCTTTGTCACTCATGAGCAAGATGACGGCTGGGTCACTCACAGTAGCTATGGACCATATTCAAGGCGACAAATGGGACCTCCATTTGCTGAAGGACCACTAGTTGATGGTTTCAGTAGCAGAAGTAATGTCAATGCACCCGTTCTCCCAAAATTCGGGAGAAAACCTGTCCTGCTCTCCGACACCCTAGAACCTAGGTCCGAAATTGTTGCACCCACACGTCCCAGCCAATACCCACCACAAGAGTTGCCACCAAAAAGTCATACCGATAAACTTGGTGATTTCCAACTTGATGCGAGCAATAAACGGACCTATTACTTGGCAAACCACACACTGACTATACCCAAGAAAGGTGATCCAGAGCTATCGTATTCAAGTTATCGCTACCCTAAGAGCTGGGGTCTGGCTAAAGAGGCTATGATACCTATCTACTGCTCAGAAAAACAAACTACTCGATCTGTTCAGCAGACTGTTGTTGATGAAAAAACCGGCAAAGTGTTGAATTTCCTACCGGAAGCTATTGAATATCGGAAAGAAAAAAGAAAAGAGATACGTGCGGAAAAAAGAAAAGAGACACGTACGGAACACGAAGAAGATCTCACTAGAGCTGAGCTAGACGAAACTTTGGTAGAATCCAATAAGTTAGCCCGGGGCATTGTGAACAAAGAACTTCACGACGCAACTCTGCGAACAGGACTGTTTGATGATAAAGGAGCAGTGGAAGACCCATGGAAGGACAAGGGATATGACAAGGGATTGCACGATTAGATACAGGGAGACAACATGCTACAATAGAAGAGTGAAGCAGTAGCAGCTACTGACTTGGATTCGTTGCGACAGTGATGCCCTTTTGGAAACAGCAAGTAAAGAAGAGAAAAGCAGTAGCCTAGCTACTGACTTGGATTTGTTAGTTGGATGTAAGGTTTAGAGAAATATAGCATATAGAAGAAATAAAATCGATGTTTTCCAGTTTGATTCCTCACTTGGGAGGAGGCATTGTGATTTATGAAGCTGATCGAGAGACAGAAATAATCCATAAGAAAAAGATTGACAACCGTTCTTTTAATGTGATGACACCCGAGGTTGTATGGGAAACACTTAAAGTAGCACAAAAGAATTTTTTTCAAATTTGTCTTGCCTGGTCAACATTTCCCACGACTATCAAGTCGTGAAGAACAGAGCCGACGGATGAAAAAAAAATCTGAAGGTTAAGTTGACAGATATCTAGCATTCTTGACATTAAAATAGGGTAAGAAGAGGATCAAGCAAGCTCACACCCATTTTCCTCCCGTGAAATTTCGTCACCAACGTCTTTGCGATGAATACACTCCTTTAGGATTGGCAACACTGAGCTTGGGGTATTCTACATTGTTGTGGTACTGCTTGGAGGGGTCACTTTTGCCATAGTCGTCATTGGGCTTTGGGTCCGCACGAGAGTCTTTTGTTTGTAATCATAGAAGTCCTTTATATCAACAAAAAAGCCTTGTGGGGAACGAAGCTAGCACAGATTATAAATATTATGCATGGAGACTATTCGAACTCTACATGATATTGGTTTCAGGAAGGTGCATGCGAGTAATTTGAATGTGTTTATCGCAAGCTCTAATGACCGATTCAGCATCGCTGCTTTCTGCGAATGAAGATTGTCGTCACTGCATGACTGTGGGTGAGGTGATGCTAGATTTTGTCACAGGAAGGGTTCACAATAATGATCGTTCGTGGAAGAGTATACTATATAATTATGGCCGAGAGTTGGATAATAAATGAATGAATTTTTGGATCCAACCAAGTTACGTATGATTTAGTGTTCGGGAGTTACTTTCTAATGACAACAAAGTGGTGAGGAGTTGGTTGGTAGCTGCAAATGCTAAGCGAGCCCCCTGAATTACACCACTCAATTATTCGTTTTTATGTATGTTGTAATAGATTGCGATCGCGATCCAATGCAATCTCGAAGTCATAAGGATCTAATGACCCAATCAAACTGCTCCCTGAAGAGTCGCCATTCTAATTAGGAATGTTAGATGTTGGGACAATGAGCCTTTCACCTTTCACAAAAAGTCCCAACAACAAAGAGTTCCTATGTTACTATTTCAAGCTCTTTGTGAACGTGAAAGAGCATTCATGGCAAGTACGTTTAATCTATTTGTAGCATCAACTATCAATCTGAACCTTTTTAAACTCCAACGCACCCCCGAGCGACCTATTTCTTTATATATTCAATTTCCATATTCATCTCTTACTTATTATTTTTCACGCAGCTTAAACTTTTCACCTTTATTTCAACAGACCGTATTTTAATTATTTTTAATCAGAAATTTTCAACATGGACCCAAAACGTGGATCTGGCCGACGAAATAGCGGAAGACGACCTTCGCAACCATCACCTTCAGAGCATCAAATCTCGCCTTCTGATACAATTGGGTCTCAAGAAGCCTCAGAACAATTCAAACACTCTCGAACCACTGCACGACGTAGTTCAGCATCTAGCTCCGAGTCTCAAGGCAAACAATCCGCTGCGCGGCCCTCGGCCCGACGACCACGTAGTCGAAGAAATACTAGAGAGCGAATTGATAATTCCGCTCGACTAAACTCCCTATCATACGAACTGAACGCAGGTCGTTCCAGCTCAATAATACGCAGAGACGAATCTACGATACGCGCGGCAGAATATTGCGAGGAGGAAGCTCAGATCGCTTACATGGGAATGATGTCAGGACCTACCTACTCTTCGAGATCTGATAAAACATTTCCTGAGTACACAGGCAAGAAGATTGATTATGCCTCTAGTATAGACGCACCTAGATGTTATAGTACAAGGCATCCTCCTCAGCCATTGCAGTCCAGCAAGCATATGGCTGAAGTTGTAGCAGCGGGAAAGAGATCGCGCCAGAAACATTTGACAATCTTGGGGTATCACGGATTCAGTTGAGTGTAGGCGGTGGAAATACAAATGGGGACAAAAGTTCGGGGGGGGGGGGGGGGGGGGGAGTAGGTCAAATCCCCAGCTTTAAATGGCAGTAGATCTGTGCAGTAAGAACAAATAAGAGTCTCTTTAGAACATTGGTCCTCATTAATGAAGTGTTCCAAGAATCGCTGATTATACAACCTTGTATTCAATCAACCCATGAAGATAACATAATCCTAATCTTAATCACAACTCGGTAAATAGCTTGATTGCGATTATTCCCCTGAGTGAAAATTACCCACCCTGCAACGAGACAAAACTTAGATGGCTGGACTTATTCCTGGCTCCTTTTGAGAATTTAGGTCGATAATTTGCCCAAAAACCTGATAGCGAGACCCCCACAGATCTATCGTCACCCATGTTCAAATAGCATGGACTATTTGTAAAGTAATCAATGCTTGTGCCGTCATGCCGCCAAATGCAACAACCATGCTCCAAGCAACAGGCAAAAAAACATAGATTAAAACACTCAAAATAGTACAGGCAACGCTGAACAAAGCCAAGATCCATGTCCATAACCAAGAGTGTCCTTGAAACTTAGAATGAAATAGCGTTGGATACAACAACGTAGCCAAGCTAAGAAGTTGAATCAGTGAGCCAGCAATTAATTGATAGAAGTTGGCATCATTAGATGCTCCCACTTCCTGCGGGCTCCGAGTCCAAGCCAATGCGATAGGAACACAAGAGATCAGCAAGATTGCCGGGACAAAAAAGCTGAGGGTAGATATCAGACCTTTTGAGCTAGCTTCATATGCTCTTGCTACAGCGGCTGGTAATCTCTCGCGCGGATCAGACGGTGTTTTGGAGATGCTTGGATTCCTGCCAGTGTTAGTAAAGCCATTCTCTCACTTTTTTAACGCATTCTTACCACCAATCGACACGCGCTTGATCAAAGAGATCGTATGATGTTTCAAACAAAGCCGCAGTTGCATCCTGGTAATGCTCTTGAAGAGCCAGAACTTTCAGCTTCAGGATTTCTAGAACTTGGCCATCTAGGTTTCCATCATTTGCAGCCACTTTGATAGCAGATAGAAGCCGTTGAGCTCTTTTGAGTGTCTCTTTGAGAAAAACACGCTTCTCTTGTTCTTTCGATGCAACGTGTTCAACATAGCTCTGGTAAGATGTACAGTAGTTGTATGCCTCGGGGATTTCCAGAGTATCAGCCCTCAATAACAGCGCGGAATGGGCCTGTGCTGCACGATACATCTTAAGTTCAATGTCAATTAGCTGGGAATAAAATGCGCTAGTGCGTGTGTCGACAAGCCATCCCACCCCTTTCTCATGACTCTTTTCGTTGACATATTCCCTAACGTGAGCATCGAAATGCACTCCTCCATCTTCTACGATCCAATCCAACAACTCGATTTCGTCCTCGTCAAGAAACTGCTCATATCTGTCACAGCACCGGTTGATGATCTGTGGAGATCCGTACCACCCATCTCGAAGGGCACGCAACGTGGTAATATTCAATGTAACGATACTTAATGCTATTTGCTGAATGTTTGCCTTGTAGTTTGGCGAAACGGATGATGAACCTGCTGCGGGTGCTTTTTGGTTATATTTAGTGACCACCTGTAGCAACTATAAGAGAGTCTACAAGCTCACTTGAATATCCAACTAATGGAGGTCTTCGTAGCCTTAAAATTGAGCTGTTTCCGGATTGCAGTACGACACTGCCGGAGCCCTCACCACCAGTCGTCTCTTGCTGCTCCTCGCGGTACTCGTTCATTTCGATTGTGTCTGCCATGTTAAAACGCGATGTGCTCAGCTTAAAAAATCGAATGTTGTGCAGTGGTATTTTTGGTCGTTAAACGCCAAAGCCGCACAGGTTCCTAGCTGAGACGTTACCTATCACGGATACCTTTAAAACTACGAGAATCGTAAGCCTAACATTAAGATCGCGATTCCTTAAGCCTAGCGTCACTACATACCTTATTCTCACTATTTTGGGCTATTTGCCTACCTACCTAGCCTGGAAATAAGAAGGGGGTGATAACGTGGTTTTATTAATAAAAAGCGACTTATTTCGTAAACAACTTTCGTGAACAGAGTACTTAGGTACCCTATAGGTGGATACTACCCTATTTATGTGTTGTCGAACTGTAAAACAATTTTTATCGGTTTAAACAACCTGTGATTGAATACAGTTATATCCTCACCGCCTAGCTGGCAGAATTATTGAAGGGTCTGAAAAATATAGCCGACTGGTGGGTTTGCCAATCATGGTGCAAGAACTAGTCTCCACTTGTCGCTTCTCCTGTTCAGCTTCGCCGCAAACAAGACAACACATGGTCAATGTTCAACACTTAGTATGGGGGAAGATACGTCACAAGAATACCAAGTAGCCGGAGCCTCGCCCCAATACGAGACAGGCTGGCGAGCTGGATTCAAAGCGACGATACTATTGACCGAAAATGCTGATCCTGAATGGCAGTGCCATCTTTTACGTCAAAGAAATCATCGATAACGCAGGAAAAGAGGGAGATAAGATACTGAATATGATCAGAGTCGCCGTTTTCGCAATTTGATAAGTGCGAAATTTACGAGATATTTGGCATTTGGCCTCATGATGGCTGATCCTTATTGAGAAAGAGTTTGAAGTTCTGGCCTTGTTCTCACGAACAATAAACGCAATTCAACACAAATCTTATTCTAAGTGCCAAGAGCTTAGCCGCAGCGGTTAAATGAAAGAGAGGGTCGACCCTGACTTTAGGTTACTTGGCAGGCTCTCTGAGTTGTAATTGCTGATTTAACGGACGTCTATATAACCAATGGTATGAGCCCGAGCAACTGGTGTGGGTTCGAAGCTAGTGTTTCTAAAAGATAATCGTCCTTTTTTGACATCTCTAAGACTCCTGACGAACTCAAAGAAGGGAAAATAAACGTTCAAATTCCCCTAGATCAGCTCATTTGCAAAATCATTGAAGATGAAAATAAACACACTTTTCAACGCTCTCCTACTCTGGACCCTGACGGCTGTCAGTCAAGCTCAAACTACCGAACCAATAGGAAATTGCACCATCTTTTCGAGAACGGGGGATTACACATACACACGTTACTCCTCAACACCCAGCCGCATATCCGCCGCAGAATACTGTGTATCTCGCCGAAAAACGAATCAAAGCTGTCCGCTCGTCGCAGACGGCGACCTTCAATTGACTTTTAACATAAACAGCACGGAACTACGCGACAGTTACTGGCCGACCAAAGAGGGGACCGAATCTTTCCTGCACAGATTGATACGCAATGAGTTGAACAGCCAAGGAAAGGACTTCAATCGGACAGTGATAGGTGTTATTGATACTGTCATGCCACTTGAGCCGGGTACCGCTGGATACATCAACTTCTATCCGCTTCTGCTATGTGCGGAAGGTACCATGAAAAACTGCACCGGGGGTATCGAGGATGGATTGGGAATTGAAGCGTGCGCTCCTGTTGCTACCGTGGATGGGGGGTTGAAGATCATGAGTGGAAGGACTGTGTTGCAGAATGTGTCGTCGAGTGATGTGGAAAATTACACTGACCCATTTGCGGGTCAATCTAGAGGTGGTGGCGTGCATAGTTTGGTTCTTAATTGGAGTTTTATTGGTGTAGCATTTCTCGGGGTACTTGGAGCGACGATAATGTGAGATAGACGGTGCTGGGTTTAGAACAAATATTATTGTACATACCTTTGAGGAAGCTCACGTTTTAACTGCTCATATGCGAATCAAACATGGCTGCATTCGTGTAGGAATTGGATTAACGCGAGAGTCGAGTCGACTCCTAGAGAATGATAAAAAAGTGTGACGAGAAAGTATCGTAGTCCAAGTCTGTCTGGTTAATTTTCGACATGCCGAATCTATTGGATTTCCCTTCTAATTTGTAGCACGATGTTCTATGAAAAAGTCGACCACGGTAAAGAAATCTAGCCAAGAATCAATTGTAAAAGGTCAAAACAAATTCAAATTTCAACTACTGTCCAATACTAGACATGAAATTCTAGTGATCTAGTCAACAGTTTCTCTGTGTAATCTACTCTGCTCATGCAAGACATATTAGCTCACAATATAAATTCTGTCCTGGGATTGGTCCCCACTTCCGCTGACTTCCCTCCATCCTGCTGACGACCACGAACATTCAACGATGTGATTATTAACAAGCATATCTCCTCCATCTTCGCCAAGGTCATACACCTAATATCTCTTCTTAACTGATGGTAATCGTAAAACATGGTCCTCGAGTTCCCAACCTCCCGCAATGCCTGGAAATTAGACGCCGTCGGTCTCCTCGCCGTCATCGGCGAAACAACAACAGAGACATGCGTAGAGCCCATGACAGCTTCATAGCTCTGTCTACTTCCTCGTTTGATACCAGCTCCACAAGCGCTAATACGACCAAACCGTCGGGTTTCCCTCGCGGGAACAGCTGCTAATGTGACGGGTGTCTACAGTGGGGTTAGTTTACCCCAGCTTTCGTATACGGCCAACCAGGTTTTTCCGATCGCAAAGTTGAACCCTCATGAAGTCCGTGTTCTTCACATCAAGTATCGTAGTCAATTTCGAAAGAGGCTTCAAGTGCCCGCTTCTGCTGCTGATGAGGTTGATGGAGAAATTGGTGCGATACCGCCAATCCAGCGAAGGACCACTCTTCGGGACACGACGAGGAGCATGTTAATCAACTTTGCTCCTCCGCAACCGATAATGAAAGCCAAAACTATGGCACCCCACAATATTCTCTGCGTAGCATCAAGCTTATTGACAATGGGCCTCCTCGTTTGGGCTGTCGTCATTGGTGATGGACCAGCGACCATAGCCATTGTTCTCTTATCTGCAGCAACGAGTTTGTTCTGCGCAGCTTCACTCTGGAGCCTACCAACTCGACCATTTTGGATTAGTGGCTCCGCTCATTCAGGTGATGTGGTGATTCGGACTAAAAATGGTGCGTTTCTCATCGTCCAATGTAATCAAGAAATAGCTCGGGAGCTGTATTACGGGTCGGAAGAAGTTAGGCAGGCTATCACGAGAGGCTTCGGAATTTCTGTTGGCAGCGGGACGATTGTTTTTATGGTCGCTGTGATACTACTGGGAAATGCGAGTTGGACTATGCAAGCAGCACTCGCCGTAACATACTTATTGCTGAATGCGGTGTTTTGGTATTTATAATCCATCTTCTTTTCGTTTATTAAAGGCTTAAACTCATAGGTTCGTGGCGCTTATACCATCAACAACCCACTGGGATTTCCCAATGTATGAAATCCAAGAAATAGTTCGGGATAATGTCAAAGATTTGACCCAAGGCGTGGGTTCAGACCCACTTACTAGAAGCTTGTGGCAGGCAATCTTTGTAACGAAGTCAACTGACTGGGTAAAACGGAGCGGTGCTACTCCGGGAACAACCCAGTGGGAAAATTGGTTGAACGAGGCATATAAGCAAGCAAATGTTGGAAATCGAATGTGGAATCCTGAGGCAGCGTTTGCAATGGCTAGTAAACTAACTGTTCTTGAGTAGTTTAGTTATTTTTTGTCAGTTATAGGTCGGTCAAATTTCTTAGTAGTTAGTTATAGGCTTACCGCGAAAATTAATAGTTGATTAACTATTGAGAGTACTGTCCCCAGGATCGTCGATACGAGATAATAAGAAGTAATGCGGTTAATGAACATAGCGAATATTAGACCTAGGTGGTAGTGGAAACGTCCTATTCTTGAATTCAAAACAGGGTATAGCAGTTTATAGAGTATTTCACAACACTGCGAACTTCACCGTCTTTCCGATTTTCTTTTTGTGTCATGTCCTGGGATCTTTTTACGTCGATCTCGCGAATTCGCTCGAATTGTCGATTCAGGAAATAATAATTCTGAAGAAAGTAAATAAGAACACGTATACACATCCGGGAATTCAAATATTGTGCCAAAGTTACTATGCAAAGCAAAAGCGAATCTTGATAAACCTCATATAAACAAACAACAACCACACTTCCCACCCCCTCACCTTCCCCCACCCCAAAAAAACCCCAAAAAAATAATTCTCAAATTCAACTCTCGCACCCGATATCCACACCGGAAAGGGGATGCTTACTGTAGTGTTTTTGGCTCCACCCGAAGGCGAAGAATCTGTAATCATAATCAGACATGAGTCGTGAACGACCCGAGTTCGCTGGCTGGGGCGAAGATGTTAATTGGCGAGAGCGAAAGCAAGATCGAGCAAAGCAAAGGCGGCGAAAAGCAAGGAAGCGAGGTGAGCAATCTACACAAAAATCGTTAGCCAGGGCTCGCAAGTGAATGCGAGAGTTGAATCTGATTGGTGCAAAAGGGGAGTTTATGGCTTATATGGATGGGAAATGGGGAGTGGGGCGCCGGGGGAAGGGGGAAGGGGATTGGAGGATGAGTGGAGGGGAGGGGGGAGAGGATGGAAGGGGACGAGGGGAGGTGATGTTGGGTGAGGGTGAGATGGTGGATGAAGCTCGAATCGTTCTACCCCTTCTCGCGCCAGCTACGATTAGGAATATCCATGGAGTGAGAACCTTCACACTAGGAATCTATCTGGGCATGTCACAGTATTCGGGATGCTTTGGTTGTTGATCAAAGGTTTATATTTGGGTGGTGTTCGTGTACTTGAATATCATATCCGATCAAGAACGCGAGGTGGTTGTTTGATACAACCGGAATACACATGTAACAATGACACCGTCTACCAGCAGACATGAGTAACACTGGGTTGAAATGAAATTGAAATCATATGTGGACAGAAAAAATGGCTAGAACGACAGCAAATCTCGTCTATCGACACTATTTCCATCTAGACCGCGGTATTCAGCTTATCACGAAAGGTAAACAAGCGTCTTCATGCGACTGTCCGCCTAGTTGCTTCTAATGCCATCCAACTGACACCGCCTAACACCGCAAAACCCTTCTATATCAACATCTCCTTCAGTATTCCGCATTTTCTCCACTTGTCAAGTACACTGTATCCCCTTCGGTCTGTGTTACTCGTGGAGGTGAGCAGATAAGTCGACGGCGGTGGAGGAGTTTTCGGCAGTCTACGGTGGTTCTCCAATTTTAGGGTGAAGTTGCATGTCTACTCAGATTCCATTCGATATCGTGTGCGATCCGAATACGTCTTTTACAGCGAAACGACTTCCTCATTTCGCTTTCAGTTTCCCAACCAGAAGAAGTTCCTGCGCAGAAACTACGAGCGTCACACGCACACAAAAACTCAAGAAATATGTATTTCATTTACTGAGGGCATTTTACAAGTTTATAATGAGTAATGTGTTATCCACATAAAATTTATATCCCGGGCGTGGTGTTAGAATACAAGTTTTGGAACGACAAGGCTAGCTGTTTCCGTACTTCAAATTTCGAGCTCAGGAAGTTTTTCTTATTAAAAAGCTATCAGGTTCGAGAGACGCCAAATTGATTTTACACGAGATCAAGATTACAGTCATTCCAGAACCCTTAAGACACGTCTTTGTTATAGATGTTGCTTTTTACCTTATACTCACTATCTTGAGTGCACTTACCGGAAATCCATTTTGCAGGGATTAATTCTCTTCCGAATCTTCGTATTTTGCTGAAATACATTAAGTCGTTTCATGTACAAATCATGCTCATCTAAAAGTTCCATCCACTGTTCGCCGAAGCTTGACTTACATTTAACAGGGCTGTACTTGTAAATCCCCCGATTTCGTTTTGGAAAATTGATGCCGAAGAGATATCGATTCTACCGAAACCGATATAACGTTCCTGTTATGCCAGAAATGTGTCTATTGTAGAATCGTCGGCTGTGCTAAACTTACAATATTATTTAGAACTAAGATCGATTATGCACGAAATACTTTACCGAAAGGCCTCTCGACTCTGTTCTGTTATTTTAGCTCGGAAGAAACTTGTGTGTTTAGGCGATCCAGAAATCGGACTAGAACCAGGCCTACCAGAAATGTCTCATGGCGGTGCGAGAATTCCGATAGAGTTATACTACAGCCTTAGTAAGACAGCCAAACCAGAATCGACTTAAAAAGGACCTCGGAGAATGTAACAATACGATCTACAACTGCCCGACCTAAAAAGAAAAGCGCAGCATACTATCTAGAGAATGACAAGCGGGAAGATAAACTCCCAGGTTGGAGTATAGGACTTTAATCATCGAAGTACTAGGTAAATTTCGCGGAAAAAATAAGAAAAACAACCTACCGAATCAACACCCCTGACATATTCCTCAGTATCCTAAATCCACAATAGTACAAATAACCGGCCCAAAAACACGTCTACTCCAAAAAAACTCCAAAAAAATATTAATCAAATCTCAGATCCCGCATTCTCTCAATGTTTAAGAACGTACCGTTGTTGTTGCCGACTTACCTCCTGTATAAGGTGTTAGCGAGGGTATCGTAAACCAGTGTAGCAGAGTTTGACGAAACACCCAATGCGAGATCTCGGAAGTGATTGGATAGAAAAAAGGAAATTCAAATATATAAAGCATGTGAAGGTGAATGTGAGTGGGGCGTTGGCGACAGCGTGGCTGGTGGCGAGGCTGTTGCTGCGTCGATGGTGAGCTTCAGCTTTCAGGAAGGATATTTGGCGTATCGCCGACGTTATCCCTCTTCGCATAATACTCGGCAACATCAGGACAATCCAAGAAGGTCCTCATGAACTGGTACACACTGGCCGGCGCTTGCTTTTCTTCCCTGTCGACTTCCTTCCATAACATACCCCTCGGATTCTCCATATCCCTAACAGCGACTTCCACGAGTTTGGTAACGAACTTGATCCAATTAACCACGGCATCCGCATCAACGGTCCCAGCATGCTGTCGGAACTCCACGGTCTTACCGCTAAAGACCCATCCACACGCATTAGATTGTACGCCGAGCGCGTCCCGTTCGTCAAGGTCAACTGCCTTAACTCATCGAGATCTCTTGTAGCAAATATTTTACCAAGACCTTGACGCGTCGTGCCACGGCAAATAGCACTTTCCGTGTGCATTCGTACACAAAACTTGTTGCTTAGGCGGTGTTCGGGGTGTAGGGATGCGATTTGGTGTTCGAAGGTCCAGATGATAGCTAGTAGGTTCCGCATTGCGCTGAAAGGGAATCGCTTTTCGTTTTCGCCAATGCCGTTGCCCACATGAACGTGAAAGCCACAGGTTTGGTTGGATGTTACTCGGAATGATTGTGAGATTGTGGTACACATTTTGTGAACATCGAGCATGGATACTAGACTGGAGGTCAGTGGGGGTGAAATGAATTCGAGGGGAAACCATACATACTTCCCTGGACCTGTATACTCTTTGAGTGTAACATCCCCTGTCACTTCCTAGAGTCGAGGCGTAGGTTGCTTGTTGCCTGGGATGAGAATGACACCCGTCTCCTTCTGCAGCTTCTTAGCGACTTGTCTCTGAACATACCGTAACTCGTGGACTCTAGAACCAATTATCTGCATAGTTAAATCGTATACTTGACGAGGGTCTCGAGGCTCTGGATCCTCCTCCCCGTAAGCAAGGGTAGCAACATGACACTCGAGCTCAATACCAAACGTTAATGGTGCCATCCTGAGTTCGAGTCTGGAAACCTTCGGAAAGGTACGCCGACGAATAACGGTTGAGAGAAGCGTGCTTTCTTTAGCTATTGGGACAGACCATTGTTCTCGGCATGTTTCTTTGATCTCGCCTGTAGCCTTCGCACAGCTTGACAAGGTCCCTACCAAAACAGACAATGGCCATCATAGTCTTTGAACTTTCATTCTTCGCAAGACGAGGCTCTGACTAGGTGCGACATACAAGGGTAATTCTGAAGAGAGCCAGAGGGCCGATAGCAGCTAAACTGTCGGCAAGACGTGCAACCCAAGACAATAAGCCTTTTCGCTCGAAGAGCACGAGCCTCTGAACTAAAGTGCCATTTGAGACCACATAATGAAATGCAAGTACAAAATAGTGTTGTAAACAACAAACTTGTGGAAACCACGCGCTTATACGTAGTAGCTTAAGACGAAGGATTCAACTTGGCGGGAAGGCTGCTACCCAGCCACCGGATCCTCGCGCTTTTCGATCCTTGATCGCGAAAATGATCTGGTAAGAGCAAGCACATTTAGCCATGAGGTAAGTGCCGTAGAATTAAGATTGTGAAAACCGATGTGCCGAGTTTATAGCACGCCAAGTTTTGTGCAACTCGGACTCGAGTGCAACAACCCAAACCTGGGAGAGAAAATTTCTCAGAAAACATCCCGCGTTCCCACCAAAAGAAATACAAATGACGTTTCCTTATTTCATTTAATTTTCGTTCCCGGGGTTTTGTGACGCATGACTTGTTATCGATCGTGTTCCTTCCGCAGTAAATTTGGAGAAACAAATCCTCAGAGTCGTCAGATGCACGTGACGGATCTATTCGAAGAACAAACAGTGGCACAGTCGACTCTGATTCGCTAACCGAAGAACTTGAGGTCAATTGTCAGGGGAGAGGCTCCAGATGAGGCTCAGAACAACTAAAAGCCTCAGAGCCAACTTGACACAGTTAGAAGGATTGATGAAGGATATCTTCTACGGACATCTCTCAAAATGTTGGTAATCTCTTCATCCATGAGTGCTGGCACCAAATGCTACCACGATGTCTCGTATTTTTGTGACAGTCAGCAAACCGCATAAGCAATTGATACCAGTATTGACTGTCACCACAGCGGATCACACTGGTGGTAGCTACTCGATTGGGGGACTTCACCCAGCAAGTATAGCAGCAATAGCAGGCGCAGGACCAAAGGTGGAAATCAAACCAGGAGAGCGATTCGATGTCAGATTCAACGCCAACAAAGTGCGAACAGCTTTCACGCTGGTCATCAACACTACCAAACATATTCCGCATTTGGAGTGGTCATCAGCAACCGGCCTAGGTATGAGATAAAAACCAAAGGTGTTCAAGACGCGGGAGAACTGACAACACGCATAGGCGAGCTTCCACTTGGTCTCAGCGCAATAGCACCCTCTGTTCTATTGAAAAATGGTGGAAAAGCCCAAGCTGCCGGAAAAGAGGATAAAACTAAAGCAAAACCTGTGAGAGACGGAAAAGGAAGCAGCGCAAGAGTCCGTAGAGTTGATAGACGCGAATCAAGATCCACTAGGAGTAGCGACTCGGGTCATTCTAGGAAGTATGTGGACAGGTACGAGGTTGAAGAATGTGATGAAGGATATTCCACCGATGGCGAAGGCTACTACGGCAGATATGATCACGATCGACAGATTGAACAAGACAGCCGACGCCATCGAGGTCATTACGAAATCGAGGAGACTGTTCCTTTGAAAGCAACTGACAATAGTCGTCGCACTCGCGATCGGAGCGAGAGAAGATTCAGTCGTGACGGACCGGAGCGGCCAGTGAAGACGCGCCGTCAGATCGAGGAAAAGCCTTTCGTGGAGCAGGCCGGGAAGCGTCAGAGGTACCGGCGGCAGAGTGAAGATAATCCACACAGGCACCCCAAATATCAAAAGCAGATTGAGGACGTCCCAGAAAGGCGACCAAAGGCTTCTCCAAAATCCGAGGATAATGAAACGACGCGCAACCTTGACATGTATAAAATCGAGGAGCAGCTTAACATGCAACGAAAAGACCGCAATACGAGATCGAAGTTCGACGGCAGAGAAAAGGCTCGTTATCAACTAGAGGAAGATGACGATGGATATGAAAGCGAGTATGATCGATGGGAATCTCGAGAACCCAGTAAAAGTCGATCAAGTGATGATGGCTATGGGAGGGGTCGCGAGAAGCGGGCATCGCGGACATCGAGCCGGAGTCGACATTGAGGGAGGGATTAGGATGAAGGCGAGGCTCGAAAGGTGATCTAGATTGCGATACAATTAGCACAATAAAGTTTGTTCAGCAAAGGTTGAACATGAGGTCTTGATAGGGCTGTCATCTTACCATAGAGGGTTTGGAGTACATACAGGTGTGATGCGTACATAGGCTTAAGATCCACCTTGTCGGTTGGCAATGGATGGAAGGCGTTTTATACGGTCTGCTGATGGAGTTGACGACTGGATTCAAGTTTCTTTTGCCTCAAATTCAATCTAAAGATTGCCAGTTCGACTAGCCAGTGTGAATCGCAGAATCGTAAAGTGACTCGATGCTGAGGAGTGGACTGATTCTAGATATCGATGACCGAGGAATACAGCATGCTGGAGTAAGAGTCGTACATGATGGTGTAGATATCGTAGCTGGATAGGTTGTTGTGGCAGTCCCGTTAGGACCCTCGAGGGGTTGATGTTTTTGACAAGATAGTTTTGGTCCCAAAATGTTGACGTGCTTGCGATGTGCGCCGCTAATGTTAGTCCCATTCAGCTGTCGCACTACTTTCCACGGCCCGTCCCTCAGGGGCAGGTTGATCGAGCGGG